TATATATATATATATATATATATATATATATATCAGGGGCGGATCTAGCATTTTAAATGGGTGATGCGAAATTTTTTTATTGACGTTTCCCCCCCCCCCCCCTCCCCGCAACTTCTCTATTTGCCTATGTTATAATGTTGCCTTGGCTATTTTGTTCATAAATTAGACATGTAATTTTAAGTCTAATTTACTTAACAAAGTGCACCAACGAGAAGGTAAGCCATAGGACTTTGCACTTCATCTGTATACTGTCATTTTGCCCAAGGTTAGCCCTTCATTTCTGGATTCTTTCCTTTACTTGAGAGGCACGTAGTGTAAAGTAATGTTGCCTAAGGTTGGCCCTCCACTTCTGGATTCTTTCCTTTTCTTGATAGGCACGTCATGTAAAGTAATGTTGCCTAAGGTAAGCCCTCCATTTCTGGATTCTTTCCTTTTCTTGATAGGCACGTCATGTAAAGTATTATTAGGCTATTTATTAAGGTTAAGTAATATTAGGTTAAGTAACTAGAATTATAATAATAAAGGTTAGTCCTCCATTTCTGGATTTATCTTTATTTTATTTTATATTATTAATCTTATATTATATTATATTATTAATCTTGCCTAAGGTTAGCCCTCCATATCTGGATTCTTTTTTTTTTTTTAAACTGTTTTTTGTTATAATAATTTTTGTTATATTTTTTTATTTAGGTTCTATATTTTAATTATATATATATATATATATATATATATATATATATATATATATATATATATATATATATATATATATATATATATATATATATATATATATATATATATATACACACACACATAATATATTTATATTATATATATAATATATATAATTAATATACATAATTAATTTTATATTACATATATAATTAATATACATATAATATAATATATATATATATATATATATATATATATATATATATATATATATATATATATATATATATATATATATATACATATATACATATATATATATATATATATATATATATGTATATATATATATATATATATATATATATATATATATATATATATATATATATATATATATATATATATATATATATATATATATAGACAGACACACACACACACACACACACACACACACACACACACACACACACACACACAATATTAGTAAAAATCAAATTAGAAAAAAGTAAAATAAAAGTTAGTACACTACTAAATAAAAGCTAAGTCTAAACGTCTTTCACCTGACTTTGAAAAAATGTCAATAACTCTTTCAACATCTGGAAAATGTTGAAAGAGTTTCGCTTTAACTCTTAACTAAAGAGTTAAAGCGAGACTCAATCATATTACTTCTGGAGTATGTTTTTAGCCTACGTATAACTGAAATACTTCTTTCACATTCACAAGTTGTTATTGGAATTGTTTCTAAAATTATAAATGCTGTCCTTATATTTGGAAAACCTCTCATGTCAATGGACTTTAAAGTACCAGCAACAGTTGAAGGAATACTTGACTGGTTTATCCAAAATAATTCCCGTAAATATAACTCAGCATGTATTGAAGTAAAATGAGGCATATCAGATGAATAGAAATTTAAAAATTCATAAAAATCAGATTTCCATGGTTTTTTTAAGTTGTATTCTGGATAGTACAGTTGAAGGAACTGCTGCTAGACCTTTATACCTATTATCTAGCTCATTAATAAGATGTTCAATTAATGGAGAAATAATGCTATGTTTAAAATAGTCACAAACTGTATTTGTTGGATAATTATCCCGGTAAACCTGGACATTACACAATCTAGGTCTCACTTCTTGTATATCAAGAGTTTTGGCCAAACTAAGAGCGATAGCGTACCATTCAGTGTGATATATATCAATTTTATTTTTAATTTTTATATATCAATTTTATTTTTATTTTTCTAATAACAGATTTTTTAGATTAGTTATTTCAAAACACTGCTTGGATATGTCAAAAGATTTAGTTTGTAGAGTTACAGTAATTGCATAAAAAAAATCCTTACTTACAATGAAAGAGAAATCTGTTAATAATCTTAAAAAAGAAGAAGATTTGGAAGCAGTTTCACTGTTATATTCCTTTGACTCATTTAACCCCATCTCCTCTAAAGCATGAATAATAGGTATAAAATTATCAAAAAAAACATCAACACCTCTCAGCTTTTGAACCCATCTTGTTCGACAAGTATCTTTTATTTTTTCTTGATTTGGACTTAAATATTTTTTGAGACAGTTACTACGTTTAGGAGATAAGTGAAAAAAAATAAGAAATTTCTTTTACTTGACCAAGAAGATTTTTTACTTTTTGAACTTGGCATGCAGCTGCTACTACTAAACTAAGTCTATGGCTTGCACAATGAACAAATATAGCTTCACGATTAAGAGCTTTTATTCGAGAAGCAACTCCTTTATACTCACCTGCCATACAACCTGCACTGTCATACCCTTGGCCTCTACAATTTTGAATATCAAGTCCAAACTCTTGAAGTGCATTAAGTACATTTAGAGATAGACCAAGACCAGATGTACCAGTCTTGCAATCAATAAATCTTAAGAAATCCTCGCAAATCTCATTATTTGAATTTACATATCTTAAAACAAGTGACATTTGTTCAGTATTTGAACAGTCAACTGCTTCATCACAAAGAATTGAAAAAAAAATTGAATGCTTGACATTTTTTATTAAAACTTCCTCAATTGCTTTCCCACAAGAATCAATAAGTTGGTTTTGGGTAGTTTTTGATATATAGGTTGCATTTTTTGGACTTGAAAAAAGATGATTAGCTAATACTTGATCACCAGCATCAACACGAAAATTTAAAAGCTCTATGAAGTTACTGACTCCAACTTTTTGTGTAGAAGATTCCCCAATATCAGGATGATATTTGCTATCATCACGATGTCCACGAAATGCTAGATCGTTTCTACCAAGAAATATTATTGTTTTAATTATTGGAACTAATTTTTTTTGGTTATCAGAAAGAAGTTACAAACGAGAATTATTTAAATCAACCTCAATAACATTACTTTTGGAATTGCAACTTGAAAGCAATGCATTAAATGAAAGCATAGATTTTTCATGTAAAACACAATTTTCCTCATGTTTTCTATAATCACGAACAGCATTACCCCACTCTTGATGGGGCTTGAAAACTAAATTTAATATTCCAGACTTATTTTGAATACTAGCACCTAGCAAAGTACAAGGAAGACAGTAAGCTTCATCTTCTTTGCTAAAATAAGCTAACCAAGAAAACTAGCTGAGCCATTCAAATTTAAATGATCTTTTTGTATTAAAAGATATTGGAAAAACAAACATAGAATTAGGACAAAATACTTTGTTTACCATATCTAACAAAATAGAATCATCTTTGCCAGCAATTAAAAGTTTACCTTGAACAAGATATGTTGAAACATCATACAAAGAATTTAATTCATTATATGAAGGAATAATAACTGAGTTGGAGTCTAATGACTTAACTATTTTTGAATCTACAGAAGGTTCAAAAGGCAACTCTATGAAAGCATTGTCTTTTTTAAAGTTAATTTTAGATTGAATTTTGACATGTTTTGCAGAATCAAGTTTTTTTTTTTTATTTGTTTCAGTTTTAGGACTAAAAAAGTTTAAAGGATAAGTAGCATCGTTTTTTATAGCCAAATTCTTATTATTACTAGAAATTAGTTTAGGCTTTTTAATAATTGGTACAAAATGGTTCGGTGTCCAGTTATTATTATTTTGCATCACTGACATAATATCAGTATTACACCATAAAATATTTAAAACATTTTGATCTTGATTTTTAATTGAACGAAATGGAAAAATAATTGTATTAAAAAGTTTTTTGAATTTTTCTAAGCCAAAATCTGGATAAATTGATCTAATAGGAATATAAAATACCATTAACTTTAATAATAGGGTTTTACCTTAAAGCAACATAATCTTTAGTATCTTCTTGCTTTGGGATAAAACGATCCATTTCAGTATTTTCAGATACTGACTATGTGGCTGAACTGGACTCATTATTTAAAACTTTTAATTCTTCAGTCAACTGGTTTTTATATTTCCGAATATTTAGCAAATGTCTAGCCTTAATTGCATTTGAGACTAAAAAATTCATTTTTTTTTAACTTTAGTTTACAAGCAAAGTCCAACGACGAAAATTACGAGCGAAGAACCTTTATCTGGTAGCATATCAGAATTTTGTAAAATTTGAATGATTTGGAGCAACTGATGCAATTGTTCTAAACTTTCTACAAATTTGATTGGTTATAAATAACATTTCTTATATTTTTTGTAAAGTTTTTTGCGGAAGTTTTGTAGCAACTGATGCAATTGTTATTTTATTAAATAGTGATTGGTTTAAACTGTTTTTTAACCAATCATTAATGATTTAGAGTACAATTGCATCAGTTGCTACAAAGTGATCGGAAAAATTTGTGAAAAAGTACAAATATGATTGGTTAAAACGTACTTTTTTTTTTTTAACTAATCACATTTGTATTTAATGAAGAACAATTGCATCAGTTGCTCCAAAACGCAGGAATTTTGTATAAGTAACGAATAAGTAACTATAGAGATAAAATAAAATCGAGTTTAAATGAATTTTTTTCGAGTTTAAAACAAGTATTTTATTTTTTGTGAATGCCAGATTCCAATTTCTACTTTTACTTTTTATTAAGAAAAAAAAGTGAAAAAGAGATACACTTAAATTTAGCGTTGAAAAAAGACTGATGCATGCGCATCATTCGCGACACCCTGGATCCGCCCCTGTATATGTATGTATATATATATATATATATATATATATATATATATATATATATATATATATATATATATATATATATATATATATATATATATATATATATATATGTATATATGTATGTATACATATAGCTTTTTGGTAAATCATACCGGACCTAATGTAACTTATTTGATTTGCGTGCACACTTTCTTTTGTGCCCAAATAGAGCGTTTAATTATTCTTAAAAAAAAAGTTTTTTTAAAGATGGCAGAGAACTTTTTAATAGGACAAAATGTAAACGTTGAAACCGCTACCTTTAGTGATGCAATTTATATTCAGGTTTGCAAGACTTTATTTTAACTAATTTAAAAACATTTTTTTAATATATTTTTATTTAAATTTATTAAACACACAATATAATAATATTAACAAGGTGAAAAAAAAAATTAATAAGAATAAAGTTCTTTCCAGTGATTTTCACTTAGTAATTCTTTCTTTGATAATTTTTTTTTAATGTCTCTTTGCTCTTTTGCTATCCAGCACTCTACTGCAAATTTCTAAGTTTTTTTTATGTATGGGTGAATTTTACTCTAGGAAAGTTTTAGATTTTTTAAATATTTTCTCTTTATCACCCTGCAGTAAATTACAGTTAAAATAAATTATAATAAAATAGTCACCATTTAAATTAAAATAAGCTAAAACGACAACTAAAATACAACAAGTAAAAGATTAAAGTCAATCTAAAATAATTACAATAACAAGAATTAAAACTAAAATAGTCACTATGATAAATATGATAACTGTAAGTTACTACAGTAACTTACAGTTATTAAAATATTAACTTATCAATTATATTATTTACTTAATATACTCAAAGACTCGCAAAAGTTAGCCATACAAATTATTTTACCAAAAGTTGTCAAATAAAATATGAAAAGCGCGACACCATTTTTTTATATTTTCATTTTATTAAAAGTGATATCAAGATTAAACATTTTCTATAAATATACAAGTTGTTTTTAGGAATTTTATTTAAAAAGAAATCTATTTGAACAAAAGAACTTAAGTCTTTTAAAATTCTCTTGATCATATAATTTTTTATTTATACCTTTTCTTTATCATCCAGCAATAAATTACAAGTAAAATTATAATAAAATAGTCACCAAAATTAAAAACGACACGCTGTTCTCGCAGCTGTTAGTATTAAATGCTAATAACTAGTCGGTGTGTTTTCCACAAATTATTGGATCAGACTTCTCGGAACATTCTCCTTCATCAAAATTTTAAACAATTCTCTCTTTTCTTTTAAATTTCAAAACTGGAACGTTTCTTTAAATATTGACACAACATCTGCTTGCAGGTCTTCGATAGGTTGTGTGAATTTAATTTTTTTGCTATTTATCATGCGCTGGACAAAGTTTAAACCAAATGAGTTGCAGGCTTCATTTGTAAATAATTTTTTTATTCTGTGTTGCCTGTAATTGATTGATTATCATTGAATAACTAGTTTGATTTATCAACAGCCTGATAAAAAGATCTTATCTTTATCAGGCTTTTTATCAGGCTGTACTTTGTTTCTAAGCAGAATAGTTAAAATATCCTCTATTTTAAAAAACGAATGTAGGTAATTTTTGCTGTACTTCGAGATGTTTTCAGTGCTGTTTTTTTAAACTGTTAAAATTTAAAGTTAGACCACGGCATAGCTCCTGGATATCGGAAATAAACGAGTGTTGAAATAAAGGGTTATTTATTGTGAAAAAATAATGTGTGCAGTTGATTTATTTTTAAGAATACAAGTTTGAACAAGTTTAGTTTCTTTTGTTTGATGCAGTTTGAAATTTCCTGGATTTTAAAAGAAAACTCGTATATTCATACTGTATTTCGAAACATTCAAAAGTAATTTCAGCGCGTGAGTTTCTAATTCTATCTAACTTTTTAATTAAAACATCACAATCTCCCATAGCTCCGTAAGTTACCGTAAGTTAGGCGCTTCAATTTATATATATATGAAAAGGAACTCGGGTGGACGAAGGGGTTTCCAAATTGAATAAGATTTTGTAAAACGGCTCCAATGTTTGAGATTTTTTTATCTACATTTGAACAACTAAATAATGCAAAAACTGAGTGTTTAGTATCCCATGAGAACCCTAGATGTTTAAGTTTATTCTAAAGATTTTTTTAAATACCTGAAATAGTTATCGTATTGCTTTGTATTTTTACTTTACCTGAAATTAAAAACTCCATCTTTTTGGCATTCAAATTAATACAATTTAAACTACTGCGCGTTTTCTTAAGTTTTGTGAGACTAGAAGGGGTAGAGTTTAAAAGTATAATATCATCTATTACACCAGTAAAGTTACCATATATAGATGCGCCGACAATGTTCTAATTTTTAATGGTTTTGAGAAAGCTTTCAGTGTTGATGTTGTAGAAGTGAGGTGAAAGAATTGAACCTTGTCTAACTTTTTGCTTTATACAAAAAAAACTTAGTTTGCAACCTTGATACGAAACTGTTGCAATGCAATTGTTGTATAAAAAAGAGACTGCGTTAAATATACAGAATATTAACTTTTTTTCAAATTATAACATTTTAAACAGAATATCTCAGTTACAGCTATAAAAGGCCTTTTCTGCTTCTAAGGAGCATAGGGGAGTTGTTGCTGTTGCAAATGTTTAACTTTTTAATTTAATTTTAGGGGATGAATATTTTTATTAACGGGCATGTAATTAAAATGAGACATTCATTGAATATTTACAAGCTTTTACAAAAGTTCTTGAATACTATTCAAGAACTTTTGTAAAAATTGGTATAATGCTAATACCGCGTAAGTTTCTTGGGATATCTAAAGATATTTTGTAGGATTTATTTAACAAGCGGTACAAAAATTTATGTCGATTTTGGTGTCCATCCAAACATTTAATTACTAAAGCAATTAAAAAATTCATTTAGACACTTTATAAATTATAACACTATGTGTATTTCAAATGTTCTGTTGAGATACCAAAAAAGATTTATTTGACTTTAGCTAGAAACAGCCAAAATTATATTTTCTTCATTTATTGTTACATCGTCGTGTTTTGAACAGGTTGAAATTCTTCAATTTTCATTACAGTTTGTTATTTTTGGAGTGTTCTGCAGATTTTCTAAGTGGTTCGTGAATTCTGAAATAACGGATTCTTTGTCTTTCATTATTTACAGTAAATAATCAAGAATTTTTTGAACATCTGAAAAATTCCAAAAGTTTTTTGATTTTTTAGGTTTTCAATTTTAACATACTGCTTGCAAATTTTATTAAGTTGAGCCAACTTGACGGCTTCGCAAAGGTTTTTTTGAGCGATTAGATTTCGATTATTCAATATTATCGTTACTATATACTATATAATATACGATTAAATGTTAGAGATTTTAAATCTTATTTGAACCCAGTATCTCTCCATTTTTTAAAATTAATTAAAAGAATAGTTTTACTGCAACTTAGCTCAGTTGTCCACCAAGATTTTGAATAAAATGTTTTTTTTATTTAAAGACTTCTAAAAAACTATTTTAGTGCTGTCAGTAATTGTATTATAGAATTAGACAAGGTCGTATTCATAATTATTTGTACTAAAATTAAGATTAATATATGACTAATATATGACTTTATAAAATTAGAATTGTTCCGACCGTCATTGAAACAGAAAATCTTTTTCTATTTCAATGGTATTGTATTTGGTGTGCAGACCACTAACTCCAACTGATATTGAAAGTGGTAGGTAATCGCTCAAATTATTTGAGTACTCAAGATGAACAATGCATTTAAGATTGAGAAAACTTGTATATTTCGACACGATTAAGTGGCCAATATATGACGAATTTGGTAGTGTCTGGTGTCTATATGTGTAAATAGGGCCAGAACCTTTAGTTATATTAAATAGTTCTTATTCATTTCTTTTTTTAAAAATCAGATAACTATAAAGAGTAATTATTTCTTTTGGAGTTAGATCTTTTTAATGATAATATATCTGATGTGGAAAAAATTGGAAATTGCCAGTTATTATGATATACCAGTTATCTTCGTAACTATATACTTTATATATACTTTCGTGTATACTTTCATATAAACTTCGTTTATATTTCGTAAATACTTTCGTATATATTTTTGTGTGCTTTTTATTGGTGTTGTTGTTTTTATTTATTTTTATTATTAGGCCCGTAATTATCTTGAAACGTTACTTGCAAATACAAAAGACTACAACGCAGTGCTAGAAGAGAAACTTCAATCCCATCGGTCTCTGTGCGAAAAAGAGACTGAAGAACACAAGTGTTTAGAGGAAAATGAAGTTAAACCTATATCAACACTAAACATTAAAGTAAGTTATTTGAGTACTAAACATTTTACGGAATTTTAAAAACCCTTAACTTAAATGAAATATGAGTTATACAATCATTGATCACTGCTACCGATGTGTCTGCCTAATTTTGATATCCATACAGTGTCTCAAAAATTATACGACCGACTAAATTTTTTTCAAAAACAAATGTTTATCTTCTAAGTTATACTAAAAACAATGAATAAACGTGGTCACTTTGTCTTTCAATTTAATTCTATTGGGAATAGGATGTTATTTTGCGTGCATATTTTTTGATCAATGTTTCAGCTGGTTTATTATTTGTATTAAAAGAAACTTAGTACGGAATGGTAAAAATATTCTGACAAAGCAATATTAGTAAGTAAGTTTGATTAAATTTATCTGAAATTTATTAAAATTTTTAAGCAACATTTTATACAATTAATGAAACTACATAACAAAAAAATCGAACTATGGTTTTCTTAGTAAAATAAAGGTAAGCCTCGCTGGACTATTGCTTAGAGAAATTTAGCAGTCAATTCAGTCAATCAGTGTAAAAACTATTGTCAGGTGCAGCAAGAAACTAGCATTTCTTATAACACAGTATCTTAAATAATAAAGAAGTACAATTTAATTGGAACACAATTAACGGACAGGGTCACAAAAATAAGAGTTTTGATAGGAACCTAATTTTAATCGCTTTTTCTCTGCTCGAAAACTAGCTGAGCCAGCTGAAGAGAACTATGGAATCAAATTAATCCATCAGACAATCAGAATTTGTATCCGAGACCAATGATTTCAAGAACGAACTGTGCGTAATAAATCTTATTTGAGTAAGAAACACATAAAAAGAAGAGTTAGCCAAGAAGTTCAAAATATGCCGTTAAGTTTCTGAAAAAAGGTCCTGGTCCAGGAGCGACGAATCGAAATTCAACTTAAACCATCGGATAAAACCCAAAAAGTTTAGAGAAAAGCCGGAGAGGCCTACAAATTAAGCTGCTTAAAAGGAACTGTCAAGCATGCTGACGGTAACGTGATTGTGTAGGATTCATCGGCTTAGAAGTGAGTTGGAAAACTCCAATTTATTGATACTACAATGGATCAGATGCAATACAGAAACATATTAAAGTAAAATTTGAAGTCATCTGCTCCAAAACTTTGGCAAAGATCTGATTTTACATTTCAGCAAGAAAATGATCCTAAGCATACTGCCACTAAAACTAAGGAATGGTTGGAAAGGAAAGCCAGGAAAATTGTTGAAAATATTGTTGGAGTCTTGAAATGGCCTGCACAATCACTGGACCTAATTCCGATTGAACATTTTGAGGGAAATTTTGGATCAAAAAATTGAAGATCAGTCATTTTCTAAAAAAGAGAATCTCAAAGTGGAAATTGAAGAAGCCTGCTTAAAGATTCAACAAGGAAAAACAAAATCTTTAGTTGAACCAATACCTAGACGTCTAGAAGCTGTAATCCTAGCAAAAGGAGGCGCTACAAATTAAAAAAATAATTTACTTTGTTATTTAATAATTTATTATGAAACAAAAAATGTGTTTGGTCGAGTATTACTATTATAAGACAAAAATTTTTTTCAAAATTAGTTTGATGAGATACCACGTCTCTGGTAGTACCGCGTTCAACTTGTTTCTTCGCGCAGCGGCCTTGTTCGTCAAGGTTCGTGTTTCGGAGTTATTGAGTTGAGAGAGGGTTATAACCACAAGTAGCCTCCTCATCTGTAGTGGCCTTCTCGGCCTTGGGGAGGTGATAACGAATATATATATATATATATATATATATATATATATATATATATATATATATATATATATATATATATATATATATATATATATATATATATATATGTATATATACATATATATATATATATATATATATATATTAAATATTTAAATGAAAAAAATACGACTTTTTTAAATTTTTTTCATTTAAATATTTAATATATTTTGATCTATTTTATAAATATCGATCACTTTTAAACCGACAAAGAGCTGTATTAAATCCAACAGAATACAACACAACTCAATACTAATAATAATAATAATAATAATAATAATAATAATAATAATAATAATAATAATAATAATAATAATAATATATATATATATATATATATATATATATATACATATATATATATATATATAATTTTGACTTTCGACTAGTCGAAAGTCAAAATTTGTCGACTTTGAAAAATCGAGTAGTCAATTTAATCGACTTGGACTTTCTACTAATCGACCAAAAGTAGACTTAGTAGAGTAAAAGTCTTAAAATCCTTTTATCTTTTCATTCAATTTAACTTTTTAAATTTTTAATTTTTGTTTGTTCATTTAATAACAATTGTATGTACTTTTATAACTGGCTCGGGGCCCTGGGGCAAAACTAAGTTGTGAAGCTTCAAAATCTAAATGTCATCTATACAATTACATTGTAAATATGATTGTAACGACTATTTGATATATAGCCACTGTGTCACGAAGTCACTTTTAATTCGAGCCTCTTTTCTCGAGAAAAACCTTCGGGAGTATAATAGTACAAGCATATAAGAGTACATTAGAGTTGGTTTTTTCATCATCGTCAGTGAAAGTAAAACTAATTTGAATTGATGGTTAAAGTCATGATGGAGTGATTCTGTTGCTTGCTCTTATAGATGCCTAATAAATATTTGTGGAGATCAAAAAATTGTGTCACAATCAATAGCGTCAAATTTTTGCCTGACGTTTTTTTCAACTACTCTCTGTGGAGCTACTTTATTAAGTGTTTGAAAGCCCAGTCTAGTTTTGAACTTTTAGAAGTTTTTGAACAGCCAATGTGAATGTAGCTTCTCTTTGACTTGATGAGTCAGGAAAAAAAGTTTACAATAAGTTACTAACAAAAAAGTTTTTTTTGTTAGCAACTTATGTGACAAAAATATACAGTTTTTATGTAAAAAAATATTTTTTTATTTTATTTGATTAATAATCTTGTTAACAGGCCAAAAAATCAAAATTTTTAAATTGATTTTTCTTTCACGGACGATGATGAAAGATTTCCAAACCAACTCTAATGTACTCCTACATACTTGTTCCCCCATAGGTTTTTCTCGGGAAAAGAGGTTCGAATGAAAAGTTCGAATGGGGCGCTTCGATTCACTAGCCTTGACACTGATCATAGTTAACTTATAATCTTTATTATATAAACATATTTCTTTTTTTTTTAAAATAACAAAGTAAACACAGATGAAACAAAAGTTAAGTTTTTGTCCGGTTAGTTACTGTAATTTATAAAAGAGTTTTAAATTTAATTTATAAAAGAAGTTTAAAACGCTTGTTTGTTTGCTTTCCTCGCGTTGCCATGGCCGATGACACGGGTTACGAAGTGGAGAGGCACAATTGTCAATTTCTAAAAAAAGTCCTCCAATATCTAGAATTTTTATCTAAACTTAATGCTTATTATGCATTAAGATTTAGTGGTTTAGAATATTATAAATTTTTAGTGGTTTAAATGAATTCTTGTCAATTTCTGGCCTAAATATTAATAAAAATAGGTTAAATGCGTTTAAACAAGCTGGGGCTGGTATGATAATTTCTCTTGACAAGTGTGGTGAAGTTTTTGCTGTTGACGATTATTATTCAACGTTTACCGTTGGCGTTTGCTGCTGACAATTTAATATTGCTGTTGACTATTTAATATCAATTATTTTATTGTTGTCAGCAATATACAATAAAAAAACTACAAGATTACTCGTGGTGCAATGTGTTAATTACTCATATGCAAACAGTTGCCAATACATTAGGATGTTGACTTTTTGGTATCTCCAGTTACCTGTATAAAAAACAGATGAATTTTGGTTTGAAATTTTCTAAAAAGTCATTGGCTTTATTTAATTTTTGAAAAAGGTCACCCACCATGATTACATACTGGCTTCCATATATCACCCACCCTTGATTACATACTGGCTCCCATATATCAATGAATTTTTTCTTCAAAAGTATATCAAATAAATTGCTTAAATTTTATGAACAAAAAAGCAACAATTTTTAACTAAAAATTGAAAAGGTCATTTTTAATGACATTTTATTTGCAATATTTTTTTTTAAAAAATTTTAGTAAAAAAGACTATAAATTTTGAAATCACTATAAAATTCTGGTCCTTTTGAGACCTAGGTTGATATACTTTTGAAAAAAAAAAAAAAAAATCACTGATTTATATATCAGTGTAATCAAGGGTCATGTTGGGTGACCTTTTTCAAAAATTAATTTTTATTTTTATTTTTTTATTTAGGTGCCCCAAGAAGACCTAACAGTCTTGTTACAGAGCACCGCGGAAGTGCATTTAACCATGAAGTTCACGCCTCCTTCCTTACCGTGACGCGAAATATGTTCAAAGCTTGTTTCGAACTAAACACTGCGCCACGGCGGTACGTATATAAAACCGATGACTTTTCAGTTAATTTCAAACCAAAGTTCATCTGCTTTTTATACAGGAACTGGAGATACCAAAAATTTACCAAAAAGTCAACACCCTACCAATACATATATCAATATTTTTTTTTAATGTCAAGTTATTAAACCATTCAGATAAATTATCATCAAAAATATTCACTTTATATGTATAATTTGAGGTAAAGTTTCCTTATAATGTTATCAAATATGCTTATCAAAAGTTTATTTAGAAGTTAACAATATTGACTATTATTAGTCAATATTGTAAACGTATAATCGACGTTTAATAAACGTATACGTTAAAAGGCTTGAAATGTAAATTTTTTTAAGTTTTTGCCGCGAACGCAGCGTTTTTAACTTGTGAATAATATTAATATAAAAAATAGAAACAACGATCAAAAATATCGAAAAAATTATTCCAAACAAGTTTGATTAACCATAGAGAATTTTGCTTAAAAAAAACAGAAAAATTATAGAGAAATTGAATTAAATATTAACAAAGTAAATATGCGAAATATTGAAAAGGACGTAAACGATGTAAAAGAAAGTCTCAACTTCAAAGAAGAAAAAAATAAAAGAAGAATTAACATAAATAAGAAGGAGATATGATCCTGAAATTGAAAATATATAATAAAAAAAGACTAATTTAGAAAACCGCTCTCGTCGTAACAACTTGACTGTCGCGGTCTGAAAGACTCGTTAAAAGAATTTCGGAGTGAGTGTGAAAAATCTGTGAAAAAAATATTTAAAGACAATCCTAAAGTTTCAAACAAAGTTATTGTGGAACGAGCGCATCGAATTGGGTTGCATAAAGAAGACAAAACACCAAGCTATTGTTTTGAAACTGCTGAACTACCAATACAAAAAAAAAAAACTAGTTCACTTGAAAATCTAAAATGAAATGGAAAATATATGAAGACTTTGCTAAAGAGACTATGGAAGAGAGAAAGAAACTTTGGGAAAAAGTTGAATATCTTCTCAATCAAGGTCAATACGCAACAATTAAATTTAATAAAATTTATTGTATTGTACGGTATGCCAAAGGGAAAATTTATTGTATTGTATGGTATGCCCAAAGGGAAACGTGGTTTCCTAACGAATCATGCATAATAAATTCTAGTTTAAAAATTCCTAATTACAAATTAAAATCATTTGAAAGAAAAACCAACAAAAGGGGAGGTAGAATTACAACTTATATTCGGAATGATCAAGTTACTTAAATTAAAAGATGAAATTTCGATCTCTAATGCCGAGAATGAGGTTTTTATAATTGAAATAATTTGTTACAAATCTAAAAACATACTGGTCCTTTTATGTTACAGAGCACCTGAAAGTAATTTATTGAATTTTTCTAATCATTTAAAACAAGTTTTTGTATTGCGGACATAAGCATTGATTAGTTAGAACACGACAAAAATGTAAATACTAAACTTTTTTTTAACGAAATGCTTCAACATTACATCTTCCTAGTCATTAAAAAACTCGAGTAACTCCAATTTCAGTCACCGCAGTAGACAATATACTAATTCAATCTTTAATGTTCCTCTAAAGGCAGGACTAATAAAGACAGATATATCTGATCATTCTCCTATTTTTTTCCTTTTCACAATATACAAAATCTAATACTAGTTATAAAGTCAAAAATTATAAAAGAAACATTAACAAATTTGCTATTCAACAATTTAAAAACTCACTATCGACAGAAGATTGGGACAAGTTATACCAAGAATGCAACCTTGGGCACACTCACTCTGCTTATATTAACTTTGAGAAAGTTTTCCAAAAAAACTATAACATGCACTTTCCAATTAAAGTAAAATTAATAAAAGAAAAATACTTATAATGTCCTTGGATCACCAAAGGTATTAAAAATTCTCCAAAAAACAAACAAAAACCTTATATCAAATACTTAAAAAATAGAAAACTAAATGTTTACAAACAATACAAAAACTAGTTTGAAAAAAATTCTAAGAAAAACTATTACTCAAACAAAATAAAAAACTCAAATGGTGATATTAAAAAAACTTGGTCATCATAAAAGAAATAATTGGGATCAAAAATTAAATAGTTTACTCAATCAAATTGTTATAGATAATAAAGAGTATGACAATAATAATGAATTTCAGAAAAATTTAACTGGGTTTTTTGTTAACATGGACCCAAATCTGGCCACATAAATCCACAGTCCAAACAACTCATTTAAAAGTTATCTAACTAATGTCAACAACGAACTGATATTTAAAGAACTAAAAATTGATGAACTCGTAAATGCAATCTTCGCAACCTGTCAAATAATGCAAACCTATCTTCGAAATATTCAAATCATCAATTAAAACTGGAAATGTACCAGATAAACTAAATGTAGCAAAAATTATACTTATTTTTAAAACCGGTGAAACATTTTTTATAAACAATTACAGACAAATCTTAATAATTCCTGCTTTTTCTAAAATACTTGAATGAATAATCTACAATAATATGATAATAGATTATATATAGAATATATTAAATCAAAATTATAGGAATATATTAAATCAAAACAAATTTTGATATAAAAAAAATTTTTAATCACAACATTCTTAGTAAAAAGCAATTTGTGTTTGGAACTTTTATAGACCTATCCAAAGCGTTTGACATGATCAATCATGATTTCTAACTTAAAAAAATGAAAAATACGCGAAAAAAAATACTACCCTATATTAGTTTAAAAGTTATCTGTACAACAGACAACAATGTGTTACTTTGAACGATAATAAATATTCAAATTTACTAAAATTAAAAAGTGGAGTTCGCCAACGTCTTGGTCCTCTTTTACTTTTAATTTATATTAACGATCTTTCACAATCCCATAAAATAATGTTTGTTGATGACACAAGTTTGTTTTATTCACCAGCATCAATCAAAGAACTCTTTGAATCTGTGAACGACGACCTTGAGAACTAAACAACTGGTTTAAAGTAAATAAATTATCTTCAAATACAAGAATAACAAAATACATCTTGTTTCATTCTAAAAAGCGAAAAAATAATATACCAAGCATAGCACCATTACTAAAAATTGATAACATATATATCCAAAGAACTGAAACCATAAAATTTCTTGGGATAATTATTGACGAAAAGATTTTTTGGAAAGCCCATATAAAACTATAAAAACAAAAATATCAAAAAGTATCGGCATATTCTACAAAGTCAGACCTATACTTTCCAAGGAGAATCTAAAATTTCTCTACTTTTCTTATATACAAAGTTATTTAACATACGTTTATATTGCCTTGGGAAGTACATATAAATCTAAATTAAATTCTCTTTATATAACACGCATCAAGATTGATTTATAAAAAAGATAAATTTACTCATGCCAATCCCTTACTTAAAAACTTGAATGCATTAAATATCTACGAAATTAACATCAACAAAAATATTTTATTTGTGCTAAAATATAAACTCGGACTTGTTCCAACTTATTTTAATAATTTTTTAAATCAATGTCAACAGATATAACACCCGAGGAAGAGAAAACTTTACAATGCCCATAAAAAAAAACAAGTTTTTTGAGATTTTCAATTGTATATCGTGACCCCTATTTTTACAACAAAATAATACCTCAAAATATAGAACTTACTAAATTGGATAATCTTTATGTCCTAAACCGTGGGCACGGACGTAAAAAAGACGTCTTTTAAACGTTTTTAAACGTTTTGGACGTCTTTTTTTAAACTATATTAGTATTTTTGGCTACTAGTTTGCAGTTTGCATTTTTATTTTACCAATTACCCGCGATAAACCCTGAGAAAAATAATAATAAGTAAATAAAGTAGAGCAGTTTTCAAACTAAATATCAAAATAACTATTTAGCCATGCCGTTGGTACATATATTTATCTTCATTAAGTTTTTTTTTTCCACATAAAAAGGGACGAGAATTAAGTAGAAAAACGAAAATGTTTTTAAATAAAGTCTTAAGTTTAGAAACTTTTAGAATTAGTTAAATAGTTGGTTGTATAATTTATAAAAAAGCTACTTTAGGGCCGTCCATAAATGATGTCAGTAAATATAGGGGGGGAGGGGAAGGGGTACTAAAAAGTTTAACAAGAATTGACAATGGTGTTGAGACCAAAATAATGTCAATTTAAGAAAAAAAATTCAAGTTTATGCGAGCAGATTTTAAAGGTATTTACATCTACAATGTGGTATAGAAATGGTATATTGTAGATGTAAATACCTTTAAAATCTGCTCGTATAAACTTAATTTTTTTTTAATAAATTGACATCATTATGGTCTCAATACCCCCCTCCCCCCCATTGTCAATTTTTGTATTCATTGTCAATTCTTGTATTACATCGAATTAATTCGATGTAAGTTTCCTAGAGACATGAAGTAAATTAAAAATTTACCAACGTTTTATTTTTGTATTACCATTTGACTGAAAATCTAAACGTTTACAACTACCAACAAATTGTATATAAATTTAACAATCATTATTCTGTCCCTAGCGGATTGTAAAATGTACTTCAAAGCAAACACATAAAGTTATTTGTCATTATTTTAAATACAATTGTCATTATTATCGATTGCTTCAACAAATCATGGGAAGATGATGAGCGATTGAAGATATATTGTAGATATAGAATAATAATTTGATTAGTTTGTTCATTATTTGATGAGGTATCAACTCTAATATAATATAACTTGCTGAGATCTACTATTTTATAAATGTATAATTTAACCAGAAAAAAATCAACGGTGTTAACATATATTTTTAATGTTACTTTAGGTGAGGGAAGTAAAAAAACTGACATCATATATAAAAGGGGGGGGGGGAGGGTTGGCTAAAAATTGACAGAGTTTGACAAAAGGGGAGGGGGTCAAAAATTAAGAAAAATCACTGACATCATTTATGGACAGCCCCTTTACTAAAATCTTTTTTTAAAGCTTTTCTTTTTGTTTCTAATATAGACCTCGGAAAAAGAACAAGAAGTTAATGAACTTAAAGAGGTATCATCATTTTTGACCTAAATTTTGAGCTTCGTTTAATGAAAATACCAAAGTTTAAAATTAAAAGAAAATGATAATTTAGACAAAACAAACGAAACGTCATGCCGTCAATCGCGATAAAACGACTGATGAAAAAATTAAAACGTATGAACTAAGGTACAAAATTGTTTTAATCTATGTCTAAACCATACTATTTTTAAAAACATGTTTATAATTTCATTTAAAACATTTTCACTATTTTTTTAGTTTTTCTTTTTTAACTAATAATTATTAATTTTTTTTAATTTAAAAAGCTTTATTATTCATTTGTAAAATTTAGAACTGAACAACATCATAGAGAAGTGTTGATGCTAAAGAATAGATTGAAACAGTATCAAAAAAAACTGAAGGTAAAGATTTCATCTTATAAAAAATTGCATAAAAGTTTAAATAACAATACCCTTCCACTTTTAGTTAGTGTCTCTATTTTTGAAAAAAGTGACTCCTATATCTGCTGCTGTTCGGGTCACTTTTTCAATAAATATGCTTTTTTAAAAAAAAAAAATCTTACAAAATTTAAAATCTTCTGTAAAATTTCGTTTTCTTAAGTTTAAAATAGAATGATCAATTATTTATAATTTTTCTCCCAGAGGATTATAAGTAGGGGTGTATCGGATTGAAAATTTTGAATTCCGGCCGGAACCGGATTTGTCGGAATTTATAAAAAAATTCTTGCCGGAACACACGGATTTATAGTATCAGTTCCATTCCGCATATTATCTCAAAATTGTTTAGAAAAGTAAACATTTCTAGAATTTGAGAAGATTTGAGAAAAAATTTGAGAAGCAGAATAGGACAAATTAAAATTCTTTCGACATAAAATTTTTGATATTAAATTTAACGCTAAGTATCTTTCCTAGCCAAGTTTATCACTAACTTAAGTTTGAAATATTTATCTTACTAAACGATTTTGTGATAATTTACGGAACGTAACTGAGACTATAAACCCATGTGTTCCGGTTGGAATAAAAATTATATTTGAGTAATTTTTTACCTTTAAAGTGACAAAAAATTAAAAGTGACAGCCTGCACCTCAGCATCGTGGTTACTTATTTTATATTTATAACCTATAATATATATATATATATATATATATATATATATATATATATATATATATATATATATATATATATATATATATATATATATATATATATATATATATATATATATATATATATATATATATATATATATATATATATATATATATATATATATATATATATATATATATATATATTTATTTGACCTATTTCATTAATTTGATTCTTGTTTCATTTAAATCTCTTATGTTGTTTTTATTTGTTTCTTACAACTATACTTATTGAAAGCTTTAACCTGCGTAATATTTATATTTAAAATTATTTTTTTGTTTTCAATTTTCCATTTAAGTTAAATTTAAAATATTTACAGTATTAGTCATCCTATACCTTTTAGTTATTTAAAATTTAAGTAACATTTAAAATAAGACTATTCTTAAAGGCATGTAACATTTTTGATGTAAAAAAAACCAGTTTGTTGCCGAAAAACTGGATAGGAACTCTTTTTCACCACAATATTCCTAAACTTCTAGAAATTTTTACATAATTTATTACGTATGGCCAAATTTTATCTAAAAAAAAGGTTCTTCAGAAAAAAAATGGGGGAGGGGGCATCCTCCCTCCTCCTACGGCGTCATCGGTCCTGTTACTGCAAATAAAATTACATTATGTTTGTTAAGATTTTTGTATTTTTTACCTAGGTTTACCTATAGTTCTCTATTGGCTGTAGGACAATGATTTTTTTAATCTTATTAACACAGTATGTGTCACATGTGTCACATGTCTTAAAAAAAAGTTAAATAGTAAATTCTGGCGTGCCTGAAATATTGTAATTCAGGCCGGAACCGGGATGACCGAAAAGTCGAAAATTCGGAATTCCAATACATCCCTAATTTTAAGATAATTGGAAAAAAAGAAAAAATGTTTTGGTTAAAGTGGTTATAATCAAAGAGGAGCAAACATGCAAATAGTGTTTTTTCCACGCACACAAAAAAAGACGCAATCATGATTTAATTCAAACAATGAAAATTTTTAAAAATAAAATTTGCAACACTTTTCTAGGAAAAAGAGTGTGAAGAATCTCGCATAAAAATGATATTCGATAAAGAAAGGCAATCTTTTTTACTAGATAAATCGAATTTAAAAAATCAGGTTAGAATTTGGCTTATAATAAATGAGATTTACTTTCATTCATTTTCACATTCACTTTCAATCATATATTTTTCTAAGTACAAAATTACGTGATTGTACAAACACTTTTATTTATTTTTCATAGATAGATCAATTATCATATCGCTTACAACACGAGCAAGAGATGCGATCACATTTTGAAAAGATCAATCAAGAACAGTCATTAGGTTTGTGCTTTTTTTATTTTCTCTATTTATTTGTAATTTAATATGAAATGATTTGCGTATTACTGATTACTACTAGAAAATATATATATATATATATATATATATATATATATATATATATATACATATATATATATATATATATATATATATATATATATATATATATATATATATATATATATATACATATATATATATATATATATATATATATATATATATATATATATATATATATATATACATATATATATATATATATATATATATATATATATATATATATATATATATATATATATATATATATATATATATATATATATATATATATATAATAGAACAATATTATTAATTACTAATATTATTTTTTTTATATATACATAGATATCATAAACTTGAAGTCAGCGGTAAAGGTTAGGATTTATTGATTTTAATCTTTATTAATAATAACAACATTAAATCAACTAAAAAAAAAAACAAAAAACATGAAGTTTGTATGGCTTAAAGTAGTAAAAATAAAAGTTTAACTTCAAGCAAATTTTCCAGCTTTACATATTCTCAGTGGTGGTTCTAACGTAGCTACAAGTACAACTTTATCAACGCATAAAACACTAAGACTAACAAAGAGAAAGTTATTTTATTTAAGCCGCAATAGTGTTTGCGCGGGACTTTGAACACAGTAGCCCTTTTTCATCAAATATTTGTTCTAAGACACTATAATTTTATTTTTCACAGGTTCACCTTAATGATAAAGAAAGATTGGAAAAATTACTTCTAGAAAATGAGCAACAAGTTGATAAAATAAAGGAGTATTATGAACGTCATTACATTCTGAAAGAAAAAGTAGAAGAATACCAAAGAGATCTGGAGACTAAAGTTTGTACATTTGTTTTACTGTTGTTTTTTCTATAAAAGAAAGTTATAAAAAATATACAAAAAAAAAAAAATTGTGAAAAAAATAACTTGAAAATAAAAAAAGCAAGTCTATAATATACTTGATTTTTTAATTTATTTTTATTCAATTTCTTATTTTAACTACTTTTAAAATATTTTACAGTTGTCATCTATCAGATGCTTAAAAAACGTATTTAAAAATAGATAAAAGAGAGATTAAAAACAATACATGTAAAAATAAACAGAATAAATAACAACAGAAAAAGTATAATAATACCACTTTTATTCAAATTAGAGTTCAAAAAGTCAAAAAAATTGCTACCTTTTTTTTTTCTTGACGAAAATATCGCCATTTTGCTTTTCCTGGGTATTGTTTTGATTAATCAGTCGATTTTTTAAAAACATCATTTTCGGTTTTAGGCTCGACTTGATGTAAATAAAAAGTTACAAGAAGTTAATCTACATCTTGAAGAACAATCACTTGCAAGAGAGGCGTTTGAAAAAATAAGAACAGAGAAAGAAATTAAAGCAAGAAAGGAAATGGAAGAAACAATATCTCAATTAAAAGTGTTGACTTTTTTTTTTAAAATAAGTTTAAATAAATTTTAACTACGAAGTTTAAATAAGCAAAAGAAAGTTTTGAAAATTTATTTATTTAAAAAAAATTATGTTTATAAATAAAGAAATTTTATTAGATGGAAATTAGTTCGCTGAAAACCAACTTATTTGAAGATTTATCTAAAAAAGACACATCTGAAATCCAAGCACAACGGTTCCAGGTAATCCATGAATTTTAACTTTTACCTCTAAAATGTATTTTATATATTTAATTGCTCGAGACATAGTTGTTTATAAGCTTTAATATACCCCAATAACAATACTTTCCCAACAACATCTTTCATTAAAACATTCCCCTTAACGTATAAAACACTATCGTTAAATTTTATGGGGAACTAAACCTTCGCATTCTCCCCTTTAACCTCATAATGTTTAATGTGCTTTGACAAAAAAAAAAAAGTTATAACTTTGTATTTTAATTCTTACAAATTAAATTGGTAATGTTTTAAAAAAAAGTGCTGCAAGCCTTATAGACTTATCAAACATTTTTTGCTAATAAAATGATAAAGCCGTCTGAGTAGCACGATGCCATTCAGATATTGATATTTAATTAAATCAAATTTTAATATTTACTGATTTAATAATCAAATTTAATATTTACATTGTTAAAAAACTCGCCGTAGATTCAACGGAGAATGTCCGGCAGCAAAGTGACAGCACTTTCTAAAAAAGGAGTTTAATGATAACAAAAATTTCAAATTGCTCAACAAGATTATTTGGTCAGATGTGAGCTAATTTACGCTGAACGGTAATATAAAGAGTTGTACAGACTCTAATCAAAGAAGAAATGGTGTGGTACTGAACAAGTTCTGGTGGTTTAATTGGCCCATACTTTTGTTTTTTTTAAAGATGATTCATATTTACAAATGCATGAAGAGTTTTTATGGCCTCAAGTTAAACAATGTGGTGGGTATTTCAGCAAGATGAGGCATTAATAAGCTTGATATTTTTTTCTTACTCTAAGAGGACAGTAAACTGTATTGAGATATTGAGGTAAATGTCACAAAGGTTATTAATCAGCAACAAGTTTAAATTTGTTTCTGATTGACACTTTTATCGCCATTTCTTTGCAAAAACTTGTGAACAAAAATATTTCTTGAGAAACATCGTTCAAAGGAAAAAGTTATTTCTTTGAAAGAAATTTGATAAGTTCTAAACTATATACATCCTCAAAAACCTTCTTTGGATCTAGACATTTGAATTTTGAAGCTTGGTTCAAGGAGGTTCTTTTTGTGCTGTCTACAGAGTCTAGTGAAACAGGTAAGTACCAACCACAGAATATTTTCTGGTATCTCCTTTTTCTCTCACCAAGTCTAAGCTTGTTGTACTCTGCTTCTTTTTCTGTTTAAAAGCTGTTGACAAAGTCAACAGCTTTTAAACAGAATTGTGACCTAGGGAGGGGTATAGCCCCGGGCCCCGCAACAATTAACACATAATTGTGCAAATTGTCGGCTTCACAATTTTTTATTTTCTCTGCACCAATTTTTTCAAAACTGCTAGAACTTTTAGAAGATTTTGCCTAGAAATTTCACCTGACTTGGTATTTGCACCATCATATGACATCATAAGACGTGGTTCTTGCACCATCATATATATTGTAACTTGTTTCGGCCGGAATAACGAGGTCATATTTTAAAAACGTAAAAATACTTTTACTTTTCACTTCTGAATGTATTTTTGCTTTAACTTAGGATGTTTAGGTGAGTTTCCACTCATTCGTTTTTCTACGGGAACGGGATAGGAAAGGGAAAAATAATTACGTGAGCATGCGTAGTTTTCATTCGGGCAAATTAAAACTTATACTGCGCATGCCCACGTGATTTTTTTTTCCTTCCTTATCCCCGTTCCCGTAGTAAAATGAATGAGTGGAAACTCACCTTTACAGACTATACAAGGTCATTCTGAATGTTAGTATTGAGAAAGGTGTTGCGATCACTGATTAGTTTTCTGGTCGAACAAGTTTTTTTTTGCTAAAAGTTAACAAGTTATTTTGCTAAAACGAAAAAAGGATTTTTGCTAAAAGTTTCACGAGTTTAAGAAAATTACTCTTTTTATTGGGTTCCAAGACACAATTTTTTTATACCTACAAAAAGTTGATCATTATTTGTTTGAAAATAATAGTCCATCTATAATAGTTTTTGAGGTCTTTCTGTTTTTTACTGCTAACTCCTCTGAGATGTTGAAAGAAAAATATGTTAGCTATTATTTCACAGTTTCATACAAATCTGGATATTCTAGAAGTAATATAAATAAGACTGGCCGAGAATGGAACCTCGTGTTACCCTAGAAACTACTGGAAATCAAGGATAGTCTTGTCTTTAAAGAACAACTTTAATACTTGTTTTTTGTGTAATCTAGCTAACAATGTAAATAGTTTTTTAAATCTAAATGTTTTATATATTAAAAAAAAGTTGCTAAAATACGAATCAAAAGACCAAACCGAGCTGTCATGCTTAAGTGAAGTAAGGAAAAAATTAGGAAGAGAGAAAAAATAAAAAAATAAAAATATATATTGAACAGATATTCAAAACAAAACAAAGATACTATAGTAAAGCGCGTAATAAAAAATAATAATAATTTAGAAACCGCGCATGTAATAGAAATAAAAACATCTCACTTCACTGCTTTCCAACAAGATTTTGCAATACCACTACTTTTTATCCATAATTTAATTTTCCCTGTCTTTTTTTTATTACTATACTATGCAATATATTCATACTTCATACTATAAATATATAGTTAAATTTTAAATTGCTAATTAGATAAACTTTCTTAAAAATCTTTTACTTTTCTTTAATTTTAAAAGTTTACGAGTAGTTTAAAAAAATTTATTTATTTTTAGACTCTGTTTAAAGACGAGAGAAATTTTAACGACAAAATGAATGATAAATTAAAAAAAACCAACAACCTCCTAGAGTAATTTTTTTTTTCTGTTAAAATAAAAGGTTCAATACTAGAATACCAACAATAAAGAAAGAAAAAAAATTTTTTTTTTAGCATAGAACGTAGCCGCACCAATACTTTATTTGAAGATTCGATGTCCAAAATATCAAAAAAGGTAGGTAGTTGAAACAAAGTTTTTTATGCAATAACGCGTTATTATGACACTGTCAATTGTTTTTTAGATATTTATAGATTATAGACGCCTAATAAGCTTGTGGATATTATAGCACATTATGTGTCACCAATTACTAATCGTGATAGCTATTTGAAAACGCACCTGATGCATACTTTCAAGGAGTTCTAAGACAACCTTATTAGCTTAATGAATAAACATTTCAATCAAAATGACATAAAAGTGATTAAGAATATTATTAGTACGGTAATATCATGCTCAAACAATGATATAGATGTCCCCATTGAAAAAGTAAAAAGTTTGTTTTCGGAAAGTTTGTGGAAGCATATATTCTAGCTAATAAACTGAAAAGTCTACCTATTCATTTGTGTTCAGTTAATGTCCTACTCACTGTTTTAAAAAATGAAACCACTTTGTAATAATTTTGAATACTCAAAATCTTTGTGTTCAGGTTACCATTTTGAAACACACGAACAATTTATTTAAAATTAATGTCTTTATCACAGTTATAGATACTGTGACTCTTGTTTCACTATCAGTTAATATTTTACATTTTGAATTTCCAAAAATATAATAATAACAGATTCAAATACAATATTTAAAATTTTATTTTTTATTTCAGTTGTTTGAAGATCCAACAAATGAATACAAATATTCTACCGGTAAGTCTTAATTTACATTTAAGTAGTCTGCATTTTTCAGTCAATAAAAAAAATAAAGATTTTTATATATATATATATATATATATATATATATATATATATATATATATATATATATATATATATATATATATATATATATATATATATATATATATATATATATATATATATATATATATATATATATACACATTAGGACTCTGCAAATCAAAATATTTAGTTTCTAACCGAATCTTGAATCGAGTTATTCTTATAAGGAAATGTAAATTTAAGCTATTCTTTTATACTATATTATAAACTTAGCATGCTATTTTAAACAAACTCTTTTTGTTACTTTTTGCCCAAATCAACCGTTGAAAAGAAAACCGGCCGCGTTTCGTTTTGCGAGCTTATTAGATGTTTTTCCGTGTAACTTTTTACGGTCAGGTTTTTAATGTTTTCTGAGCTGAGATCATATTCCTGAGCAGAGTAAGTTTTGTCGCAATTACTCCATTGTTAGAATGTTTAAACTATTTTAATGTTGGATTTTTACCTCAGAAGTAACATTACTTTATTTTTCCATTACATTAGAATCAAATTTTAAATTTGTTTAACAAAAAGTTAAAACTGACAAAATTTTTTTTGGCAGTTTTAAGTGGGAATTTGCATAAGTGCTCTAGCATTACGAATACTTTAATAGGAGCGAACCGGGATTAATGCAGACTGGCAAAAGTGTGCTAAAAGATTTTTAAAGCAATCATAAAAGTATCGTAAGTGCAAATTACAAACATATATAAAAAGTGAAGTACTCACTAAGGTTTTTTTTTAAATTTTAAAGTACTAAGTAATGTAACAACCACCTGCTAATGGGTGAATCAATTTTCTGATACATTTGATTTTTTGAAAACATTTTGATTTGTTATAAACAAAAGTTAAAACCTTTTAGCGCACTAACGTCTTTTTAAAAATATTGATAAAAATCGTTAGATGTTATAATATTTTCGATTAAGATAGCTTATTAACTGGTGTTGGCGATATTCATTTTGTTTTGTTGGTTACAGGAAACGCGCCAAATAGTTCATTATAAAAGTTCATAACGTAAATTTTTAAAGAGTAGTTTTTTTTTATATTGGCAAATACAAAAAACAATGTTGTAAATGATGAAGAAATATTTTTTTTTTCTTTCTGTCCTAAAAGAAATTAACAAACTAGCTAATGTCTTTTATTGGAGTTTCAAAGTAACTTTGAAACTCCTTATTTTACTGATGAAAATCTGTATAAGTTATACAGATTATGCCCTTATACAGATTTTCTGTTATAAAACTTAAATTTAAGCAGTTGTCTAAAACAATCTAGTCAATTCAAACAATAAATAAGTGTGTTGGTACATCAAAATAGTTTATAAAAGCAATTTAGTACCTTAAACTAAAATTTATATTTTATCATTAACAAACTGCCGAGATTAAACCTCATCGTAATGTACACGCTTTAAACTTTCCGATAATACTTCACAAATAATATCTTCACAAATATTTCTCATTAACGTCTTTGAAACAACATACAAAAAATCTAAATTTTTCTAAATACAACAAACAGAAATACCTAACTTCACACTACTCACTTCTGAAAGTTAACGGAGGGCAGTTTAAAACAGGGGTGCACCGATGCATCGGCCTCGGTCTTGGAGCCATCGGCCGATGCCGGTTGTTTTAAAAAATCAGCTTTTTTTTAATTTTGTGGATCTATATTGTCTAAAAAGAATAATAATTATAATTTTTTAAACAATATAGAAATACAAAATTAAAAATGGTTATCAAGACCGATGCTTAGGTCGATGCATTGGTGCACCCCTAAAGCCAATCTTTACATTTATCCAATAAGGTGGACAGTGCAACGGTAGTTCTGGAATCATTTCAGAAAACTATTGCAAACTGATAAAATTTTGAAGTGAGTTAATGCGAGAGTTAAAAACAAACAGATTAGCAATTACAGAACGTTTTGCTATGCAAAATAGAAAAGAAATATATTTTCAGAGATGCAAAACTCACAATTACTATCACAATTATAGCTGGAGCCACGGACAAAAAAAGTGATTGCGCTGCTTTTAATCAAGTTTTTCAGAACAAATTAAGATCTTACAAAATGTTTGGAACTATCCGTGTCACACTAAAAGATGTCCTCAGTATTTAGAGAGAGTCTTGGGCTTCCAAGTGGCATTGAAAGAAGTATCTTTGAGAAAAATAAAGGTTTTAAAAGCCAAAATAAATGAATAATTTTCTTATAGAAATGAATTTTATGAGTTATATAGTTAATCACTGTGTAAATAATATTGATGAATTTATTCATGTTACAATAACTAAACGAATTATTGACACTATTCTACAATTGTACAAACTTTTTCATTATTGACACTATTCTAAAATTGTACAAATATTTTCACACCGGCCGAGCCGGAAGTTGCAAGTTCCGGTCGGAACTAAGTTTCGGTACATCCTTAATTTAAAGTATTGGTGGAAAATGTAGTTTTTTGTAGTGCGAAGAACAGAATCTTTTGGACAGTTGACAAAAAAACACTTGGTTCCCATGATTATTATTACAGTAAAAAAAGCTATAAAACCAAAACCAAATATGACTGGTTATAAAAATGTAATGAATCCGCGAGTTTAAGTCTTGGAAAGGATCTAAAGTTAATTATATAAAAATTAATTTACTCAACTAATTATCATTATTTAAACTTGAAGTTTACTCAGATCTATAAGTCTGTTTATCTGAGTTTAAAAAAACACGAATTAGATAATAAAGATGGCAAAACTAAACTTAAAAAAATATAAAATCTGCCTCAAAAATCTAATAAATACACAGAAAGCATTGCATATCGATCAAAAATATGGTTTATCTAACAAATATGATAGCCCCTACATTTAAATATCGTAAAGTCGTTAATTACATTTTTAAAACTTGAAACATTAAACATAAAGTTACTCTGGAGTCATGTTTATGAATTCTTTGTCAGTTTTTTTTTTTGTTCATTTGATTTTTAAAGTAAACTTTGTTGTTATTTTTATTACGGTTTTAATTATAGTAACAATATTTTTTTAAACTTTATACGGGGGCACGTATGGTTATGTTTGTCATTTTTATATTTTTCGAACTCCTCTAATTTTATTATAATTTTTTTCAAAACATTAACTTGAATACATGTATGCATGAAACATTTTGCTTTTTGTTTAATTGAAAAAAATGGCCTTAAAAAAGCTAATTTCAGAGCTGCGTTAATTTAACGTAGAAATACGAATACAGCCCTTGGTTTATACAATTTTTAGATTTTTTGAAACAAAATTTTTGTTTAAGATAAAATAAAATTGGATTTTAAAAATTACTTTACCAGAAATATCTTTAGAAATTGCAGAACTTTATACTTAACTTTTGTGTATAACATATTTTGTTAATGCTATATTACTCTGTTTTTAAAACATGCTTTTTCACTTTTATACAAATTATCTATCTTTTTCATGTAGCAAATCGCAAACAATTTAGTAAAAACTCTAGACAAAATCTCTGGAGCACACTTATGGAATCTTCTACATACGGAAAATCCGCAGAGAGAAATTACAAAGAACTTTTTGAAAGAAGTAACTTACTAAGCTGATACTTTTTGGATTGTAATCGAAATAAGCACTTTTTTAAAATTTATTATATTTGGAAAAAGAAATACTTGTATTTTTATATTGTACTTGAATCTTTTATGAAACTTTTCTAAATAAATAGTTTTTAAAAACGATATCTTGTTTTAACTTCAAACCACTTATTTATATATTCCATCAATACACATTTGTTTCATTCTCAGGAGAATGGGAGGAGGTTTTAAGTTTTGCTCCAAGTTTTGCAAGCGACTGATTAACTCTTATAAATATAATACATTCATTAAGATATCTTCATTATGACATTAATTAAATTGTCTTCATCTTTATAAAATCATCTATTTTTGATTCATTTCTTTTCGAGAACCCATAGTATGTTGATTCCAGACATTCCGAGATTAACACGCCTAAAACATTTAAAATGCTACAAACATTGATACAATAAGTAATAAATATAATTTACAAATGATTTTTTCTACAAACAAAAAAAAGTTTTCTGGAGAACACTTTTCGGAGTATCAATAAAAATTTCTAATAATTGAACCCGTCATTTGAATTATTTTTATCAACGTTTTATACGTTAGAATATAGTTTTAACGTATTAGACGTTAATATTAGAATTAAGATATAGTTCATATAAAATACACAAATACGTATTTGAATTATGATGAATCACCATTTTGTAAATAATTTTGGATTTAAATCAGTTTGTACTTAAGCTTTAATATTGTTAAAAATTAAAACGTCATATTTATTATAAAAGTTTTATTGCTCCAAACACTTTTTGGACACACACACATATATATATATATATATATATATATATATATATATATATATATATATATATATATATATATATATATATATATATATATAAATATCACGGCCTATTATAATTACACGGCCTGATTTGTTCCATTTTCCGTAAAAAATTAAGAGGCCAGTTTTTTTACGGCTTATTTTCTATTATGAGACGATTAACAATATTTAATAATTAAAATGATGTGGTCATAATAATTATGCATAAACAGTTAGGTTTATGCTTTCATATTCGTGTAATATGTATTCCTGATTATATTCTGACTGATTGCCTGCTTCTTTATTATCCATTAGAGAGTGGAATAATGAAATAGACACACAGAAAATTTATTTTGTTTATTGTATATAGTCGAACTGCTTTTTTATGCAATGTTATTCAAGTGGAGATAATTTCAATAATAAAAGTAATAATATTATTGTAGTTTTTGAAAAAATTTTTAGTAATAAAAATAGTTAATAAATGTGTTGTCTCACAAACTGTAAAACTGGTTACTCTACTGATCGAAAAAAGTCTTTCTTTCATTTTCCTGAAGAAAGCAATTTGCGAGAACGATGGATTTTGTCAATAGAAAAGATTGGGTTACATTTAAATACTCAGCTATTTGTATTGATCATTTCGAGGATGAATTTATCAAATATGGAAAAAGATGCACCATGAAATGGAATCTCCAACCTGTTCCAACTATTCACACAGATAAAATAAGTAGTTCATCAACTTTAAGAGTGCCAAAGATGCCCCAAAAAGAACCAACTTTAAGGTATTTGGGAAAAGATGAGTTCAGTGATTTTCAAAATAATGACAAAATAATTAGTCTTATTCTTTAACAGAACAGCATTCCCCACCATGATTTACATTTAAGAAACTTACATTTAAGTGTTGTTTTCTAAAACTTCGTTTTTCTAAGAAACTTCATGATAGTGTTGTTTTCTATAAACTCTGTTTTGATGAAATATCAGGTATACCACCTGTGTTTGAGTCAATAACAGTTAATAAAAATTTTAATATTTTATTGACCTATAAAGGTTATCATGTTTCTTTACCTGAATGGTTTCGCAGTAGTCATAATTGCAAATTAACAAAATGTAGTAAAATTTTCCTGCCCATATACGAAATAAAGCTAATAGTTTTAATTCAATTTTGACAGAGTTGAATGAAATAAGATATTATTCTCCTCAAGACAGACCTCCATATTCTGCTTCCGTTACATGATATTCACTAATTGTATGTCACATTTCAACACAGTCATATAAGTTATTGTTAGAATAATTGCCTTTACCATCTTTTAGTTTATTAAGAAAAATTAAAAATGGTGATATAAAGACTTTTTCCTTACTGAATCAGTAGTTTCTTTTTGCAAATTATTATATAAGATATTAACAACGATACCAGATTCATACTTTATTCCCAACTCTTGGCGTTAATCCAGTATAATGTAACGTAACTACATTAAGAAAATCCAAGTCATTTGTTCCAATTTTAATAAAATATGAATAAAACGTTCATAATGCAAACATAAGAACTCAAGTTTTCAAACGTAAGCTGTAAAAAAACTTGACTCAGAAAAAAAAAAGGTTCCAGGACATTTCAGGACATTTTTGAAAAAAATGTTACTTTCAAGAACATTTCAGGACGTTCCAGGACACTTGCAAAAATCCAGGACATTCCAGGACTGTGGCCACCATGTATATATGTATATTTATTAGGGGTGTCCCGGATAACATTTTTTTATTATCTGACCGGATATTAAATACACGGATATTGTAATTCAAATCCTAAAATATATATAACCTTCAAAATGGCGAGTTTTGTTTGGAAGCTTTTTAAAAATTAATGATAGCTGTGATATCACAGCAATTTGCATTTCATGTGGAAAGCAGATAAGCAGGGGATGTAATAAATCTGGTTAGATGTCATTTTCCACTATTCCACTGTATAATCACTCAAAAAAATTTCATTGTAAATTGTATGAAGAAGAGAAGAAAAAAATTAATATTGAATCTTCTTCAGTTGCACAAGGAAGTTCAAATTGTATTGAATCCTGATCAAGTGTCTTTATATATATACATATATATATGCATATATATATATATATACATATATATCTTATACTGCTGAGTTAGGTGAGCATGATGACGTCATACTGAAATAGCCTGCTGCCGGGGGCTTAAGTACATACATCGACTGACAAATAGCCTGACTCGCAGTGGAGTGCTGCTACATCGACTGAGGGTTTGGTATGGGTCAGCAACCTTCTCATTCATTATTCTTCGTTTTCCCTCATCGTTTTCTCAAAAATCCCACTTAATTTAGACTAGCAAAAAAAGTGAGCAATTGCGCATATAAATATTCTATAGTAGATATATATATATATATGCATATATGCATATATGCATATATGTATATATGTATATGTATATGTATATGTATATATATATATATATATATATATATATATATATATATATATATATATATATATATATATATATGTATATATATATACACACACACATATATACCTACATACAAATCTATTGATTGTAACATTTATTTATTATATATATAATAATGAAAATTATATATAAAATAATGAAAAAATACTTACTCTAACATTCCGTGAAGATCACGTTTGGCATGATATAAGAATAATACAATTGCATAAAAGATATTATTTCTTCCCTAAATAAAGTACTTCTTAAGTTGAGAAAAAGTAAAAAACATTTTTAAAAAGTAAGAAAGAATTCACTGCAATAATAGAAAAGGTTGACTGTAAAATGTTTTACATAAAAAATGAATTATATAAAGTGATATAAACTAAGCATCTTCAATACCCAATTGGCTTATTTGTTAATGAGAAAGCAACAAAGTAAAAGTAGCGCAACATAAAAAATAAAAACCACAACAAACAAAAAACAAAAAATTATGAAAAAAGTACCAAAAAAATGCAAACGTTAAAGAAAATGCAAAAATCAACATTCTGAAAATAAATTACAGAATATAGAAATCATCAGAAAAAACTTAGAGAAATAACAGAAAAAGATGTTATTTATTTAAGTTTGATTGTTAATGTTACATGCTCAACTTATGCAACCTTCCGCTAATTGATTAATAGAAGAAAAAAAGTGCAAACATGCAATTAATAATTTTGAATTTATTTGAAAATAATTTATTCATTGCAATTGCAGGCTGTCAAACAGCAACTTTCGAAAAAAATGAAAAAAAATGACGGTATTTTGAGAATAAAAATGACAAAAAATGAAAAAAAATGACTGATTTCATCATAAAAATGAAAAGTTCAATAATTTTATTTTGAAAATAACAAACAAAATAACAAACAAAATCATCCGCCATCAATAATTTCTTTTAAAAATGAAAACCTCGACATCTTTTTGTTGTTTAACACAGAATAAAACGTTTTTTCTAAAGTCTATAATAATTAACATAAATAAATAAATTTTGCTAAATAATTATAACTGAACTAACAGTTCAAGCTCTATTATATTTACAAAAACTTTCAAACTTTTAACGACAACTTTAACTTTTTGCAACGCTTAATTAATCTATCCATTTCACTTTTACGTTTTAAACCAATATTTTCTCTCAACTTTTTCTGTTCATTTCTATGAGATGTAGCATTTTCAAGACTTCTTTTTGCGCTGTTTACAATTTCATGGGCAATTTTTATACCAATCATGTCTTCCTTAATAATAGCACTTTGCATGGATTTTGCTGCTTCATCGAGCATTCTCTGAGCAAGCTGAAACTCAAGATCTGCATTTTTTTCATCATTCTTTAGACTTTTTTCCTGTTGATCTAAATTTTTATTTTGATTTTCAACTTTTTCAAGCATTTCTTTCTGCTCTTTTTCTTTATTCATTAGTTCTTGCTCATGAATATAATTTTTTCTTTTTTCTTCGTCTTCTTCAGCTTTTCTTTTTTTATATATTTTATGAGCATTTTGAACAGCTTGAACAAAGTCTTTGGAGAGTGCATCAACATTATATGCTCCTCTGCAACTTCTTGCATATTCTTTTGATATTCTCAAAGCCATTAATGTTTCATCATTTAGATTTACTCTCTCAGGAGTTAATGTATTTTTGTTATCAGATAAACTTCGCTCAGCACTGGCATTTCCATTCTGAATTGTTAAACAGCTCTTAACAACTTTACTGAGATACCCATACTTTGTTTTTCCATATTCATTGTTACTTTCAAAAACTTTAGCCCAATAATGGTCTACTCTTTTTAGTTTTTTTGAATCAAAATCTATATACCAGTCTTTTGATATATTAGCTGCTTGGTATAATTTCCATTCATTTTTCACAAATGATACCTGTACAAAAATTAAGATAAAATTGTTATGGAGAAAGTGTTAACATTTAAAATTAAAGGAAAATTTAATTATATTAAAATTAAAATAGTTCGTTAACTAATAATTTACAAACAACAATTTCTGATTTGTAAATTAAAATAATAATTAGTAAATTTTGAAAATGTTAAATAATATATTTATATGGTTAATGTACTCTGCTATTTTAATTATATAGTAGATTATGTTAACAATATAAATACTTATACTATTTAAAATTTTCAAAATTTACTTATTATTAGTTTAATTTACAAATCAGAAATTATGTTTATATATATATATATATATATATATATATATATATATATATATATATATATATATAATATATATATATATTTATATATATATATATATATATTATATATATATATATATATTTATATATATATATATATATATATATACATATATATATATATATATATATATACATATATATATATATATATATACATATATATATATATATATATATATATATATATATATATATATATATATATATATATATTATTACAGTTATTTAATATAAATTTATTTAAATATTCACCTCCCTTTCCATAATTACATGTGGCATCCTAACTGCTATTCGCCCAATTGCATTAACAGTCCAAGGTTCTGATCTCATTTGAGCACCCAAACAAGTTATATCTTTTAATATCTGCAAATCAAGTGGAAGTTTTTTTTGCAAGTGTTTTACAACAGATATATATCCATCTCTCATTTGCTGTAAGAAGACAAATCTTTTTTTTTCACATGATATTTTGTTCACCTAAAACATATTTATATTGAAAATCTGCATCAATGAAAATGAATAAAAAAACTTAATTTTTAATAATAAAATATCTAATGAATAATACAATAAACAAAATAGTTTATATTGCCTAGTACACTTATACATAATTACCAAGTACACATTAACCAGGTAGTAAATGTGCAACTGGTAAATGTAGCAAATGTGTACCTATCAAAAATTACCTGGTTTTTAGCTTCCTCGCCAAAGTCCATTTTATTCAAATCAAGGTGGATAGTTGAATCAGAAGAATCAATTTTTAAAAGATCTTTAGTAAGCTTTCCCTTAACAGCAGTCGGTTGAAGGAAACGTTTCATTAAAGATATTAAAAGATTTTTCATTTTATAAAATAAAATATGAACAAGTGGTCCTTCATCTTGAAATATTGTCAAGTATTTCTCAAACAAGGGAGCTAAACCAATAAGGAATTTGATGGACACAAGTAACTCCTAAAATAATCAATTCTCTATTATAGGTAATAATTCAAAAAAAAATAATAATAAGAATAACTTTAATTAGATTTTCAGTTTCCCTAAGACTTCTTTGAATTCGAATATAACGCTTATTGTTTGTCAGTGTCTTTTTATACTCCTTTTGTTTTGGAATATATTCCAAAAAATATTTCTTGGTGTCTTCCCACCTTAATAGAACCTTTATAAGTGAAGAAGAAAGAGTGAGCCATCTAGTATTGACAAAACGAAGAAACAATGTTTCATCTTCAATAAAAATGCAATCTGATAATTTTTTAAAATCTTCTATTTTACAGGGTGCATTCTAAAACAGAAAAAAATTATAGAGACACTACACTTTATTAGCTAGTCGTATAATAGACTATTAGAATAAAAAATAATAATAATGTAAGAAAAATAACTTCATAGGTAAAATAAAAAATTCTCTTTTAGTATTAACTGCAGTAAAATCCCGTTAAGTTAGACTCTCACAGGGAATAGATAAATAGTCTGACTTAGCAAATGTTCAAATAAGCTAAGCTTTTTGTATGTACAGAAAGCTTAAAGGGAATTGAAAATCTGTCCGACTTAGTACAAATCCAACTTATCCAGGGTCTGAATTAATGGGATTCTACTGTATAAAATTACACAAATCATTACCTTGAACCAGTTATGTAAATCAAATGCAAGCTGCTCAGCATCCTCACTGACAACATTAATTGCTAAAACCATTACTATGAAGATCAGCATTTAACAATCTCCAAATGGCTTTGTTAATATTAGGACCATCTGCTGAAATATTAAAAAGACGATCCCATGGTAAATAAAACCTTTCATTATGACGTAAATCTGCTAGCATTGTTTTGACATCTTCTGCTGTTGCTCTGCCAAAGAACAGCGATGTTAAATATTTTGTAACAACTTGGTTTTCGTCTTCTGACCAAAAACGACATAAAAGATCCATTTGTTTTCTTTGTTGTGAAGTAGTTGTTTCATCAAACATTAAAGTGAATGCACCTTGACTTAACGTAATACTATTACATAAACGCTTTTCCAACAATGGCCCAAGGCCATCTTGCAAAATATATGAAGCTTTTTGCCGACTCATAGTAAAACATTGACTTATTTTACTATCTGGAAACATTCTTTGGAACAATATTGGTGTGTTGTCACAATGTCTTAAGGCAAGATCATTATCTGACACTTTAAAAAGCCACATGGCTTCTGCAGCAGAAATTTTTTCATTTATAGAGAACTCTAATTGTATAACGTTTTTTCCCCCAATCGAGTTTTTGTTAGAATCTACATATAAATGACAAGCAGTTTTTGAAAATCTTAGATCAGACACTGACTTATGTTTAGGTTTTGAAGAATACTGATATAGTGCTTGGAAACCAACTGAACTGAATTTTAAATCACTTTTGCATAGTTTACAGATAGCATATTCAGAGTTTCTTTTTTCAGCCCATAATTAGATTTTCACTAGATTTTTATTTAACTTTTCCAACCACACATCATTCCACTTAACCATTATACTATATAATCTATTGATAAATATACTAAAAACTAAATATAAAAATCACTAACTTTACTAGTTCTATACTATAGAATGATTTAATTTTTAAAATAATAACACCAATTTAGCAATACAAATGGATAATTAAAATTAAAATGTGAACATAAAAGATTGTAACTGTTATTATAAAATAGTTTTGAAAATTAAATAAAAAACTAAGTAACATAATGTCTAAAACAACTTAAAAATATCAAAAACAGCAATTCTTAGCATTTAAAAAAAACTTTAAAGTGTAAAAAATTCAAGAAAAAAATGAAAAAATGACAAAAACTAACAAAAAAATGAAAAAAAATAAATAAAAAAAAAAAAAAAACCGAAAAAAAAAATGAAAAAAATGACAACTTGACAGCCTGCAATTACAGAAAAAGCTTAAAAATAAAAAATAAAAAAAGTTTGAATAAAAAAAACAACAACATACAGTTGGAAGCGAAAATGTTCTCAGTTACAATAATTTAAGAACTTCAATTTTTAGTTAACAACATTAAAGAAAATGATTGCACATTATACTGCTCATTAAAATCATTTTCAAAACTGATAATGCTAATTAGTTAACAATAATGTTATTAACTTTATGCGCAGATACTATATCAAATAAATACTTAATTAAACTAAATACACAAAACAAGATTTTTATTAAATATATTTATTTTTTTAAGTTACCTATTATAGAAAAAAGCACAAACGCGCAATTAGTAATTTTAAATTTAATTATAAAACAATCAATCATTTATTGCCAAACATTGCTAAATAAAAATAAATAAAAAATTTATTGCCAAATATTGCTAAACAAAAATAAAAAAAAAATTTAAAGAAAAAACCAAAACTAAGTGACTAAAAACAGTTGAAAGAAAAAATGTTCTTAGTTAAATACAGCAATCATTATATATTATCAAATTATTATAAAAATAATACATTAAAGATTTTTCTTAAAAATGATAATAAAATAATAACAAAATAAATAAAATAAGAGTTAATAAAATAAGAACTTTTACCATTTATGAAAAAAAAGATTTTAAGATTATACGCATGTATGCATATAAACATATATACATAGATACTAACTCAGACCATAAAAGTAAAAACATAAATCATTAACAAACATAAAAACAATTTATAAGGAAAATATTAAAAAGTAAATAACTTTACTTTTGGTAAATCAATAACATCATTTTCTACTAGTAGTTTAAAATGTGGAGGTTGTATACGAGACTGATACAAGGATAAGTTACTTGTTTTTTCACCTAAACAAATATTAATTCTTTATATAAATATAAAATCTTTTTTGGATTATAATAACAACAATTAAAAAAAACTTTGATTACAAAAGCTAGTAATTTAAAATTATTTTTATTTATTGATCTTTGAAATTAAATTGCTACTTATTAACAAAAACTTTTTTATACCATTTAAATACTTAGGTTTAAAAGATAAACCTGAGTATTTAAATAAACAAAAGATAGCTCTCAAAAAAATGATTACGGTTTGTTTATGATCATTCTTGCAAGAAACCTGTACTTTACCTCACTATTAACTTTACAACTTTTAACTCTCAAAACAATATTTACTTCACAAAAGCACTTACTTGTTTTAGCAGGGGTTTTAAGAAAATAAAGCCCTGAAAAAGATTTCCCAGAAGGATATCTTGGATTAGCTGGTAAATGAGTATCCATGTATGTACAGAATAAATGCATGAGAACCTATAACCAAAAAATAATAATACTATATATATATATATATATATATATATATATATATATATATATATTATATATATATATATATATATATATATATATATATATATATATATACGGTATGAATTGAATATTTTGATAAGATCTAAAAGTTAAGATACATAAAAATGGGTGCAAAGTAGTAAATGAAGCAACAAAGTGGCAAATAAGGTATGAAGGATGGTTCAATTATTAGTAGTGGAGAAATAGCAAAAAAAAAAAAAAATTTCAGAGAATTGCATCAGATATACTCTACAAACATTTAAAAACAACAGATGGCATTCAACGTCATGCAGGATCAGGAAAGTTAAAAAAATTACTGAGCACAAAAATAGTCTTTTATTTTTTGTTGAGTAAGAGCTGATCCCGGGTTAACACAGAAACTTTCAAATACATTAAAAAAAACTGTGAAAAACTAATTTCTTCAAATACACTTAAAAATATTTTACTAAGAAAAAAAAAAAACTAAGGCTCACAAGATTTAGGTGATGTAAGAAAAGAATTGGTAAAGAGAGATGATGTAAGGTCTTTGGATAAGTGAATGCAAGTAATTTTTATTGATAAAATTATCTTCGAAGTAATAAATAGAAAAAGCAAAGATCTTGTTCCAAACCAAGTTTGCAACAATTTTGTTAATTGATGTAAAAATGTGTTGCTTGCAAAAAAGAAGTGTTGCTTGCAAAAAAGATGTGTCGCTTGAAAAAAAAAACTTGTGTAGAATATTTTACATACTAGTTTGAATGTTAATTTTGTCCCATTCATTTTTTATATATTATAGTTTTTTTATTGATATTTTTTGCAATTATGTTGCATAACATTTTGAGATACAGTTTTATATTTTAGTATGTCATCCAAAATGCAAGATTTTATAAAAAAAGATTTTCTTGTCAAATAAAAAAAATATACGTTCAATATCTTCTTTAGTTTCAATTTGATGCTAGTTTAAATAAAATTTAAACAACAAAATTTTATTGAGTCTATTTTTTTTAAAAAAGCATTGTATATCCCCAGTAGGGGTGAATAAACTTTCACTTTATATTGATGACAGAAAGATATTCAGATGACAGAGGAGTTAGTGTTCTAAATGGTACATTAGCAAAATATTTATTTTTTCTGTTTTGCAATCTTTTTCACACTGTTTTCTTCAAGCACTCAAAAAAGCAGTCATCAATAATGAATTCTATCCTACACGAATGAATTTTATCCTACACGAATGAATTTTATCCTACTACAATTTTATCCAACAATGAATTTTATCCTACACGAATTTCTATCAAAGCTTTTTTAGCTCACATTTTAATAATATTTTGTCATCTGCATATTGACACACTAATCTTGGATCAAAAATTTGAAATAAATAATATTTTATCGAGCAAAATTTATCATTTTAAAATCTATTACTAAATCATAAAAGTTACTAAATGAATAAAGTTTTCAATTATTTAGTAACTGATAAATTGTATTGACTGATATGTATCTTGTTCTAAGTTAGTGATATTATTATATTTTTATTGCTAAAACTCCATTCACAATCTTACAACATCTTTTAAACCAAAGAGTTAATTTCATGACAATTTTTTAAAAAATGTTTTGTTTAATAAAGTGAGAGTTGTTACACCATTTACAGTTGTAAATGATGTAATTTAATGTAAACCTTGTTGTTCTTCAAATTGTAAGTCCAATTCTTTTTATTTAAATGAAGTTAACATTTAGATTTTCTAAATATGAAATTCATACATAGCTTCTGATGTAAGTATTTAGTTTTGAAAATTTCTTGCATTGTCGGATTTTTTTATTGTAACGTTGATCCTATCACATCAGGCTTGGGCGGGAAGCGGGAGCGATCGCTCTCGAATACTGACCACGGAAATTATATTTAGTTGCGTAAAACTGGCCAGGTTTTTTTAGTCGTTTTGAGAACATTTAAGTTTATGTACGAAACAAAAAATTTTGGTTTTACGGACATACATGGAAACATAAAAAACTTGAATGTTCTCAAAACATCTTTGTGCAAAAGAATAAAAAGAATATTTGCGAACACTAAAAACCCGCCAATTTACGAACAAACTAATTCTATTGGTTCAAAAAATACGCTGATTAAGTGAAATAAAGTTCTAGAGTATTGTGTTAAAATGTTTTAGAAATTGTATTATTCACGATTTGTTACGTTTTGAGATTTTTAGCATTGTTTTAAGAATATATTATTTGTTTACGAAAATAAATGTTTTAAATATATATTAATTAAATTGTTAAAATTTTAAAAGTTTATTATAAATCATAGATTTTATTAGTATATTCTTATTTTTTATTTTAAAAGAGATTGTATTCTTTATGTAAATGTAATTTTGTGTATTTGTTTTTTATCGTAATGTATCTTTTAAAGCAATTTTTATGCTTTAAACAAAGACTTACAAAAATAATTGTGTTTTCAATGAAGTTATAATCGTTAAAGTTAATAAAACTAATTATGTAACAAACATATAAGAAGTTTCTGGTTACTAAACACAAACAACACATAAAGTAACTCGCGGATGAACAAGCATCGCGCCTGAGGTCACGACAGAACACAAATATACATAGCAAATAATTATATATAAAGAAAAATTTCTAGATATTGGTTTACTAAATCTAATTATTTTCGCTTAAGTTGCCATTCTTAAAACTCGTTATACTTTTTTCTGCTTTAAATACTAATTAAAATTTAAAAGCCTACTCACTAAACATCATCAGCGATATTGTAAAGCAGTTTCGCTTCCTGGTCATTAAGTATTTTTAACCTTTTTAGTTGATTTCTATCTTGATGATTTAATTCTTATAGTAATTCAATGATTTAATTATTTCATTTGTTTATCTTACTAAGAAGAATCGCTTCAAATATTTAAAATTTTCAAACTACGTGAAACATAAAATAGGTATTAAAAAAATTAACTTTTTTATTTATAAAATAAATTAAGCTTAAGTAAAACTAAAACTTGCAAACTTAGTTAAATAAAGAATATTTGTTTCCCATATATATATATATATATATTTTACAAACGCATTTTATTTGAATGTAATCTTTACAAGTTTAACTTTAATCTTTAAAATTCTATAACTTTAATCGTTGAAATAATGTTTACGATTTTACTTCCATTTCTGCGCGCGCATAAATTTTATATCGTATTTTTTGTCAACAATGATTGAAATAATGACGTTGAAATAACGTTAAATAATCAACGTTTAAACTGTAACGTTGATTTAACGTTGAAATAACGTTAAATAATCAACGTTTAAACGGTAACGTTGATTTAACGTAAACTTAATCGTTTAAGTTGACGGTTGTATGTTTCTATAAAAAGTTGATGTTTCTATAAAAAACATCGCTTAATTTTATACAAAAAATTATGAAAGAGCGATGTTTCGAAAATATTTGTTCTAAATGTAATTTATTTTGCTTTAAATTTTTTCGCGTTTAAAGATATTTTATTTGCCTATTTTTTTTGTAATTGTCTCTCATCGGTCCAATTAATCTTTGTCGCTTTTTTTTTTTGCTTTTTAAAATGTTCACAAAATGACTAAAAAATCTGGCCAGCTTTTCGCAACTAAATATTATTTACGTGGTCAGCAATCGAGAGCGATCGCTCCCGCTTCCCGACCAAGCCTGTCACATGGTGGTTTTCCATGGGGAATGGAATGGACAAAAACGTTATTTGTCATTGCTTATAGTTTTTATCAAAATTATTTTCTTATCCTACAAGAATCTTCTACAGAATCCAAGCTAACAAACAGTTATTTAAATCAAATCATGGTCATAAATTTACCAATTTTTTTTTAGTTCATCAATTGTCATAATCATATTTTTCACTGGATAAAACTTTATTAAACAAAACTTTTACTGTAAGAACATATGGTATAACTTGTGCTAATTTTTTCTCCGCCTGCCACATTTTTTATTTTTGTTAAATTTTTAACTGAGACTAGAATTTGTACAAGTTTTTCTAAGTAATTAGTAAGAAGTTCAATCATATCAACCCATTTAATAATAAATTTGAATAAATGAAATAAAATTCATCATAAAGTTAAAATATGTTTATTTGATTTTTGGCTCAAAATGGAGTCATAAGTGCAAAGTTGAAAGGTATGTATAAAACATGGAATCCAGCTTTTATATTATTTGCATTAATACTAACAGTAAGATAAATTTTGTATAAACAATACACAAATTTAAATAAACAACTAACATATAAATTTAAATAATAAATTTTGATATTACCAGTTTATTTATAAAAAATAGACAAGCTTTGGTTTTAAAGTGATTGAAAAGTCATTGGTTTTTTTTTTTACTTTTTAAAAAAGGTCACCCACCACGACCCTTGATTACTCACTTTTCTTTCAAAAGTATACCAACCTGGGTCTTAAAAGAACCAGAATTTTATAGTGATTCCAAAACGCATAACCTTTTCTAATAAAACTTTATAACAAATAATGCAACAAAATGTCAATAAAAACGACCTTTTTAATTTTTAGTTAAAAAAGGTTGTTTTTTTGTATATAAAATTTAAGCAATATATTTTTATTTAAAACCATTATTATTACTTAAATCTCTATGCAATTTCAAATCTCTAAAAAATTTTACTGATATATGAGACCCAGTGTATAATCAAGGGTCATGGTGGGTTATATATCATAAGTATATATATATATACATATATATATATATATATATATATATATATATATATATATATATATATATATATATATATATATATATATATATATATATATATATATATTTTAAATTATTCACCTCCCCAATGCCCGAGGGGGCCACTACAGTCGAGGAGACTACTCATTTTTTTTTTTTTTTTAATTTTTTGTTGTAAACCGTGGTACAACCTTCTCTCAACTTTTTAACTCCGAAACACAAACCTTGACAAGCAAAGTTGAGCGCAGTACTTCCAGGGACGTGGTGGGAGTCGAACTCGGAACCTCTCGCTTACAAAGCGAGCGTTCTTACCACTACACCACTACCGCATATATATATATATATTGCGTGAAAAAATGGACCGTATCAAGACTATGTTCCAAATAAAAGGGAATAGCTCTACAGGGAAGTTGGCAGCAGATAACCAAAGGTGGAAGACCCTGTTCCACCACTTCTAGAGAGGACTCTATAATCGCTAGATCTGTCAAGAAGGATCCCTGGATATCATCAGTCGAGATACAAAAGCAATTAGAGCTGCCTGTATCGGAACGAACAATCAGACGACGTGCTGTTGAAACCAGATTGTTTTCTCGATGTCCTGCAAAGAAACCGCTGACTCCACTAAAGAACCAGAAGAAAAGACTCTTGTTTGCACTTCTCATATTGACTGGAATGTGCAGAAATGGCGAACTGTCCTGTTCAGTGATGAATTGAAGTTCAACATTATTGGGAGCGATGGCACTTGCAGTGTACGTCGACCGGCCGGAAAACACCTCAATTTATGTTACTGCCATAAGATGGTGAAGCATGGTGGAGGCAATGTAATGGTCTGAGGGTGTTTTTCTGCTAACTGTCTAGGTCCAATACATCGAATTGATGAAATAATGGACTGTTTCATGTATAAAAATATCCTGAAAGATGTTATGTTACATCATGCTGAATGGAATATGCCAATAAATTGGGTTTTTCAGCAAGACAACGATTGTGGGAGATCGTCAACTGCAGAATTAATTGCGAAGGTATTCGTAATCAACTGTTTGAACAAATCCAAAAGGCCTGGGCAGTGATTCCACAAAGTTTCATTGATCACCTGATTGAATCTATGCCTCAGATGCAAGGCTGTGATCGACAACAAAGGATTCGCCACAAAATATTGATAGGGAAATACAGCTTGATCAACATTTTGTGGAGTTGCACTTGTTTTGTCTAGAAGAAAATCAACTTTTTTTAATACTTTTGATTAATTCATTAATTTTCATGTACAAATAATGAACTTTGTGATGAATAAAACTTAAAGAACGTTGTCTCTAAACAGTTACATAGTTATTTCTCTAAATTGAAAAAATCCGGCACTTTTATATAAAGAAACTAAATTAGCATTATTTGGTTGCACTTGTTTTATCCGATACTGTGTATATATATATATATATATATATCAATTGTGGTAGTGGTGTAGTGGTATAGCGCTCGCTTCATAAGCGAGAGGTTCTGAGTTTGATTCCCACTGCATCCCTGGTAGAACTGCACTTAACTTTATCTCCACGCAGCGGCCTTGTTTGTCAAGGTTCGTGTTTCAGAGTTATAGAGTTGAGAGAGGGTTATAACCACATGCAGACTCCTCATCTTTAGTGGTCTTGAGGAGGTAAAAATAAAAAATTATCCCTTATATGCCAAACAAATCATTCGAAACAAAACAACCATGGGAGAAAAAATAACTATTATCTCTGATTCTTCTGAAAAAATGGCTTTGGGCTCGTAATATTAGTTCAAAATGGAAAATCAAGTCCCTGGTCCAACAAAATAGAGAAAAAACAAAGTTTGTTAAAAAAACTCAATTGTTTTTCACTGAAAACCTTTGAACTTGCTCTAGCCAATGATAAGTGCAACCCTAAAAGACTATTTTCATACATAAATATTGAAGGCTCTGTAACAAATCAGATCTCAACTATGTAAATCACCAGTTCAAGTGAGATCATTTGCTCCGACAAAACTACAATAGCCGTCTCACTTAACAATCAATTTCAAACAGTTTACAGCAAAGAGCCATAAAATGACAATCTTCCTCACTTTGATCAAAGACTAACATAATCCTCAACAGCATAGCATTTGAAACTTAGATCACTCATCACTTGATATATTCAAATCACTTGGTGTAGAGAATGTCAGTCTTTAAGTTTTAAGCACTTGTTCTAACTCAATGTCTACTTCATTTACTCTCAATGTTCATTTGACAATGGTAAAGCTCCAAGTTCATGGTCCAAAGCATAAATAAATGTAACACATTTATTTAAGAAGGGTTCCAGAATCAACCTATCAAATTAGAAATATCTCTCACCTCGATTCTCTGTAAAATAATAAAGAAACTAGTTAAGAAAGCAATTATGCAACATCTAAAATAAAACAATCTTTTATCAAGTGTTCAACATGGCTTCTTAGAGAAAAAAGTATGCATTACAAATCTCCTTAAAAAAATGGACTTCTTGACTGGAAATATGGCCTGAAAACTACCAATTGACGTCATATTCCTGGATTTTGCCAAAGCATTTGACAAAGTGCCACATCAGCGAATGCTTTACAAATTAAAAATATATGGAATTATACATCCCAATTCCACCAAGAGCAAATTACAGAGATAGACTTTCATCACAATTTCATTAAAAGAAAATCACAGAGAGAGACTTCACCGCACAATTCCACCAAGAGCAAATCACAGAGAGAGACTTTTATCACAATTTTACCAAAATCAAATCACAGCAAAAAACACTTTACCATGAAAAATATAACAACAATTTAGTTCGTTTTAACTTTTTAACAACTGCTTTTTTAATGCAGATAAAGTAATCAATTCTCGGACTGTCAATAGCTTCAAAGCAAGCCTTGATTGGCTCCAATGTTATTAGAGCTTGAAGCTTTCCTTAGTGAAAGTTACATTATGAGATGTAGTAGTATATATTTGTTACAAAAAACATATACTACTACATCTCATAATGTAAGTATAGTACATCTCATAATACTATTAGTAGTATATATTTGTTACAACAAAAATAAAAATAATTGCAAATATATACTACTACTATAATATATATACTGTTTTTTCAGAAAAAGAATGGAAAAATAAAGTTAAAACAAAATTCATTTATATCTAGATAGTAACCGCCTAAACCTACACCATTTTTTATTTTATATACTTTTTTTTCTTTCAAAATTACCTGAGCATCTGTAGGTAAATCTGAATTCCATGGATTATTTTTAAATGTGCCTCCACCGTCCCATTTATACAAGCGTAAACAACCACCTGTAGCCAGCTCTGAAATAAAAATTTAAAAAATGATATAAATAATTGGTTGATAGATTTTAAAAAGTGTTTTTTAATAAAGTTAAAAGTTTTTTTGAGCAAATTTTAAATCCCATATTTAATTAACAGCAAATGTTATTAAATTTAAATTATTCTCATTTATCCTTCATTCATGCAATTCCAAAAAAAAAAAAAGTTTGCAAAAGGTATCATTCTACTTTTATGTCAGACAAAAAAACAAATACTATTTACTCTCAAATAACAAAACACACATACATACATACATACATGCTGTTACAATTATCAAGTGAAATACAAATATAGTTTGTTCGTTTAAAAATTATATACAATTGAAACTACAGAAAAAATCTATACGGAAAAAACTTTTTTTATTGTTACGACTGCGTGTATCTAATCTTCAGGTTTGTGGTTGCTTAATAGAAATTTTTTTTTCGTGATGACACTTGGAAATTAATTCTATTTTTTTATTAAGTAGCTCTTCAGCATTTTTATAAAGTAAAATGATAAAGTAAACATTTTTGTTGTTGTATTGTTGTAGGCGGGGGCATTTTTAGGATAGAACAAGTTAATTCTAATGTTTCTTTCAGTTTTTCCCTAGTTTCCCATATATGTTTTGAGAGAGTGGTTGCATTTGAAAGTTTCTTATTTGTAAATGAATGCTTGTGGTTTTCATACCTCTTTTTTCCATACTCCTTCTGATAAACCAATGTATGCTTTACTGGGTGTGTTTGGGAAAGATGTTATACATTTGTAAATGATAAAAGAAACACCAGAATTAACTTGGTGTGTCCTAAAAAAAGCCCCCGCCTACAACAATACAACAAAAAAATGTTTACTTTGTTTATATAAAAAACTGATCATTTTACTTTATAAAAATGCTGAAGAGCTACTTAATAAAAAAACAGAGTTAATTTCCAAGTGTTGTCATGAAAATAAATTTCTATTAAACAACCACAAACCTGAAGATTAGATACACGCAGTCGTAACAATAAAAAAAGTTTTCTCCATATAGATTTTTTCTGTATAGTTTCAATTGTATATAATTTTTAAACAAACAAACTATATTTGTATTTCACCTGATGATTGTAACAGCATGAAATTTAAAGTTGCGAAAATCACAGTTTTATTTTCTACTGTATATATATATATATATATATATATATATATATATATATATATATATATATATATATATATATATATATATATATATATATATATATACTGAGCACTTTCTTGATAGTATATGCACGAAAAAGAATCACTACATATATAAAAAAAATCCTATTATTAGGAAAAGGACCACTAAATTTGAAAAACCAAATTCGCAAGTTCCTGCAAATTATCTACCGTGGCTAGCTTTCATGCTTACAAACTACGCATAAAAATTTATGTAACTTGGGGTAAAGATAGTGTTTGTTGAATTCTAAACTTTTAGTTATAAGTCTTATAACTAAAAGTTATAAGACTTATAACTAAAATTGCGTCATGGAAGTAAATATAGTTCAAACAATAAATTTTTTTTGTTATAATAACACACATTGACAGATTAAAGTTTATTACAGTGTCTCAGAAATTTGGCCTCTAAGTTGATGAGGTTTCTTCGAAAAAACAACTTTTGCAAAAGACCTTTTACACACTTTATTTGTATAATCAATGTCTAATGGACAATAGTTCTAAATATCCAAACACTCCAGGCAATTACCAGTTAATGCCAATTTTAACTTTGTTATATTATCAACATTTCTTCTGCAAGAGAACCATGGCTTAGCCCAGTGATCAACAATAAAACTGCACGCCTCTCCCTTTTCTCAAAAACATGGTATAATCCATAATTGAAAATCTACAATTGAGATTTCTTTAATAACATCACTTGATCTTGGAATGTTATCCAATTCTAAAAGGAAATAATATCTTCCTAATATCTGCCTTGACTTACATAATTTTGAAAAATTCATCAGTGACATCTCAATCAAATTTCCATATATACAATTTCTTGGCTTTAAAATAATGGAAGGGCGATCAATTAGTCCAATTTAATTATTTTTTGATACTATTTACATCTTAAATACAGATTATATTTAAATATATACAATATATAATAGTTAAACATTGTTTAACTATTATATATTGTTTAATAAACAATATGAGTTTTTTAAGCAAATTTTCAAAGATACTTAAAAATGGATTTGTACAGAGGGTTTTTTGCGTTTATATAGTTTATTTTTATGTTTTTATGAGTTTTAGGTAATTACTTTACCAATAGTAAAGGGCTGTCACTTGAAAAAGAAAATTCCCACCCCTAATATATATATATATATATATATATATATATATATATATATATATATATATATACATATAAGTGTGTGTACACACACACACACACACACACACACACACACACACACACACACACACACACGCATATATACAGCCTTGGCGAGGTGAATTAACATGACAATAATATATATATATATATATATATATATATATATATATATATATATATATATATATATATATATATATATATATATATATATATATATATATATATATATATATATATATATATGTATATAAATCAGTAAAAATGCTTATCTAATTTTTTTTCTTCTACAAATTGTTTTACCATCAGTAGGTTCATATCAGGTTTTTGCTGAATTTTTAAAAAAATTAGATAAGCGTTTTTACTAATTTATTATTGCTCTGTTTTTTAATTTATAATTTATATATATATATATATATATATATATATATATATATATATATATATAATTTTTTTATATATTATTATATAGATTGAAATATATATATGGAATAATAGTATATATATCCAAATATAAAAATCAATAAATATTTATCTTTACTAACACAGAAAAATTATAAAACCATTGTCCATAGTTTAAGAAATTTATTTCTTAAAAATTATTCACAACAAAAATTGCATTTCTTATTAAGATATATATTTTTTAAAGCAAGAAGTATATTTCTTGTTTTAAGAAATAAATTGCATGGTAGGAAATTGTTTCTTAAAACAAGAAATATATTTCCTTTTTTAAGAATAACAGCTAAATTGTAAATCTAATTTACATAGTTGTGAACTTATAAATATTTATAGAAGCTTTTATTTAAATATATATATATATATATATATATATATATATATATATATATATATATATATATAAATATATATATTTCTTATTTTGAGAAATAAATTGCTGGATGGAAAATTTATTTCTTAAAAAAAATATATATTTTTTTTGCTTAAAGAAAAATATATCTTAATAAGATATGCAATTTTTACTGTGAATATATTTTGCCAATATATAGATAGAAAACAAAATATAAATTTTTGAATGTTCAGATACCAACAGGTAATAAGGCAGGTAATAACAGCAGGTAATAAGAAAGGTAATAACAGCAGGTACCTTTTAACCTGCTGACAAGATATTCTTGATTTGTGCTGACTTCCAAATAAAGTATGACAGAAGGCAAAGATGGCAACTGTTGAGTTTTAGAAGAAGCTAAATTTTGCAAAGCTAACTGACTAACAGCTAAAAAAAAAAAACAGCATTATTAATATACTTTTAAATAAAAATACTTTAGAATTTAGTAAACCATCATACTTCCGATATGCAGCTCAGGGCATCCAAGTTGCGTAAGGCGGGTGTTTATACTTGATATTTCTTTAACTAAAGGTTCCAAAACAGATTGAGCCAACCACTAGTAAACAATAAATTATATAAACAGATTGAGCCAACCACTAGTAAACATTAAATTATATAAACAGATTGAGCCAACCACTAGTAAACATTAAATTATATAAACAGATTGAGCCAACCACTAGTAAACATTAAATTATATAAACAGATTGAGCCAACCACTAGTAAACATTAAATTATATAAACAGATTGAGCCAACCACTAGTAAACAATAAATTATATAAACAGATTGAGCCAACCACTAGTAAACATTAAATTATATAAACAGATTGAGCCAACCACTAGTAAACATTAAATTATATAAACAGATTGAGCCAACCACTAGTAAACATTAAATTATATAAACAGATTGAGCCAACCACTAGTAAACATTAAATTATATAAACAGATTGAGCCAACCACTAGTAAACATTAAATTATATAAACAGATTGAGCCAACCACTAGTAAACATTAAATTATATAAACAGATTGAGCCAACCACTAGTAAACATTAAATTATATAAACAGATTGAGCCAACCACTAGTAAACATTAAATTATATAAACAGATTGAGCCAACCACTAGTAAACATTAAATTATATAAACAGATTGAGCCAACCACTAGTAAACAATAAATTATATAAAACAGATTGAGCCAACCACTAGTAAACATTAAATTATATAAACAGATTGAGCCAACCACTAGTAAACATTAAATTATATAAACAGATTGAGCCAACCACTAGTAAACATTAAATTATATAAACAGATTGAGCCAACCACTAGTAAACAATAAATTATATAAAACAGATTGAGCCAACCACTAGTAAACATTAAATTATATAAACAGATTGAGCCAACCACTAGTAAACATTAAATTATATAAACAGATTGAGCCAACCACTAGTAAACATTAAATTATATAAACAGATTGAGCCAACCACTAGTAAACATTAAATTATATAAACAGATTGAGCCAACCACTAGTAAACATTAAATTATATAAACAGATTGAGCCAACCACTAGTAAACATTAAATTATATAAACAGATTGAGCCAACCACTAGTAAACATTAAATTATATAAACAGATTGAGCCAACCACTAGTAAACATTAAATTATATAAACAGATTGAGCCAACCACTAGTAAACATTAAATTATATAAAACAGATTGAGCCAACCACTAGTAAACATTAAATTATATAAACAGATTGAGCCAACCACTAGTAAACATTAAATTATATAAACAGATTGAGCCAACCACTAGTAAACATTAAATTATATAAACAGATTGAGCCAACCACTAGTAAACATTAAATTATATAAACAGATTGAGCCAACCACTAGTAAACATTAAATTATATAAACAGATTGAGCCAACCACTAGTAAACATTAAATTATATAAACAGATTGAGCCAACCACTAGTAAACATTAAATTATATAAACAGATTGAGCCAACCACTAGTAAACATTAAATTATATAAACAGATTGAGCCAACCACTAGTAAACATTAAATTATATAAACAGATTGAGCCAACCACTAGTAAACATTAAATTATATAAACAGATTGAGCCAACCACTAGTAAACATTAAATTATATAAACAGATTGAGCCAACCACTAGTAAACATTAAATTATATAAAACAGATTGAGCCAACCACTAGTAAACATTAAATTATATAAACACAAAATAGCACAATTATTAAGTTTTTTGACACAATAAGTTTTCTTTTTCTTAACAAGTTAAAGTGATTAAAAAAACAATCATAAACAATACACATAGCTTGGATAAGCATTTCATCAATGTACTCTTATCTTTTGCTGGATATCTTGTTTATTAGTAGCTTTTCATTGTCAAGTTTACCAATTGATTATTAAAAATGCAATTATTGTTAAAATTTTTTTTTTTAAACTTTTAACCTGTTAAAATAATTTTGCTTTGATTTTATTTATTTTTCTTTTTGGGTTGAATTATTATACTTATAACAATTTTTAATTTTAAATTTTAAAAAAATCCTTCAGTTCTACAACAAAAATCATAAAGTCTCAACAACAAAAATAAATTCATAAAAAACATGACTGTTTTCATGAAAAATTTCTCATATAATTGCCAACCAAAAGAAATCAGTCCATTGAATAAATATTTTAGAGCAACACATATAATTTACAAATGCATAAAATCTTCATAAAACACATCCAGCAAAGCATACATTGGTTTATCAGAGGACGTGCGAAAAAGATACAGGAACCATAAACAATCATTTAAAACTAAAAAACTATCAAATACAACCACGTTCTCAAAATATATATGGGAAACTAAGGAAAAATTCAAAGAAACACCTGAGTTAACTTGGTCTATCCTAAAAAGAGCTCCTGTTTACAACAACACAATAAAAAAATGTTTGAAAAAAAATGTTTTTCACAATAAAACTTTGTTTATATGAAAAACTAATAATTTTACTTTATAAAAAAAAAGCAGAAGAGATACTGAATAAAAAAACAGTTGATTTCCAAATGTTATCACGAAAAATAAATTTCTATTAGGCAACCACAAACCTGAAGATACACCCGCTTGTAACAATAGTTTTTCTGTATAGATTTTCATGTGTAGTTCTATGTAACTAGTTCCATTTGTATATAATAATGTTAACAAAAAATTCATACTTGTATTTCACCTGATGATTGCAATAGCATGAAATTTAAAGTTATGAAAATCACGCAGTTTTATTTTCTACATATATATTATGATTTTTAAAACAAGCTTATGAAGCACATAAGTAAAACATACTTGATTAAACTTTATATCAGTTATTAGATAAAGTAGCCAATGTCTGCCTTTATTTGTATTTTATATTATTATTACTAAAACTTTCACTGTGTTTTTGTAAAATAGAAGATATTAATTATTTTGCAAAAGATAAACTTTATAAAATAACCTCAACGTCTTTTCATATATAGTATATATTTTTGACATCTTCTTTAACTGGTATAGTTTTTTTAAACTTTATTAATTTTATTAAAGATTAAAATAATATTTACAAAGTAGTTAACAAATAACAATACAGAATTATAAAAAATATATATTAAAAAACAAATCTTTTCTTCAAAAAAAAAAACCCAGCTATGGTGGGTGGTGAAACCACAATGTAAAACTCTTATAATTTATGCCTGATTCATTTTCAACTTTACTTGTTATTTTGCTTGTTACTTATTTAAAAGAAAATAAGTCATTTTTATGCTTAAAAAAAATACCTTTCTTAAATTTTCAGTCCAATGATCCATATTTCTACCACTTAAACCCAAATCTCTCCAAACCTTTTATAAATTTATAAAATTATAAAATTATTTATAAAATTTTTATAAAATTGAATATAAAAAAAAAAAGCAGCAAATAAAGCACTAAATAAAGTTAATAAACAAACAATAAAGATATTTGTGTTATTAAAATACATCCTTTGCACAGAAAATTCATAGAGCTAGAAGAACAAACTTTTAATTGGCTTTAATGATAGAATTAAAGTTTTTATAAATACAAATAAACTTTTATAAATATCATTATGCAATTTACCTTTACAAAGATTTGAAAACAACAGATTTGACAGCAAATTAAGCTTTCTCAAGCTATTTTAATTTGATCATAGCAAATTATTTTGTAGCTTTACTTGTTGGTGCAATTTGTTTTTACAGCTGTTTATGTTTATTAAGTATTTATTTAAAAACGAGCTTACAAGTGCAATGCTTACTTGAAGGCAGATTCAATAAAGGTTTAAGAATTGAAAAAAAAAAAAAAAAAAAATTTATATATGTTTTTCACAAAGTGTCAAACACCTTTTGTTGCTTGGACAACATGTTGTCAAAAACATGTTGTGTAATTTATTCTTAGTATTTTAAAAATTAGAATTCAATAAGTTTTGTGCTATCTTAAAGTGTATTTATGAATTTTTTTGGCCAATTTTTTCATAGGCAATCATTATGTTTAAATTATATAAATTATTAAGATAAAATATATAAATAAATTGATAGAAACCATCATTTTAAATAACTATATATAAATAACATATTTAAGTTGGAACTGGAGATTTATATATAAAATAACAGAATTATATTTAAGTAGCTAAAATTTGTTTAATATGCAATGCATTAAACTACCTCATCAAACTTGTATGGACTTTCGACATTAACATCATCATCTTTGGATGATGGAGTTTGTGATTTAATAGCAAGCTGATATGTTCCAAATGAAGGTAAGTAATCATAGGCTGCTCGTTGAAATGACCATGCAGAATACTGCTTCGATGGTTCAGGTTGAGCTAAAGCATATAAAATATTTTTTTATGTTCCAATGTAAGTAAAAAAATTTGACGGTTCAACAGAACTGTCCAGGGTGCGAAAAGTCAACGAACGTTTGTTAAAAAAAAGACAGAAAAAAGAACGTCATGTTTCCTTACTTTTAAAGGGATCCCAAACTCCCAACACATGTTGTGTTCATATTAAAGATAATGTTAAAAAAAAAGGTTTGAACCAAATTTTTTTGATTAAAAATAAATAATGAATGCATACCGTGAAAAACAAATGTTGTTGTTTTTGCCAAAGCTCGTCTTCTCCATTTTTTTCAACTACTCGGAGTCTTCAAATTATGCGTCGCAATCTACAGACTTTGGAGCGCGTTTAATTCATAATTCCTTTGAATAATATTTAAATAATAATTCCTTTAAATAAGGAATTATTATTTAAATATTATTCAATTTTTGAGATAAATATTATTCAAAAAATATTTATCTCAAAAATTGTTTTACATTAATTACCCTTATAAAATTAGTAACAGCTTTTTTATTTGATTAGACGATATTTCGTTTCAATTTACTTTGCATGAAGTTCGGAAAGTTAAACAAAAAAAATAAGTTTGAATAATCACGTCGAAATATATTTAAAACAAATTATTTTAATGACGGGGGTTCTAAAGTTTTTTATAACAAATGTAGGTAAAAAAATAAATAACTAAATAAAAAGTTCAGTATTAAACACCATTTCTTTATTATATTGCAACTGTAAATATTGAATTATTAACTTGAACTAAATTTACTTATTATTTAGAACGAATAAGCAATAAAAATAAAATGCCCCTAAAATTATGCGAGATTGTGTTGTTTATTTGATAACTGTTGTTGGTAATGTTGTTTATGTTGATTATTTTCATAAATATCAAAATAGTTCCAGATTAATCTGTTCGTTGCTTTGCTCATTGTTGATTTATTTCTAATTTAATTTTATCTCAAACTATAATTATATGTTAAAAAAGAAAAGTTTTTATTTCATCGGGCGCTCTTTTTATAAAAGAGTAGAACAAAAGAGAAAGAAAAGTTTTGCGTAATTAAACTTTGAATGAATAAGAGTTGTATAGAATATGTATTTTTTTTGCGTCACTCGTTCCTTTTTTAGATTTGAGAAATAAAAGTTTAAAAGTAAATTTTCTTTGAATAAATGAGAATTGGAAGAGAAAATTGTTTGAAAATTTGTATTTGTTAATTGTATTTTTAAAAATTTTTAATTTTTCATGTTAAGAGACAAATGCCAATTACTACACAAATTTGGAAATACCAAATATAATGTTTTTTAATGCGCGTTATGACATTTTAACAATTTAAATTACCATCTATCTTGAATTATTGCCATTAATTAATGTGTTAATTATTGTGTTATTAAATAATAATTTGTCCCTATTTTTGTTAAATATTAGTTGTATAAAATTGGCGAAAATATACAAACTTCATGTTTTTAATTTGATGGTTATAAAGTATTGTACAGTAAACTTATAATCAAAATTTATAATGCCGACTTGTGTTGCTATTAATTGTACTTTTATTGCAAAATCAGGATCTCACATATCCTTTCACGAATTTTCATATCTGATACTACTGTCAACTGTATTGTTTAGTGTATTTTTTTTTTTTTTTTCATAGCCTTAACAGGTTCTAATTGGTATGGAGTTACTGACATTTTAAAAATTTCATTATCAAAAATCAAATGTAAAATAAAATGATATTTCCTTTTTATCTGTATCCAATTCAGCAAATCTAACAATTTAAATCAAATCAGCGTGATCAAAAAACTTTTATAATAAAAAAAGTTAACAATTCATCAAATATCTCTAATTAATACTGTCAGTTTATGAAAGTAATTGTTAATAAATACTTTTTTTCAATGGGAAAACAAAAAATTGTCATAGCGTAAAAATAACCAGAGAAGTTAGAAAATAGTTCCCATTGTTTAAATAAAAATAATTAAGAATCAGAATATATAATACTGCGCTCTCTTGCGCAAAAACAAGAGATCGTATATAAAACGTTCTATATAATGTAAAATACTCATATGAAAATTATGAGATTGGTAAGTAAAGCTTTAATATTTGTTTTAATTAAAATAATTAAAGAGATATAAGTAAGATATATAAATCTAAAAATTATTAAGATATCTGTAAAAAATAAGTTGCTCCTATAAAATAAAAATAATTTATTGTTTTTACTTTTTACAAATTTTTTTTTGCGATTTTTGGAAAAATAATACAAATAAATTTGTTTTGCTGCATGTTAAAAAAATACTACAGTAGAAAAACGCAGCTTAGTTTAATTACACTTTTCTTTTGTTAAAAGTCTACTGTGACATCAAATACTAAAACTTTTATGAATTAAACGCGCTTCAAAGGAATTGCCAAAGTCTGTAGATTGCGACGCATAATTTGAAGACTCCGAGTAGTTGAAAAAAATGGAGAAGACGAGCTTCGGCAAAAAAAACAACATTTGTTTTTCACGGTATGCATTCATTATTTATTTTTAATCAAAAAAATTTGGTTCAAACCTTTTTTTTTAACATTATCTTTAATATGAACACAACATGTGTTGGGAGTATGGGATCCCTTTAATTAAAGTGATCTAAAACTCCCAACACATGTTGTGTTCATATTAAAGATAATGTTAAAAAAAAAGGTTTGAACCAAGTTTTTTTGATTAAAAATAAATAATGAATGCATACCGAGAAAAACTAATGTTGTTATTTTAGCCGAAGCTTGCCTTCTCCATTTTTTTCAATAACTCGGAGTCTTCAAATTATACGCCGCAATCTACAGACTTTGATGATCCATTTGAAACACATTTAATTCATAAAAGTTTTAGTATTTAACTATTAACAAATGAAACTCTGGAAATATTTTTATTTATTTTTATTCGAAATTTTTTCAATTTGTTTAGTTTTTTTTTCTATTTTTAACATTTAAAAAGTTATTTAAAAACCTTAAATATTTTATGCTGGTTCGTTGTAAATTGAATTGTTATTGCGCCATATATTTAATGTTTATAAATTATGAATATTTATTATCTCAATCAAGACTGATAAAAAATTGTTTTACGTTAATTACCCGTATAAAATTAGTAACAGCTTTTTTATTTGGTTAGACAATATTTCGTTTCAATTTTCTTTGTTCGGAAATTTCGGAAAGTCAAACAAAAAAAATTAGTTTGAATAATCACGTCGAAATATATTTAAAACAAATTATTTTAATGACGGGGGTACTAAAGTTTTTTTTATAACAAATGTAGGTAAAAATAAATAACTAAATAAAAAGTTTAACATTAAACATCATTTCTTTATTATATTGCAACTGTAAATATTGAAATATTACCTTGAACTAACGAACTTTACCTTGAACTAACGAACTTTACTTATTATTTAGAACAACTAAGCAATAAAAATAAAATGCCCCTAAAATTATGCGAGATTGCGTTGTTTATTTGATAACTATTGTTGGTAATGTTGTTTATGTTAACTATTTTCATTAATATCAAAATAGTCCCAGATTAATCTGTTAGATACTTGGCTCATTGTTGATTTATTATTAATTTAATTTTATCTTACAGTATAATTATATGTTAAAAAAGAAAAGTTTTTATTTCAGTGTGCGCTCTTTTTATAAAAGAGTAGAACAAAAGAGAAAGAAAAGTTTTGCGTAATTAAACTTTGAATGAATAAGAGTTGTATAGAATATGTATTTTTTTTGCGTCACTCGATCTTTTTTTAGATTTGAGAAATAAAAGTTTAATAGTAACTTTTCTTTGAATAAATGAGAATTGGAAGAGAAAATTGCTTAAAAATTAGTATCTGTTAATTGTGTTTTTAAAATTTTTTAATTTTTCATGTTAAGAGACAAATGCCAATTATGACACAAATTGGGAAATACCAAATATAATATGTTTTTTAATGCGCGTTATGACATTTTAACAATTTAAATTACCATCTATCTTGAATTATTGCCATTAATTAATGTGTTAATTATTGTGTTATTAAATAATAATTTGTCCCTATTTTTGTTAAATATTAGTTGTATAAAATTGGCGAAAATATACAAACTTCATGTTTTTAATTTGATGGTTATAAAGTATTGTACAGTAAACTTATAATCAAAATTTATAATGCCGACTTGTGTTGCTATTAATTGTACTTTTATTGCAAAATCAGGATCTCACATATCCTTTCACGAATTTTCATATCTAATACTACTGGCAACTGTATTGTTTAGTGTATTCTTGTACTTTTTTTCATAACCTTAACAGGTTCTAATTGGTATGGAGTTACTGACATTTTAAAAATTTCATTATCAATAATCAAATGTAAAATAAAATGATATTTCCTTTTTATCCGTATCCAATTCAGCAAATTAAGCAATTTAAATTAAATCAGCGTAATCAAAAAATTTTATAATAAAAAAAGTTAACAATTCATCAAATATCTCTAATTAATACTGTCAGTTTATGAAAGTAATTGTTAATAAATACTTTTTTTCAACAGGAAAACAAAAAATTGTCATAGCGTAAAAATAACCAGAGAAGTTAGAAAATAGTTCCCATTATTTAAATAAAAATAAGTAAGAATCAGAATATGTAATACTGCGGTCTCTTGCACAAAAACAAGAGACCGTATATAAAACATTCTATATAATGTAAAATACTCATATGAAAATCATAAGATTGGTAAGTAAAGCTTTTATTTAAAAACAAAAGAAATTTAAGTAAGATATATAAATCTAAAAAATATTAAGATATCTGTAAAAAATAAGTTGCTCCTATAAAATAAAAATAATTTATTGTTTTTACTTTTTACAAAATATTTTTTTGTTTCGAAAAATACAAATAAATTTGTTTTACGATATGTTAAAAAAATACTACATCGTACTTTTTGAATTAAAGTAGAAAAACGCAGCTTTGTGTAATTACACTTTTCATTTGTTAAAAATCTACCGTGACGCCAAATACTAAAACTTTTATGAATTAAACGCGCTTTAAAGGAATTGCTAAAGTCTGTAGATTGTTACGTATAATTTGAAGACTCTGAGTTATTGAAAAAAATGAAAAGGCGAGCTTCGGCTAAAACAACAACATTAGTTTTTCTCGGTATGCATTCATTATTTATTTTTAATCAAAAAAACTTGGTTTAAACCTTTTTTTTTAACATTATCTTTAATATGAACACAACATGTGTTGGGAGTTTAAGATCCCTTTAAGCAAACGTTGACGTTTGCTTAAATTTTTTAAAAACGAACGCATATCTTCAGCAATTTTTTTTCCAAATAATAGTTTTTTATTTATTATAAAAAAAACATAATTAATATTAAAAAAATAAGTTACTAAAATTTAAAACGCGGTTTCAATGACATTAAAAGAAACCGTGCTATTACTTTCTTTAAATTTCTTATAAGTATGCTACTGTAGAAAAAATTATATTTTAGCATGGTTTTTACATGCGTTTACAAAAGAATGGCAATTTTAAGTTAAAATGAACGCATTTGCAATTACTTTAAACGGAACAATGCTAAAACATTCTTGTTTCAAAAGCGTGCTTTTTTTTAAATTTTCTTATTATCATTACATTAAAGTAATGTTTACTTGCTGTTTTTAAAGTTAAAAAAAAAATTTGCAGAAATATATATAATTTAATAGAAATTATAGAAATATTATATTGATTATAGTTTTCATTTTTTACTGTGCGTTTAACAACAATAATATGATACTTTTTTTATTAAATACTTAATATTATAAATATAATAATCATGAAATCATGCGAGGGAGGGTGCATATTTGACATACCTTTTAATTTAGACGTTTGTCAATAAATAAAGAAACGAACTTCAACGTTTATTAAAAAAAAAACAATTTGTCGCGCCCTGCTGTCTGTTGAACCGTCAAACAAAACTCTATATTTTATATTTAAATATAGATATATATATACACACACGTTATTTTTTTGCATTTAGCAATCACTCAAAAAATTATGAAATATTTTTAAAAAAATTGTCAATAAAAGTAGAAGTTGATAACAGAGAATACCAGTCTCAAATAATATTACCTCTTCGTGTTCTTTGATCAGTTATCTCCTCTTTATTAATAAATTTTTCTACAGCATCATAGTCAAGTAGTTCTTCTTCACAAATATTAGCTAAATATAACAACACCGTTATATAAGAAATAACAAGATTGACAAATAACTGAATAAAGCATGTATAAAATAAATACTATGAAAACTGATTAAATTCACAAGTTTGAAACTGATTAAATTCACAAGTTATATATATAAACTCAACGAATTGCATCATTACAATAAATGTAAATATTAACAAGTATATAAAACAAAAATTTAATCAAATCAAGAAATTCTAGATCCATTTAACTAAACATTTTAGATTCATTCAAACAAATAAATTCATAAAGTTAACCAATCATCAATTTAACCAATCATCAACTTAATCAATCATCAATTTAATCAATAAGGTTTATCAAACAAAAACAAAATTAAACCTCAAATAAAATCAGTTTTAAAAACAGGTAAAATAAAGTTTACCTCTTCCCAAAAAAGAACCAGATCTAAACCAAATATAGAATATATCAATATTTTACTTATTTCATGTGTGTGTGTGCGTGCGTGTGTGTGTGTGTGTGTGTGTGTGTGTGTGTGTGTGTGTGTGTGTGTGTGTGTGTGTGTGTGTGTGTGTGTGTGTGTGTGGTGTCTATATATATGTATATATATAATATATATATATATATATAAATATATATATAATATATATATATATATATATATATATATATATATATATATATATATATATATATATATATATATAAATATATATATATATATATATATATATATATAAATATATATATATAATATATATATATATATATATATATATATATATATATATATATATATATATATATATATATATATATATCCTTCTCTCGTAGTCGAAAGAGACATTTATGGTAAAAAAAAAAAAAAAGTCTCTTTTAACAATAATTCTGCAACAATTAGGCTAATTTTATTGTCGTCGAAAAGTTAAAAACAATTAAATTAATGCGAAAGTACATTAATTTTTATCATTGTTTAAAAAATTGCAATATTAATAGAAATGATTGCAATATTAACTAGAAAGTTTTTTTAATTAATAGTGTTTTTATTTTTGTTTTATTAAAAGATATTTTTTAAAGATGTGTGGAGTATTGCAATATCAACTATTTTATAGTCTGCTGCTACAAGGAAAAGCTGCTACATCGACTATTTTATAACCTGCTGCTAAAAAGGAGTGCTGCTACATCAAGTATCTTACAGCCTGCTGCTACAAGGAAGTGCTGTTAAATCGAATGAGGGTTTGGTTTGGGCAAGCAATCTATTATTTAAGAAAAAAAAAAATATATATATATATATATATATATATATATATATATATATATATATATATATATATATATATATATATATATATATATATATATATATATATATATATATATATATATAAGGGCAGGCCACAGTCCCACATAAATTTTTCAAAAAATCAATTTTACTAGTGGCTGCATAAAATATTGTTCCTTTTACTATAAATATCATTTTTTGTTATGAAAGTGTTTATGTAGCACATCTCGAAGTACTGCCGCATTTCATTTTTAACGTGAATTTAAAATCTAAACGAAAAACACAAATCCTCCATTACATCTGTTCCGTTATTTAAATTATTCGGTTAAATACATACCAATAATAGCGTTTTTTTGTAAACAAACTGAATATGTGCTATTTTTATAATGTGAAATATTTAAATCAGACTTGATATGCTTATGCAAAAAGTACTAAGAGCTTAGCAAATAATACTTTTTTTTCAATTTAACAGCCTAAGTATCTTTCTAATAAGATATTTATACTTTAATCCTTTTCTTGTAAAACAAAGCAAAACAAAAATCTTTTGTTCTGATATTTATAGATTTTTATTTTACAACACAATAACTTTATTTAGTGGTTTTCATACAATAAATAGGCACCTGTAAGAGTTGCGGTATTCGTTGAATTGTGTTCAAAGATATGTGTAATTTAGATTAAAACTCAGTATGTTTATCTTATGTTTATTTTTTTACAAATCGTAGGCCTATATGTTTAGATAATGTTTTTCAATAAGCATATAGTAACTGATTCAACACCAACATACAGACTATTTATTATTATCAGCCAGGTTATTGTCTGATCATAATTTAGCAAATTTATTAAAATCTAGCACGCCGCTGTCATTTATCTTATGTTTATGTTATTAACAATACAAAATAATTAAATGGTTAATTCTATATGCTCAACTTGTTTTCAATTCCAGTTTATATGTAGTTCAAAGTAAATATTTGATAAAGAAAATGTCACTAATTAAAAAAAAGAAAAATGACATTGAACCAACAAAATTAAAAAAGTCGGTTAAAAAGAAATACTTGAAAGTATTGAAATCAACAAACAAAATATGGTTGGTTCTTTGGAAGATTTAAAAACAAGCTCTTTGCCCACTACCAGAAATGTTTATAAATTTTTCAGGTTAGGCTTAATACTATATTAAGACTGAAGTTATAACTTTATGTTTTTGAAAGTTTTTTTAAAGATTTAAATTATTTTCATCTTCCATTTTAAGGTATCACTTGCAAGTTATTGATAGCTTTTATGAAGAGTTTACTAAAGTTAGGGAGGCATTGCACACTCAAAGCAACATTTTGAAATCTAGGTTAGCTGCATTGCTTACTATTAAATCAGTCAAGCTCTTTTGGGATAAGGCTGGTATTCCTTATAAACAAGACAAGTACAGTATTGAAAATATTTTAAGGCTACATGACAAATGGAGGTTGCTTGCAAAATCTAAAAATAGAATTTCTAATAAGAAGAGTTTACTTGAACAAAACTTTTTTCAATCATTAGATAGCATTTTTGATATTAGTTCTCCTAGTTGGGAAGATGACATTAGAAAAACCAGATCAGCTAAGGATGCAGATGAAGATATTGCCTGGTTTACAACTCTTCAAAATGGAATAAAAACTAAAGGAATTGGTGTAAAAAATAATGTGCTACATTCTAGTGTTAGGAAAAAAAAAAAGAATCAAAAAGAAACAGGTGGCAACTGAAAATAAAAAAAAAAAGAAAAATAGACGATGAAGAAACTGTTCAGTTGGTTGGTTATAGTAGTTATAGAAAATAATAACAGAATTTCAAAATTAGATTAAATCAGATTATTTGACACTTCATTGGGACGGAAAATATTTAAAACATATCTCAGGGCAAAAGTTTGAGTATTTAACTGTTTTGGTCAATGGCTTTCCTAATTGTGTTGAAGGAAAAATATTATCAATAAAATCTATACAGTCTGGTGCAGGACTTGCTATTTGCAAAGGAATCTTGGAAGACTTAGAGGAATGGAATCTCAAAGCCAACATTGTCGCCCAGGTTTTTGATACGACTGCATGTAATACAGGAGTTAGGAATGGAGCTGCAACTCTTTTAGAGGATTGTAAATCAATAAAAACTCTTCTTTGGATGGCTTGTCACCATCACATTTTAGAATTGATCTTGGGAGCATTTTGGAGCTCCTTATTTAAAAAAGAAAAAAAAGCTAATTATAATGTAGATTTCAAAGATTTTCAACAAGAATGGGTTTGCACAGAGAAGGCTCCACTAAAAAAACTAAATGGGTTTCTAGATCTTGAAAATTCTTTTCTTAAAACAAAAGCAGACAAAACTCGTGTGTTCTTAGAGAAACAAGTAAAATGTAAGCATCGCCGAGGTGATAACAAGGAAGCTGCAGAGTTAGCACTTTATCTTTTAGGCGGACCAGAACCTAAAGTATGGAAAACCTGTGGAGCAAATTACCATGCCAGATGGATGTCACACTTGTTGAATGCACCGAAGATGTTCATCTTTAAAGAAGATTTACTTGATTCTGATATAGCAAAGTTAAAAATCTTTTTGACTTTCAGCTCAGTTTTATATGTTAAAGCTTGGCTAGAAGCAACAAAAGGCTCTGATGCACCAATTCATCGCCAACTATATTCATTTATACAATGATCTCAGGCTTCTCTAATGCAGCTCAAAAAGCTCAAGAAGTTCTTAACAGGCACTCATGGTATCTAACTGAGGAGGTTTTAGTCTCTTTTCAAATAAAGTTTCTGCTAAAGAAAAAGCTAACATTGCGTTAAAATTGATAGATGTAGCAAAGCCACTTGCTATCAACTCTGGAAAACGTAGTCTTCCATCTATTTACAAGAACTTAGAGATATTGCTGTATATTGGGAAAAGATCTTGGTTTTATTTTTTTTATATTCTTGTGTAATTCATATAAAATGTGTAAAAGTTAGTAGCCACAAAAGCTTTTGAACTTATTCACAAATTAAAGTAACTTAAAAAAATTCTTTCTAAAAAAAATGGTTTAAAAATGTTTTAGGAATACATAAGAAAATAGTTGTAAATTTAAATGTTTGAATTTAAATTCAAACATTTAAATTTATCATTAAAAATATATATATATGTATATATATATATATATATATATATATATATATATATATATATATATATATATGCATATATATATATATATATATATATATATATATATATATATATATATATATATACCTATATATATATATATATATACCTATATATATATACATACTGTTATATATATTGAATATATATATTCGTACTGGTAGTACTCTGATATTTTACAGCTGTTGATGTAATCAGCCTCTCTGAGAGCTACCAAAGAGTTTTGGGGAACCTGAATACCACCCAGCCTCAGAATCATAAAATTGAGTTTAAGAGCTTTTAGAGTACCCTCATTAAGAGATAATAGAATGAGTAGTCAAGAGACACAAGCAAAACCTGGCATTGAAGAAGATCCAGCATTCAACATCCTAAACTGGAAACAATGTATTATTGATTCATCTATGCCAGCCTAAGAAGAAGAAGAAGGGGTGTGAGGCTGGTCAACAGATAAAACCTGTTTACCACTTAAATTTAAATTTTTAGAAGTTTACAAATATTGTGGTGTAAAAAGGGCTACTATCCAGTTTTGGGCAACAAACTAGCTATTTTTTCATTAAAATGTTACCTGCCTCAGAGAATAGTCTCATTTTAAATGTTACTTAAACTTTAAGTAACATTTAAATAATATAGGATGCCTAATACAGTAAATATTTCAACTTTAACCAAAATGGAAAAATAAAAAACAAAAAAATAATTTTAAATACAAATATTATGCAGGTTAAAATTTTCAATAAAAAAAAAATTATAAGAAAGAAATAAAAACAACATATTAGATTTAAGTGAAACAAAAATCAAATTAATGAAATAGGTTTTATATATATATATATATATATATATATATATATATATATATATATATATATATATATATATATATATATATATATACACATATTATATGTTATAAGTAAATATTCCATAGCCACAATGCTTTCACTTTTAATCTTCAAGGTAAATAATACATCAATGCAATTCTTGTTCCGACTGGAATTTTATAAACAATTCTGGTAAATCCAGTTCTAGCCAGAATTTAAAATTTCTATTCCGGTTCACCCCTATTAAAATTCCAAAACCTTGTGCTCTTGTTCTCTAAAAAGAGTTGAACCTTCAAACTGCATCTCAAAATATGTACTTTTAATCATTCACTGCTCTACATTGATAAATTCCATATTTAAAAAATTTCAACATGTTTTGCTTTAAATATTTTTTTTGTTGGTTTTTTATATGTAAATAAATAAAATTTACATCTATTAAATTGAATTTATTAGGTAACACCTAAGAAAATTTTAAATATAATCGTATTAAAAACAACGCAAAAACAAAATGATCCAGGGTATGTACATTATGTCATATTTGTTCAAATTTCATATAAAAAATTTTTAAAAGTTTGATTTGTGCATAAAATTTCAGAAAACAAAAATAAATGGATTTTGACATTTAATCAAGAAATTAAATTAAATAAATGATTATTTCAAAAAAAAAAAAAAAATGTGTCTCTGAAATTAAATTGTTTTATCTTTTATTTTTGTAATACAAACAATAAACTTTTGTCACTATAATATCAAATCAGCTATTTCTGTATTTATTATTTTTCCAATAAATTCATACTACTTGTGAAAAATCAAAGTGAATAATATAAATTTTTTTAAAACATATAACTCTAAACATTAAAAAAATGATTCAGGTCATTTATTTTTACAATAAAGTATATATAAAAACACTTTTATAACAAATAAAAACAACAATTTAAACCTTGGTGTCTTTTTTGCTCCACTTGTGTTCAGTGCTGCTGGAGAAGACTTGCTGCTATTTAATAAAGTTGTTGGTGAGCTATTATCATGAAAAGAGATTGGAGAGGGTGTGCTTGTGTACGGCTAAATTTAAAATAATTTAAACTTATAAAATTTAAAGCAAACAGTAAAACTTAGTTAAAGTAATTACTATACTTACATAAGAATATGATTGACTGACATTTCTACTAGGAGAAAACTGAGTGCGACTCGGTGAAAACTGAGAACGACTTGGAGAATTCCCTACATTTATTGATATTATAATGCAACAATGAATTTTATTACATTTATTGATATTATAAAGCATCTAATTTAAGTTGATAAATATTATCAACTATTTATTATCAAGGAAAGTAATAAATGTATATATGTATATATACATTTATTACTTTAATAAATGTATATATACATTTAATAATAATATATAGTAATAAGTGTATATATATATATATATATATATATATATATATATATATATATATATATATATATATATATATATATATATATATACATAAATATATATATATATATATATACTTACACACATATATAACTATCTATCCATCTATCTATTTATCTATCTATCTATTTATCTATATACATAAATATATATATATATATATATATATATATATATATATATATATATATATATATATATATATATATATATATATATATATATATATATATATATATATATATATATATATATAGGTTTGGTCGGGAAGCGGGTGCAATTGCACTCGATAATTGACCACGGAAATAATATTTAGTTGCGAAAAACCAGCCAGATTATTAAGTCGTATTGAGAACATTTCAAAAACAAACAAAAAAGTGCAATAAGATTAACTGGACCGATGAGAGACAGTTAAAAAAAGCTTTTAACGCAAAAAAACATTAAGCAAAATAAATACAATTAGAGAAATATTTTCGAAATGTCGCTCTTTTATAATTTTTTTTTATAAAATTAAGTGACATTTTTTTGTATTAAGTAACAACTTACTACTAATGATATTATTAACTTACTATAATTTTAATTAGTATCTAAACAGAAAAAAGTAACTTTAAGTATAATGAGTTTGTAAGAATGGCTGAAGCAAAAATAATTGAAGTTAATGAACCAATTTCTAAGAACTTAAAGACTTTTCTTTCTTGGGGAAAAGAATCAGTTATCGGGTACACTGAGGAAAATGGATTAGTGGTTAAAAGTATTAACTTTGATGATTATTAATAATTTCATTAAAAACGCAGTTATCATTGAAAGTATTTTTGTTTACAAAATCAATCGCACAAATTGCTTTAAAAGATTACATTTGAATAAAATACACATACATAAGATTACATAGATAAAAATACATTACATACATAAAAATACATTACATACATAAAAAATACATCCCTTATATAAAAAAATAAGAATATACTAAAATCTATAATATATTTACAAAACATTGACAAATTAAAAAAGATAAATTTAAAACATTTATTATTGTAAACAAATAGTGTTAGTTTAAAACATTTATAGCAATGTAGATGTGGCTCCGAGAATTAAAATAATAGTTCGTTTGATATTCTTAAAACAATTTATGCTAGAATTCTTAACGAAAACATAACAAAACTCAAATGATACAATTTTTAAAAATATTTCAACAGAATACTCTAAAAATTTCAGTTAGTATTTTTTGAACCAATAGAATTAGTTGTTCGTAGATTTGGCGGGTTTTTTGTGTTTGCAAATACTCTTTTTTTATTTTTCCACACAAAGATGTTTGAGAACATTCGAGTTTATGTATGTTTCCATGTATGTCCGTAAAACAAAATTTACGATAAAATAATGAACTTAATTAAGGAAACATACATAAATTAAAATGATCTCAAAACGACTAAAAAATCTGGCCGGTTTTTCGCAACTAAATATTATTTCCGTGGTCAGTTATCGAGTGCGATCGCACCTGCTTCCTAACTAAGGCTATATATATATATATATATATATATATATATATATATATATATATATATATATATATATATATATATATATATATATATATATATATATATATATATATATTATATATATATATATATATATTTAATTATCTTCACTTCCAACAAGGCTGCAAGCAACCACTAATTAGTGTTGGAAGTTACTGGAAGAGAAAAGATGAAGATTGTAGAGCAAGATAACGATTGACAGACGACTTAAAAGATTGCAAAATATATGAATCAGGAAAGCAAGATGAAGGAAGCGAATTCCAAAGAACTGATGTTCGAGGAAAAAAACTAGATGAATAAGAGTTTTTGGATCACTTAGGAACAGTAACAGAAAAAGGATGAGACTTAATTGAATGACGAGTAACACAAGAATGAATTTTAGTAGATGGCACAAGAGACGCTAGCTCCTTCGAGCAGTGCCCATTATAGTATTTGTAGAAAAGAGAAAGAGAAGCAACATTACGACGATGTGACAGAGGTTAAATATTGGCTGCAAGAGCAGGTCCAAATATGTTTACAATGCGTTTTTGCACCTTGTCTTAAAGAGAAAGGGCATCATTAGAAGATCTGCCCCAGATATGGCAACAGTATTCCATACAAGGCCAAATTTGAGATTTATAGAGATAGAGAATAGAATCCAGAGTAAGAAAGTGATGAGCTCGATAAAGAGAAGCAACTTTAGCAGATGCTTATTTTACAACGGATTTGATATAAGGTTTCCAAGAAAGATCAGAAGTAAGAGTTAATCCTAGAAGATGAAGGGTAGGAGACTCATCGAGTACATTACCTATAGGAAGGTCTAAATTATTGCGATAACGATTGGGCGAAAAAAATTGAGTTTTATCTGAATTAAAGTTCACCAGCCACTGTGAGCCCCATGCTGTAGCAGAAGTGAGATCCTTTTCAAGCTCAGATGCCCCCTGTAAGCAATCAGAGGGAGTTGGCTTTTTATAATGACAAGAATAAATGGTAATATCATCAGCGAACAATGCCACCTTAGATGTGAGAATATCTGGAAGATCGTTAATGTAAATTAAAAAGAACATAGGACCAAGGATTGAGCTTTGGGAACCCCTGAGGTTACAGAATAAGAAGAAGAGTGCTGTCCATCAAGGACAACTTTTATACTACGATTGGAAAGAAAGGATTCAATAACCTTAAAGATGTTTTCAGATACACCGTAAGAAGAAAGCTTATGGAGGAGACCAGCATGCCAAACTTTATCAAACGCTTTAGAAATGTCAAGAGCAATGGCCTTAACCTCTCCACCTTTATCTAATCCGTAATAAAACCTATCGGTTATTACTGTTAGCAAATCAGCTGTAGAATGAGAAGATCAAAATCCATATTGATGATCAGAAAGTAGGTTATGAGATTCGAGATTAAGTGTTTGTTAATTAAAGATTCAAAAACCTTGTTTATGATAGAAAGAAGACTAATGGGACGGTAGTTAGACGAATCAGATCGCTCTCCAGAATTTTTAAAAATAGGGATAACAGATGCTGCTTTCCAGCAGGCTGGAAAACAAGACTCTGCTAAGCACTTGTTGAATAGTTTTGAAAGGATAGATGACAGCTCCGGAGAACACTTCTGCAAGACTATAACAGGTATGTTGTCCGGGCCGCAAGCTGTAGAAGAGTCTAAGTGGGAAATCACTTTAGATACAGAAGCTGGAGTGATATGAATGTCAAGCAATGGATCATATATAGTATATATATATATATATATATATATATATATATATATATATATATATATATATATATATATATATAAGTATATTTATATTATTATTATATATACTGTTATTCTGATCATATTAACCAAGCCCTCTCTCTTTATTCATCAGCCAATATTGTTGTTGTTGGTGACTTTATTGTTCATCGCACAGAATGGCTTGGCTCTAGTGTCAATGACTCTGCAAGCATTAAAGCCCACAACTTTTGTTTTTCTCAATCCCTAACTCAAATAGTCAACTTTCCAACTCGCAAAAGCCCACTATTCTCAGTTCATGAAATCTCGTATTTCATCATAAAAATTAAGCTCTCTTAACTTCTGGAGAATTTTTAATAGTATCAATAATAAGGGCAAGCTTGTAATTCCACCTCTTTTGTATGGTTCAGACTTTGTCACCTCACCTAAAAACAAAGTTGAACTGTTTGCTAAGAACTTTTAATCAATATTATCTCTTGATTACACTAGTTGCGTTTTACCTGATATAGCCGCCAAACAGGTTGATCCATTGCTTGACATTCGTATCACTCCAGCTTCTGTATCTAAAGTGATTTCCTGCTTAGACTCTTCTACTGCTTGTGGCTCAGACAACATACCTGTTGTAGTCTTGCAGAAGTGTTCTCCGGAACTGTCCTCTATCCTTTCAAAACTATTCAACAAGTGCTTAGCAGAGTCTTGTTTTCCAGCCTACTGGAAAGCAGCATCTGTTATTCCTGTTTATAAAAATTCTGGAGAGTGATCCAATTCGTCTAACTACCATCCCAATAGTCTTCTTCCTATCATAAGCGAGGTTTTTGAATCTTTAATTAACAAACACTTAATCTCTCATCTTGAATCTAATAACTTTCTGATCATCAATATGGATTTTGATCTTCTCCTTCTACGGCTGATTTGCTGATAGTAATAATCGATAGGTTTTATATTACATTTGATAAAGGTGGAGAGGTTAAGGCTCTTGACATTTCTAAAGCGTTTGATAAAGTTTGGCATGCTGGTCTTCTCCATAAGCTTTCTTCTTACGTTGTATCTGGAAGCAAGATTATTAAATCCTTCCTTTCCAATCATAGTATAAAAGTTGTCCTTGATGGACAGCACTCTTCTTCTTATTCTGTAACCTCAGGGGTTCCGAAAGCTCAATCCTTGACCCCATACTCTTTTTATTTCACATTAATGATCTTCCAGACATTCTCACAACTAAAGTGACATTGTTTTCTGATGATACTACCATTTATTTTTGTCTTGATAAGAAGCCAACTCTCTCTGATTGCTTAGAGGGGGCATTTGAGCTTGAAAAGGATCTCACTTCTACTACAGCATGGGGCTCACAGTGGCTGGTGAACTTTAATTCAGATAAAACTCAATTTTATTCAGCCAATCGTTATTGCAATAATTTAGATCTTCCTATATTTCTGAATGGTAATGTACTTGATGAGTCATCTACTGTTCATCCTCTAGGATTAACTCTTACTTCTGATCTTTCTTGGAAACCATATATTAAATCCGTTGCAAAATTAGCATCTGCTCAAGTTGCATCTTTTTATCGAGCTCGACACTTTCTTACTCTGGATTCTATTCTCTATCTCTATAAATCTCAAATCCGACCTTGTATGAAATACTGTTGTCATATCTGGGGCGGATCTTCTAATGATGCCCTTTCTCTTTTAGACAAGATGCAAAAACGCATTGTAAACATAGTTGGACCTGCTCTTGCAGCCAACCTTCAACCATTATAACATCGTTGTAATGTTGCTTCTCTTTCTCTTTTCTACAAATACTATAATGGGCACTGCTCTAAAAAACTAGTGTCTCTTGTGCCATCTACTAAAATTCACTCTCGTGATACTCGTCATTCAGTTAAGTCTCATACTTTTCCTGTTACTGTTCCTAAGTGCTCCAAAAACTCTTACTTAAAAGTCTAGTTTTTTTTCCCGAACATCAGTTCTTTGAAATTCTCTTCCTTCATCTTGCTTTCCCGTTTCATATAATTTGCAATTGTCGTCTGTCAATTGTTAACTTGCACTACAATCTTCACTTTTTCTCTTCCAACACCAATTAGTGGTTGCTTGCAGCCTTGTTGGAAGCGAATATAACGAATAAGAGTGTTGTTATATATATATATATATATATATATATATATATATATATATATATATATATATATATATATATATATATATATATATATATAACAACACTCTTATTCGTTTTGTTATAGTAGAAACAGAGCATTTGAAAATGTGAGTAACAATTTAGATGAAGCCTATTACATGTTTTTTTAGTTGTTTAAAAATTTTTTGCCTTAAGGAAACGTGCAATATGCAAAGACAAAAACTAAAAAAACTAAAAGAATTAAACATGAACTTGTTTTTTTTAAATCAAAAATTATAGGTATCAACAACTATTTATCATGATTAAAAAATAATAATTAAACTTAAGAATAACTGTTTTTTGTCACTTCTTTCGTTTAGTTTTTGGACATGTCTGGTTTCTACAGTGAGGTATTTTATTTCATTAAAAACTTTTTTGAAGAAAAAATTTTTTAAGTGAGTGAAAGTTATGCATATGAAGGTAAGTTTAATATGATTTTGGAATCTAAAACATTGTAAAATTTAGAATTCAAGCATTATTTTATAAACATTTTGTACAATTAAAGAAAATAAAAATATCTAAAAAGGCATACCATCTTAAAAGTGAATTAGAAATTTTAGATAAATGTTAAAAAATTTACAGAACTATACAAGAGCTCTCTACTCTCTGAGTAAGTCTTGCTGATTGGAAGACCTAGACATTGTCAGTCACAAGACTGTTTAAAAAAGTAACACTACTCTGAAAGCTTCTCTTATAACTTGGATGAGAGATAAAGCCACTTGCTTGGAGTGCAGGAATAAATTTTTTTTTGGTAAGATATAACCAAAGCACAAAACCATAAAAACGGAGCAATATAAAGCTCTATTTATAATCAAACTAAAACTGGAATCAGGTATAAATTTTATAAAATTTAAAAAAAATTTGAATTGGTCTTTTATCTCAGAATTTTTTATGTCAGATTCACTCTACCATCACACTTCATGCAACTACCTTAAGTATTAAATTTCTTTTTTGGTTTTCTTTAAATAGTTCTTGGACTGTTATCTTTTGTTTCTCTATTGAAAAATGTGCTTAAAATGTAATATCCTGGATTCCTTTAGGCATGGAAGCCTTTATACAAAAAAAAAACTTTTATACAAATAATACTAAATTTTTACACAAATTTTATACAAATAATACTAAATTTAACATATCTCATATTAACCTTTTTCATAAAAAGTGTAAACTTTATAATTCAATGTACATTTATTATTTTATGTAATTTAACCTAAAATAAAACATTATCAAAATAACATTAAAGCATTATCAAAATAACAATAACAACATTTATTAAACATTTTTGAATGGTTATTTAGGTCAAACTATATTTAATAAAACCAAAAAATTGTAAGCTTTTACCAGGAGACGATCGTAAAGGACGAGGGGGAGTTCTTCTTATAGGATATGACAATGTTGAGGGCTCAGGTGCTTTTCTTAGGTTTAAATTAGTCACATCATCTGTAATATGAACTAAATTTTCTAAAAAAAAAAATAGTAAACTATATAAGGTATAATAGTTATAAATAAAAAATTAATTAAAAATAAACGAAACAAATTAAAATGAAATTTTTTCATTTTACAGGTTACCATTTAACATCATTTAAGCTTAACCTAATTTTGAAATATTGTTTTATTTTTGTTAATGTAAACATGAAAAGGCTTGTGTGAAAATATTTGAAATAAGTTTTGGTTTTTAACAATAATTTAAATAATATTATGAATCACATGAATTAAACATCTTTTAATATATATATTTTTTAATAGCCTTATAAAAAAGCATTAGTACATTTTAGCATGCTTAAGGATATTTTTCCTTCCTTCCTGACATTCCATACAATATGATAGGCTACTCATTTTTATGTAAATTACTGTTTATTATATATATATATATATATATATATATATATATATATATATATATATATATATATATATATATATATATATATATATATATATATATATATATATATATATATATATATATATATATATATATATATATATATTCATTCTTTCTTGTTTCATATTTTTAATTTAATAGGAGTTTGCACTAACTGAAAATATGAGAGTACATGATAAGAAGAGTTTTTCCAAAAGCTTCTAAGAATTTATCTTTTATTGATGCTTGTCAAAAAGGAAGATTCTTTTAGAGAATATTTTGAAATGCCACATTAGTTGCAGTGCTCAAAATGTAATTTTTTCACCTGTAACCTGTAAAATGAAAAAATTTCATTTTGATTTGTTTCGTTTATTTTTAAAAACAGGTTATTTTTCGTTGAATTTTTCAAAATGTCCCTAAAAATGGCTGATCATTGATTGTTAATTGGCTGTTATTTCGAAGTGTCATTTTAATATCAACTAATGTGGATTCATTATCAATTAATAATGAAGTGCTTAAATGCCTACTGTCAGAGTATAAAACTTAAGTGCTAATCAAACTGAGTTTGGCAATCATGATAAAAGAAATGAACAACATTTAAGCTGTTTGAAACAGCTGTTTGTACAGGTGGTAAACAAAATTTACATATAATAAACAGCTGTTTGTACAGGTAGTAAATGTATTTATCTTTTTTTTACCACAAAATCAGAAATTATTTACCTTTTTTACTTAAATATTATTAAATAAAATTAAGAAATAACTTTGTTTACTAGTAACATTACAAAAATTAGACATTTCTTTATTGATGAATGAAAACCTTCTCACTTAGCCCTCTTCTTTACGCCACACTTAACTTGTTATTCAGCATAGTAGTCTCATTCTTTTACTGTATTTGTCCTTGCATGCTCTAAAAACTTTTATTTGTCTGGTTTTTTTCCTTACACTTCAACCCTTTAGAACTCTCTCTCAACTTCATGTTTTCCTGACTCATATAACCTACAACTTTTGTCAACCAATTCCTTGCTCTTTAACTCTATTTCTTTTTTTTTCTTCTCCCAACTTAATAGCGGTTGCTTGCAGAATTGTTGGTAGTGAATCAGAATTAAAAAAAAAAAAAAAGCAGATTTTTAAATGTATTTATCTTTTTTTTTTTTTTGCTATGCTACAATAATGTATTTGTCATGTTGATAATAAGTTTATTTTTACATAGTAACAGTGTTATTGAAATGACTTGTTGTCTTTTGTTTTAGATAAAATTTATTTTCAGAATGATTTGAATGTAGTACATGCAAGATACATATATACAATAAATAAGTAGTAGTAGTAGACTCGCTACAGCAATATAACTAAGCAATATAATTAGACATTTAATGATACAACAATTAATTAGTCATTTATTGCTAGTTTTAAAAAAAGCATCTATTTTAATAATATTAAAATAAATTATTAAAAATATCATATTTAATAAAAAATATTGTACCATGCTCAAGCATAAAACAACAACAAAAAATCATATTAAATAAAAACATTATACCATGTTCAAACCGAATACCAAGAAGTTTCTTTTGGCAAAGATTCATTTGAACAGATAACTTGCTCCATGATAGTGAGCAAAATAATAAAAAATTTATCAATGTATTCCAAAGGCAGAAAAACAGAAAGCCATAATCTAAAATTCAACATAAAGACTAAATAACAGCAAATTATGATTAAAAGTTCAATTATCATAACATTAAAACAAAAATCATAATCATTTGATTTCATTAATTTCATTTAAATATTGATTTCATTTAAAAACTTGATTTTACTTATACACAAAATATTATAAACTATATATTACTCTGTATCAAATTTTGTAATCAAAAATTACCCAGAACAAAAAAAATGCAAGAACCTGTAATCTTTAAAAATAAATATAATACCAATATAATAAAGAAAAATTACCTGCATACTGTAACAAATTTGAGTCAAAAAGCCAAAAGTGAAAAAAAATCTTTTGTAAACTAAAATTTAAAATATTGAAAACATTAAAATCATTTTTTTTTTTAAACAATTTAATTTTATTATAATTAAAGACCAGTGCCATCTATCTATCTATCTACCTATATATATATATATATATATATATATATATATATATATATATATATATATATATATATATATATATATATATATATATATATATATATATATATATATATATATATATATATATATATATATATATATATACATATATATATATATATATATATAAGCCATGGTGGAGGTGGCATGCTAACAAATTGCTGCTGTAAACCAATTCCACCTTTGATTGTGAGGTTGCATACCTTTCTTTTTTTTACAAGTAGTATGATGGTTGCTGGTCAAGCAAGTTATCATTTCTTGCTCAAAATTAGTCACATCCTACACTAAGCAAAATTTCCATAGTTCCACATACAATTTGTACATATAAATAAATTTACGAAGTATTTTCATTTTTTTTTTTTTTGTTACTACAAGAATTATTCAGAATAAATAAATGAGCAAATAGTATTTTAATAGAAAATAATTATTAATTATTTTGGATAACTTTTTTTTTTTTTTTTGTTATTCACCTTAATAGTGGTCATAACCCTCTCTCAACTCTATAACTCCGAAACACGAACCTTGACAAACAAGGCCGCTGCGCGGAGAAACAAGTTGAGCACAAAATAATTTCTAACTTAAAAGTTAGAAATTATTTTGAAAAACAGGCGAAATTTCCATAGTTCCATCAAAGGTAATCCTTTATAATTTTTTTTGCCAATATTCCCCATAAATTTTCAATAGGGTTCAAGTCAGGTGAACATGATGGCCAATCCAAAACGTTTAAATTTTTTTTTGTGGAACCACTTCTTTACACTTCGTTCCGTGCATTATTTTGTTGGAAAATCCAGTTCTCAGTAGGTAAATGTTCACTAAACTCTATTAAAACATCTTCTAAAAGATCTACGTAATTGAATGCATTCATTTTTGATGTAATAAAACATATTGGAATTTTGCCGTGGAAACAAAATGCGACCCACACCATAACTATCCCTTCTCTGTTTCTCATTCTGCATAACTGTCCCTTTCATTTTCCCATTCTGCATCCCATGTTATGTAGTCCTTACGCCTTGAAGTCACAGGTAATTCAAGTTCAATCCTTATTTGTCTTGCTGTTCATACTCCGGATGATGCCAAATGCAAAATGGAAGAATGTTGCCTTTTGGTTGTTTTTTTATTTTAAAGTGATTTTTGTTGTAACTTTTACCTAAGTTTATAAAATTGTTCACTGCATGATGAGACCTTTTGATTTTATTAGCGATTTGTTGATTGGACAAACCCATATCTTTGTAAGCAACAATTTTTGCTTTTTCTTCCTCATTTAACACCTCTCCACATGGCATAGTAATATTTAAATAACAAATCTTAATTAAAAAAAACTTTCATATAAAACAAACAAATTAAAAAATCTTACTCAAACTTCAATTAACTCTTCAATTAAGTGTTCAAAACAAACTAATGGAATTATGGAAATTTCGCATGTATATATATATATATATATATATATATATATATATATATATATATATATATATATATATATATATATATATATATATATATATATATATATATATACTGATTTTAAAAACATTCTATATATACTTATTTTAAAAACATTCTAGAAAATTTAGTTTCAATTGTTTTAGAAACACATAAAATTGACATAAACACATTTGTTTGCAATAGGTTTAATAAAGAAAACTTTTGTGGTTAATTCTATAAATGCGTTCCGCATAAAATCTGCAATAACTACATGGAACTATAAAAATTTTGCTGAGTGTATTACTGTTCCTAGATGTAAATTTATTTATTTTAAGGTTTTTTTTCTTTAAATATATTCTTGCAAAAGTACAATTTTTTCATTAAATTAAACTCATCACATATTTTTCAGATATTGACTGGAAAAGTTAAAAACTGTTGAAAGCCATGGCACAAATTTATAAGTAGGGGATGAGGAGGCAGCATTGAACGGGGGCAGCTTTGAAAAAATGCATTTGTGAAGAGCGCTTGTATTTAAATTAAGTTTAGTTAATTATTCTATGAAGGCAATACTTATCCTCACATCTGTCACGTGAATATGTTGCCATTTGATATAAACTGGAATAACTAGACGATTTTTTTGTTTTTGAGTACAAATTTGAAACATTTTGATAAAAAGTTGTAAGACTTTCCTGACCACATTTTTAACAAGTGGTAAATTTTATATTATTTTTTATGTAGAAAATTTTATTCTATTTACACTGAAGCAAAAAATTTTATTAAAAAATTTTATTTTGTCTCCATAGATAGCCATTTAATTTCTAAAAAAAGCCGTTGGGGCAGTTTTAATAAAAATTTATGGGGTACCATTGAATTTTTGTTTAAAGAGCGTATGAGCGCATAAATTAAGAAGTTTGTTATTTCAAAACAAGATATTTCTAAAACTTAAGCAAAACTCTAAAAACAAAAATAAAGCTGATAAGAAAAATAATTTAATCGAAACTAATTTTGCTGGTTAACCAAATACAATGTCTTTAACTAATAATTTAAGCTCATTTCAAAATCTTTGTTAAACCTCTTGGTGATATCTTCGTTTTGAACTACCGATATGACAAAAGAGAATGACTGATGTGGTGGTGCACTTAATGGGCGTTTGCGTGACAAAAAATATTTCTGAGATTTAAAATATTATGAAGTTAACTTAATAAAAAATTAGAAAGTAAAAAAAAAAATAGTCTAAGAACTCGATTTGAACCCCAAACATCTAGAACAAAAGACGGATCGCTAAATCACTGAGCTAACTTGACACAGAGATATGAGAAAAAACTAACAATCTATAACTTAGCGCTTAAACACAGAAAAACGAAACAAACAAATGAAAAATATCTAGTCTCTTTTCTAATAAGCTAATAAGTATATATTTAAAATCTAATATGTATGTAGGTGAAGTATAACAGAATAAATATAGTCTAAAAATACACCAAGTAATTAAAAAAAATTGTTTAATCAGAGTTATTTTGGTTTAACAATGAGGATTCAAAGCTGCCCCATGCAAATTCAAAGCTGCCCCAGGTTGGGGCAGTTTTGAACATTTTCACGCACCTTGCTAGAACGAGAATACAGGCTTAACTTTTGACTTACAATTTATACAAATGAAGTAATTTCTTTCCTTAATGATTATTCTAACTGTTCAAAACAAAAAAAGTTGTAATATAGTTGTAAAATATATTTTTCTTTGATTTATAATAAAAAGTGTAAAAAGTGTTCAAAGGTGCCCCCCTCTCCCCTAACATAAATAAATAGTACAATTAAAACAAACTTTGTTTTTTGTAATATTTGATATTTTTTTGCTATATAAAATGACTTGATAACTTATTGACTGTAAATCTAAGTTAATAATGATATTATAAGTTAGACAGTACAATTAAATGAGAAGTTTTATTTTTATATTATAAATATAAAAATAAACTTTTAATAATTATGATATAATGTTATGACAGAAAAATAAACATATATGTGTGTGTATATATATATATATATATATATATATATATATATATATATATATATATACAGCTCAAAATAACAGCCGAACAACGATCGATGATCAGCTATCTTTAGGGAAATTTCAAAAAATTCATAAGAAAATACCCTGTTTCTTTGATAAAAATACATTTGATCGACAGCTTTGAAAAACTATTTTGTGCGCTGTATATATATCTACATCTCTCTCTCTCTCTCTCTCTCTCTCTCTCTATATATATATATATATATATATATATATATATATATATATATATATATATATACATATATATATACATATATATATATATATATATATATATATATATATATATATATATATATATATATATATATATATATATATATATATTTATAGTAAAAAAAAGCCTCTTTAAATGCTTTATTTAGCATTTCAGCAACATAAACAATTAAATGACATTTTTATGTCGTCTAAAAGTTAAAATAATTAAAATAATGCGGAAGTACATTAAGTTTTATCATTTTTTAGTAAAATATGCACAGCCTATTATATATTCTTTGGTTTTTTCTTGTCTTCCAAAAAATCTATAATAAGATAAAAAGAAAAGCAAAAAATTGGCAAAAGTATATCTATATATGCTATTATATATATACATACATATATATATATATATATATATATATATATATATATATATATATATATATATATATATATATATATATATATATATATATATATATATATATACATATATATAGGCCTCGGCGGGAATAAATGAGCACGATGCAGAGAAAAGCTCTCCTAAAACAAACTTGGGGAGCTGTGCGAGCTGCTAATTATTTAAATCAGCGCTCTTTTTTAATTTTAATTAAAATATATAAGTATATTATCAATTAGTTTTTTTTAAAATGACATAGTGTTTTTTATTTTAGTTACAACGATTATTTTACTTTTGTGAGAAAAACTATACTTTTGCGAGAGCCGTAAATTACTCCCGTAAACCATTTTAGGGAAGTGTGGGCGAGAGCGAGAGCTAAAGCTCTCGCTTCCCGCCAAGGCCTGTATATATGTAATATAATATATAAAAAAATAATTTATACCAAAGATAATAGAACAAATAACTAATGCCACATTGTTAGAATATAAATTTTCGTTAAGAGATTGACAAAGTAAAAAAATAATTTATTATAAAATTTATCAATAAAAAAATTTAGTACTCACCAACCAAAATAAAAACATATTGACAGAAAAAGATTTATAAAAAACCACTTGATATAACTTGTAGTTTTAATATTTGCAACAACTGCATCACTTGCCTCACTAACTACATGATGTTGGAATCGCTGTATCTTCTTTGGGCTAGAGTGATAACGATTTTTAAGATCTGGTGAAGAAATGTTTTTGGTTATTGTTTGAGACATTCAGGCTCAAGATGCTTTTGTCTCAACTGCCTGCTTTTTTGCTCAATTACCACTAAATATTTCATTAACTTATTTAAAAAAAAAAATGCATTTAAAAGCAGGAACATTGTTAATTTCTGTTTGCCATTAGTGACAATTTAGACGTCATTATTGACTTAGATGTCATTATTAACTTAGACGCCATTAATAACTTGATCTATGTAAATTCCTAACTCTTGATACTTAAACATGATTTCAAAAGCCTCTAAAAAGTTTATTTTCAATTTTTTCTTTTAAATTAGTTAACATTTATAAATACAAACAATACTTGTTCCAAGAGTACAAAATCCTTTACAATAGTTGTATATAAAACAGAGAGATGCAGTTAAGATACATTCAAAAAAAAAAGGTTAGAAAGATGCAAATGTATAACTACAATATGGGTTATGAAGTGTTTTGAAAAAACACAAACTAATCTGTTTATCTATGTTTTAACTTTATTTTTTTATATATATTTAATTAAATATTACTAAATAAATTTATTATATTTTTTTATTTAATGTTTTGAATTTGGCAAATAAAAAACATAAGGTATACACTGAAACAATATAAGCTATACACCCAAACAAAGACAAAGAGTCTATTTAAATTCTTAAATTAACAATACAAAAAAATTTGTACAGCATAATATTTTTCAGGACAATAATTTACAATTTAAATCATTCTTTCTTTTCTATTTCCTCATCCTCTCCATTATCATCTTCATTAGGTTCATCGTCTTTCGATTTCTCATGTAAGAGTACATAGTCACGAGAACTGAAGCCAAACTTTAAAACATCCTAAAGTAATTATATTTATTGAAAGTCTTTTTAACCATAAATAGTTAAAAATTAATTTACTACACAAAAGTTTTACAACATCCTAACGTACTCAAAACTTCTAACTACAAATTGTTAGGACTTTACTAGTTGCACAAATTTTGCACAACTACTTAATGTACACAACTACCTTATGTATACAACACATTATAAACTCACACTTTTTACAATTAGTTTACAAAACATTATTTTATTGTTTTTTAGTATAGTAACTCTTATATAAATTAATGATATTTAAGAAATGTACAGTCTAATTTTTATTTTAGAAAATGAAAAAATGTGAATTACACCATTATATAAGAGAAAACAATTTGAGTATTTTATCTAAAGATAATATTTTAAGTACATAAATTGTTGGAAATAGTTTAAAATTGGATCAATTTACTGTGTTGTATAAAAGAAAATAGAATAGATGCAAAAGAAATTTTTTTTTTTTTGAAAAGAAATTTAGCTCCTGGTTAGATAAAGATATGCAAAAACTAAAAAGTTAAAAATAGGCGGAAGACCAAAAATTAATTTCAATAAAGCATCAATTAAAACAAAACAAAGAAGAATAAGCAGTTTGGTGAAAGAAAATACACCAGAAGAATTATTATTTGTTGCAAGTAAAAAATGTAAAAAAAAATGAAATTTACCAGGCGCAAAAATATTTTCAGCTGATGAAGTACTTGCTTTAATTTTAGATTGTGGGCTGACTAAAAATGCATATCAACTTATAAGATCTGCAGCAGCAATTAAAGGCCACAATAACTTATATCCAGTATATAATAATGTTAAAGAATCTAAAAAACAATGCTATCCAGATATGGAAATTTGGGATGTTGACAGTTATTCAGCATTAGATAATATGCAGAGTCTCTTAAATCATACTGCATTAAGATTGGTCTCTTTACAAAGTAATGCTCTTTCACAAATTCATATGCCTAAAAAAATTTCTTATATTTTCACATTTTAAAAAACAGTTTTGTCCACTATCTGGCTCTATCTGGTATAAATTCACACTTTTCACAGTTAGTTTACAAAACAATTTCTCATTACTAAAAGTATTTTATTACTAAAAGTATTTTAAAAATATAACTTAATTTTTATTTAAATTTACTTTTATTTAAATTTATTACTTTAATTTAATTTAAAAAAAGTATTTTATTACATTTTATTACTAAAAGTAACATGGTTAATAATATGTGAATTATTTAAAATAAAAAATCATTATATTTATTAGATACTTATTAGTGTTAAAATGTAATATTTTTGCATTCATATAATATTGCACATTTATAGACTAGTCTGTATATATCATATGTTACTTGGTTTTCAAAATATCAGATTAAACAATTCCAAAAAATGTATATTATGTTCGCAAGAAAAACTTGAAATTATTACTCATTTGGATCAAGAAAATTTACTAAACAAAAAATCTGAATTAATTTCAAAAGGCAGTAGTGATTGACCGAAATTCTGTTTCGGTATCAGTTTAGGCCAAAATTTCAATTTGAACCAATACAGAAATTTCGGTTTTGGTACTTTTTATAAATTTGGTAAAAAGCAAAGTTTCGATTGAAAAAGACAAAACAGAAAAACTAAAAATTTGTAAGATTTTAAATTTTTTTCTAATTTAGAAAAACAGTTATTTTTGAAAATTTTCACAAAATATTTTAAGAATTATTAAAAAATTTTTAGGAATTTTCACAAAATACCTTGAAAAAAATCTTGTTTTGCAGAGAAAACCTGCCCGCTGATAACTTTCGCTATTCACTTATATCAACAACTTATGTATTAAATCTCAATTTTTGAATTTTTTAAATCAATTCTAACATAATATGTGTTTGAAAAAACAACAAAAACACAGAAATTTCGGTTTATTTCGCTTTAAGTTTTTTTTCTGTTTTGGTTGATCACTAAAATGCAGACATAAAAATGTCTGCATTTAGAAATTAAAAAATTTGAAGAATTCTTTTCATAAATAATTTTTTAATTTAATGTAGTTAATGTAACTTCCTGGTTTGCAAAATAACTACATTTATTATATAATTAATTTTAACAATTCCCAACTTCCTGAAATATTTTTCCTATAATTTGGATTTTTTGATGTTTAGACATTCTTCTTGATAAACCTACAGAAGGAGAAACAGCCTGTCAAAGAAAAATCTAGATAAGTGTTTTCACTTATTTGTTATTGCTCTGTTTTTTATTGAGCACTCAATTTGTAGAATACACTAACATAATTTACGACAAATAATCATAGCAAACAAATCAAGTAAGATATGAAATGTTGAGGGTAAGTTGGCGAATTTCGGTCGGCATCGAGTTTCCTGCCTTTCGCATCAAAAAAATCACACTGACGCTAACTTAATCAAAGTGTTGTTTCACATTTCAGTTAGTACAACCTTTCCGCATCAAGTTACTGTTAACTCCAAGTCGGTAGTCCAAAGAAGTACTAATCGTTCACCCAAGTTTAACAAATGTGTTTGGAAATGTAAAAAAATAATAATAATAATAAACAAATACTTTTTTGATGTAAAAAATTTCTGCACGAATTATCGAAAGCATTATATTCGTGCATTATGCCGGAAATTTAATTTACAGAGTATTAAATTTTGTGCATTATTTTATTTTTACCTAACAATAATTTTGAATGCTTTTATGGTTTTAACTATTTTTAAAAGCATTCTTAAGGTTGCTAGTGACATTTTTAAGACAAAACAAAAAAATTAAAGCAACAGCTGCGAAATTATCCACATGGCTGGATTTCTTTTAAATAAGCAATATTGAATTCAATTTTCAACTTTTTAAAAATATAGTATCATCATAGTAGAATATACAAGTTATAATTTTTTAATCAAGTTTGTTATCGTGACTATGGACTCTAAAAAAAGACAGAAGTATCAAAAATATAACGAGGAAACTGTTATGGCCGCTGTTGCTGACGTTCGAGACAATCATTTTTCATGGAGAAAGGCAAGTTTAAAATGTAATGTACCTTCTCAGACAATCAGTGATAGAATAAATGGAAGATACACCAAGCAAAAGATAGGCTAGTGTTGTTTAAAACATTTATTTACTTACTACACAAGATGTAATTCTCCATAAGCAATAAAATTGCATAAGATTTTTTAAGAAGTCAACATATTTTTTTACTTAAAGATCGCAAACCTGCTTTATAAAAAGAGGACGAAGAAAGAATAAAGACTTTTTGATTAAAGCAGCAAAAATAGGATATGGTATTTGCCAAAACGATGTACCAAGCATAGTAAAAAATCTTTTAGACATTAAAGAAAAGCAACATATAACAGAGCATTGTCTTAACGATAAAGAAAAAAACGATATGATAGCTCATAGAAAGTTTGATAATAATCTGCCAAATAAGTTTTGGATCTACAGGTAAATAATTGCTTCTCTATTAAGTGTTTTGAATATATAATAAAGAAATGACACAAAGTTTTAGATTTTGATTGACCTATGTTTTTGTATCTGCCTAATCTGTGTTTAATTTGATAAACCTGGTTTTTTTTTTACTTTATAATTGGTAGATTTTTCAAAAGGCACTCAGATCTTGCAAGAAGAATGCTTAAAAATTTGGGTCGCCAGCGGCAAAACGTTTCTCATGCTCAAATCAAGCAATGGTTTACTGACCTGGAGAATTATTTGTTTGAAGAACACTAAATAAAAGCTTCAGAGTTCCTATTACCAGAAAACTCTAGTAGAGTGTTTAATTTGGACGAAAAACAGAATTTCCATTAGCAGGGACATTGGAAAAGCTAAAAATAATTGCCTCAAAGGCTAAAAAGAATGTTTATCGCATAGCCCCTGACACAAAAACGTAAACAACAATTCTTGGCTGTGTATCCGGAGATGGAAACTACCAAAAACCTTAAGTTATATTTCCAGGAGCACAGCCTCGTTACAATTTAGACCATGTAAATCCATCTAACTATGTTCTTGGGCAATCCATTAACGGATTTTGTAATTCTTCTAATTCCTTGACAGAAATGTTTACTTTCTTGAGGTGTTTAAAAAAAATGAAATTGTTATTATCGGAGAATGTCCTGGTAATGTTTCGAAGAGGATTAGAAGAAGGTTATGATGTTGAGAGTGATGGGACTACTTCTGGTCGGGAGTGGAATATGTACAAGTGGTTGCACATTAATTCAAATAAAAAAAATCTCCACCCCTAAAAAATTGCTCAGTTATTACCCAGATACCGTAACACCATGTGAAGCTGCAACACAAACTACAACTGTTACAGAAGTACAAACCTGCAATAACTATATTTCCGGCATGTATAGTAATAGTCAAACAAACATAGCGTGTGTCAAACCTATGCAGTCTACAAATATTATTATCCCAACAACTACAGAATCCAATATAATATATGTAATATATATGTAAATATATATATATATATATATATATATATATATATATATATATATATATATATATATATATATATATATATATATATATATATATATATATATAAAATTAGGAATATTACTATTATTTTGACATACAAACAATATTTTAAAACATTAGATGTTAAATAAAATTGTTTTTATTTCTGTTAATTTTAAATGTACAGTTTTTGTTAAAGATTGTAAGATTCAATTATTTTTAAGTTTTTTGTATCTTGTTTTAGCATTTGCCAAGCTTTTGCAAACCAGTTATTTTATTTTGTTTTCTTATTTATATATATACTTTATGTGCCATAAAATAAATGAAATAATATCTCATACATACATATATATATATATATATATATATATATATATATATATATATATATATATATATATACATATATATATATATATACATATATGTGTATATATATATATATATATACATATATGTATATATATACATATATGTATATATATATATATGTATACATATATATATATATATATATATATATATATATATATATATATATATATATATATATATATATATATATATATATGTATATATATATACATATATGTATATGTATATATATATATATATATATACATATATATATACATATATGTATATATATATATATATATATATATATATATATATATATATATATATATATATTGAAATAAAGTAATAATGCAATCATTTCTTTATTTCAATATATATAATCAAAAATAAAGCATGGTGATTTAACATTTTATGGTGGCTTAACTCAAACATGTGTATTACTTTGTACCTTATGTGGCAAACTATTAACTTATCATAAAAACACAGGAAAAGAAAATAGAACCATTATGTACTAAATGTTCTGGATTAAGAATTCTACTTGTTTGTTTTTTACTTGTAAAGCATTTTTCATTTTAATTCACTAAAGAGAACTTTAAACTAAAATTTGGTGATTTTTATTATGAAGACAGTATAGCAAAAAGTATAGCAAAGTATAAATTTTAGTACTATGGGAATATTCTATAGAATGGTAATAAACTATAATTGATATTTCAATAAAAACACTTTTAGATAGTGAAAATGCTGAAATGCTCATTTTAAACAACCTTGGCCATTTTTAAAAATAAACCTTTTTTTATTTTAAAAAATATCAACTCTGCTACAACTGTTGCTTTTTAATTCAAACAATTTTTTATGCAAATTATTAACAAAATAAATACTTAGCATGACTTTTTTATTTTTTATTTTTATTATATTAGGTGCCCTAAGAAGTCCTTACAGACTTATCACAGAGCACTATGGAAGAGCATTTGAAAGGAAGTTCACGCCTCTTTCTTTATTGATATAAAACTTGCCTAGAGTTGAACAACAGATCTCTAGCGTCTGAGGCAAGTACGCTAAATACTACGCTACAGCTGCTACGTAGACCACACATAATAGTAAAATAAAAAGGACCACATGTAAGTAATACAAAAATATATTAAAGATATTCATTAATAACAAATAATTAAATTTTCAAATAACTCACTTTTTCAAACATCTCATAATATCTTCGAGGCTCAATCTTCTTATTGTTTAGAAATGTGCCATTAGTAGATTCTAGATCTAATACATAAGGTCTAAAAAAAATCAATATTTTAAGATAAAAGCAAAATTGAATTTTACTTATATTTAATAAAATTATACATGCTCACCTAACTCTCTTACCAATAGAACCATCATCTCTCTTGTATTCCATAAGACGAAATTGCAAAATAGCTTGTTGTTTTGAACAAGATGGATGATCGACAGGAATATCTGCTATCTAGATCATATTGAAAAAAGATGTTTTTTTTTTGCTAATCATTGTTAAGTAAAACAATTTAATTCAAAACAATCATTTAAAAATAATTCATATGACATTCAACTTTTATCATTAAAACTGAACCAAAACTAAAAAATTTCTTAAAGTAGAAAGAAGTAGTTAAAGCTCTAGTAAGAAGTCTTGAAGTAGAAGGAGTAGTTAAAATTCTAGTAGGAAGTCTTAAAGTAGGTTTAGTTAAAGTTTTAGTAGGAAGCCTTAAGGTAGAAGGAAGTAGTTAAAGTTTTAGTAGGAAGCCTTAAGGTAGAAGGAAGTAGTTAAAGTTCTAGTAAGAAGTCTTAAAGTAGAAGGAGTAGTTAAAGTTCTAGTAGGAAGCCCTAGTAGTTAAATTTTTAGTAGGAAGTCTTTAAGTAGAAGGAAGTAGTAGAAATTCTAGTAGGAAGTCTTAAAGAAGAATGAGAAAATTTTCAATTTAGATGAATGAAAATACTCACAATTAGGTGATTCTATGTGAAAATATCCAATTTTTTTTGAAAATGAAACCCGAAGTCTCAGATTTTGCTGATTTTTAAACCACTTAAAGATTTTAGTAAATTATGAAAATCCTGAAAATTTTATCGCCTAATTTTAATGGGTTCCTTAGATATAGCTATTTTAAGTTTGCCTCCAACTAACAAAAATCCGCCATTCTTAAAAATGGTTTTGGTCCTAGTTTGTGTTATATATGTGTTGAAAAGCTGAAAATTCGTACCTTAACATATATTAGGCTAACGAATCCAATGAAACAAATTAAAATATTTAAAAACGAACATAAAACCTATATAAATATATATATATATATATATATATATATATATATATATATATATATATATATATATATATATATATATATATATATATATATATATATATACATATATATATATATATATATATATATATATATATATATATATTGAAAACAAATTATATATTTTTTTATCAGAATAAAATTATATATTTTTATTAAATTAGTTTTGAATTAAATCATATCTTTTTATCAGAATTAAATTATATTGTAAGGATCTTTGCTTCAAGCTTAAACCATTAGTGTTTATCAAGCAAAAAAATCGATCGCAACAATAAAAAAAATAAATCAACTATAAATTATTTATTACTGTATACAAATTTAAGTAAATTTTTTAAATACAATCAAAAGTTGCATAAATATACTTGTGTTCTCAAGATTTCTTTTATGTTTATTAGTTGTTGTTTTTTTTAATGTTCCGATTAATAACTTTGCTTAAAAAAAAAAAAATTGTTGTCAACTATAAACAAATTTGTTTTCTGTTCGATGAAATAATTAGCTTTAAAGAGATTGTTTTCGTAGCGTTTACATCTAACATAATTGTCATTCAAACCTTTTTACATAATCGTCATTAAAAAGTTAATGTGGTTTTTAATAAAGTTAATTACTTCTTTTATCTTACTGCTTATAGAATAATTTAAAAGTTAAAAAAATGATAAAAAGTTGCTTAATGGATATTGCTCTAGGAGTACGAAACGCATACATAAATTGCCAGTAACTTAATGCTTTAAAACAAGGCCTGCAAATGATATTCAAATTAAGTTTATGCACCCTCATGGTCCTTCTCAAAACTTCATTTGGCCACAGAGAGATGATATCTGTTGGGTACCATTGTCGAGTTTAATTGCAGTAATCAAAGTCCTAACAACAAAATCAGAGCAAACATATAACATTGATGTGAATGATTTTGTTTCTTGAACTTCTTTCCAAGTACTCTATTTGTTTTGGAGCCTTTGTTTTTTAAGTTTATTTGTCTTAGTTTGATAAATATGAAACTAATGTTTTATAAGTAATAAATTTAAGTATATTTGAAGATGTTTTTATTTCTGTTTTAAGATCTAATTCTTTGTAATAACTCTAACTAAACTCTTTAATACAACTTTTGAAAAAATAAAAACTAAATTTGCAATATACATCTGCATTTATATAATTCTTTTTGAAACTATAATTTTTTAGAATCAGATTCTATAAAATTACAAAGAGAACAGAAACAGCTAGCAACAAAAACTAAAAGAACAGTTTGATGTAGCCAAAACTGTTTCAGTTACAAAACTGTCAGATTACCACCTTTTTTTTACTTGTTTAATTTATCAAAAAACATTTTTTTAAGCAATAAATTTAAGTAGATTTGACTAAATCAGAAATAAAAACTTTGTTTTTATTTCTGATTTAGAAAAGACCACTTTCCAATCCTTTGTAATAACTATAACTTAACTATTTAGGACAATTTCTAAAAATAAAAAAATCGAGCTACATCAGCATTTGGACTCACAACAGCAAAATTGTGGTAAACATTTAAAATTTAGTTGTTATGTTTGTTTTTAAATATTTTAAGTTGTTTCATTGGATTCATTGGCCCAAAATATGTAAAGATACAAATTTTCAGCTCTCCAACACACATATAACAGAAACTAGTACCAAATCTATTTTTTTTTTTTAAAAAAAACCAAAATAATGGTTATTGGGAAAGAAAAAAAAAACAATTTTAACTGTTAAGAAATATCAGACAATTAACATAGAATTGAACAATTAATCAATCGATCAATTAATGACAATTAATCTAGACAATAATAACTGTCGTTTATCAAAGATTTTCACTAAAAATAAAAAATAAAAAGTGGCTTGTTCAAATTATTAATTATTGTGTTACTTATCAATTTAGACAATTGTTTTCAAGTAACATTCATCAGCTTTGTCATATTTTAAAATATATGATGCAATAAAAAAAACATTTCCAACAGCATTAAGCCAAATATTGCAGAACACAAACAAACGATTATTAAAATGTTTCACAAAAAAATAAATAATGGTTTTAAACACTTTATAATAAAAATTTTTAAGCAATTTAAGGACATGTTTGTAAGTTAATGCTAATAAATAATGTGTATCTAAGCAACTAAATAACTGTCAACATATTTAATTATAGCAAAAAAAAAAATATTAATTAAAAAAAAAATAATTATAAATTACCTTTCTGTCTCTCCCAAACATAAAAGCACTTTGCCTATGAAGCTGTAGCATCTCTGAAACAATAGTTTTTTCAGAAAATTAAAAAAATTGTTTTTCTATATAAATACTTATTTAAATTTAATTAAAAGTATTTTATTTTCAAAAATATTTAAAAAAATAAAGGTTTTAATGCATATTTATAATTTGCAAAGAATCTAAAAAAGCTCTAGTTTAAATTCTCGCGAAAATTTTGTTCAAACAAAAGTATGAGTAGTGATAGAGCACTGGCTTCATAAGCAAGAGATATAAAGTTCAAACCCATAACATTCTGCAAATATTGTGCTTAAGAAATGCTATAAAAATGATCACTTACCTGAGTCTTCCCCCTAAATTAAATCTCATCAATTATAAACAAAATTTGTAAACAAAAGTTTTATTTTTCAAAATTATTTATTTCTTGTTTGTAGCAGTAATAATTTACATATATAAATGTAATTAAGAAAATTAGAAATAATATCAGGGGGTATTCTAGACCGTTTTCAACAATGCTAACTGTATTTGGGCGCTGCCAAATTCAAAATTAAGGACCTTTTTTTTAACGGCAAGTAATGTTTTTTTTGCGAAAAAATGTCTACTTTCTGCAATATTTCCACCAAATTTTGCCGAGACTGGGATACCGCTGCCCAAATTATTTTCCTGGAATAACCCCTGAATGTGCATAAAAAACCAGGAGCTAATCAGTAAATTCTCAGTTGTTTATTTAAAAAATTTATTTAAAAAATTGTGGCTCAACAAGCCTGTTTTCAAATATTTTATTTAGTTTTACAGGTCATGAAAAAAGTTTCATCACTTGGTTATTTGTCATTGCGTTTATATAGCATGAAAAATTAGTGTAACCATAAAAATTTATTTATCACCTCTCATTGAAAAACTATTAAATTTTGAAAAGCCTCTAAAAAAATCGAAAAAAAAAATTGTTATAGAAATCTATTTAGTTTTAAATAGATTTAATTAGATTTAATTTTATCTATATAAATGATAAAAAAAGTAATGATACATTAACCTAAAAAATTAAAAAGTTGCTAAAAAAGGTTGGCTTGGTTATGTTTGACTTTGTTTGACTTAATGATGCAGTTAAAACTTCATTGAAAAGTTTAGATTAAGATTTCCTAAACTTAATAAATAATAAGATAATGTCAAGAATGAAGATCCTAAAAATGATTTTTTCAGCTTTGTTGACTTAACTCCTGATTGCCATTAATTATAAAGAAAGTAGTTAAACATTGGCTACAAAAAGCAACTTTTACAAAAACTTTTACAATATTTTTAAAAGAAACTCGTCTTACATATGGTGATTTATTAAACCAAGTAACCAGAAGTAAAAAAGCAAAATAATAATAACAATAAATAAATAAATAAGGGCAGCCATAAACTGAACAATAAATGTTGCACACTTATTTATTTTATTAAAAACAAAGCCTTTTAACAAAGACACAATCTTTTAATCTACTGTAAACAAATTCTTATTAATTAATCTTAAAACTTGACACTCACCAAGTGCAACATCGCCTTTAAAGGGATAAAGACGCCACCTTGTTTTGGGTTTTCGTGCTTCAGGAGGCTCATTATATTTTATAACCACACCCTAAAAATTTAATATAAAGACTTTACTAAAGATAATAACCTCTTTTTTTTTAATATGATTATTTGTTTTTATAGTATGCATTGAATAAGTTGCATTGAATAACCAGGTCATAAATTTATACTTTTATATATAATTTCCAAGTAGACAAGGCTATTTTCAGTGCCATTTTCCAACATCCATTGACTCAGACAAAAAAAAACCTGCACAAATTTAGTCCAAGAATATACCACATCATTGCAACAAGTACACATAACATTTTAAGTAATAAATTTAATTTTACATTTAAAAAAATCTATGCAGCAGTGGACAATTAAGCAGACAACACTATGCACAACCAACAAGCGGTGCATGGTGAAGCACAACCACAAAAGGCTTTAAAACAAATTTTATCCATATTAGAATTTGCCAATCACTTTTATTCAAACAATTTACGAAAAAATAAAACTACAGCTTTACAAAAAATTTTTGCATTTGTATAATTAAACATTTTCATTTATTACCATTTGATTTGTTTTAATTTTATAAAATACAACAAAGAAATAAATAAACAAAAAAAAAGACATTTTAAAGTTTTATTGAACAATTATGTAGCAATTATCTTGGCTTAATGCTGTTTACATAGAACATTATTAAAGCAATAATAAAATTAGTTATCATTTCAAGAAATATAGAAAATGTCATCAGCAAAAAAAAAAGAACTGAAGCTAAAGGGTCATTTATAAATTACATTACACTCTAAGAAAGAAGGGGGGATTTAAATTTGTAACAACTAGTACAGGGATGTAGTGCAAAAATAAAGATTTAAAAATTTATCATAACACATCAGGGTCGTTCCGTGCCAAATGGTCTAAAATTTTAGGATTCCAACATGGACCCCCTCAGATTTTGATGAAACTTAGTGGGTTGGTTTATATCAATGAGAAAAGCAATTCCTGAAAATTTCAGCTTCAAATCTTATGTGGTTCATGAGATATGGCCATTTGAAATTTCTGATTTTTCCAAAAATAAAAACTTCAGTAGCAAAAACATGTTTTGTTCATACTTTGAAGCTCTGAATTTTAAAAACTAAATTTCAGAAAACCTTCTAGTTTTTTTTATCATATACAATGCTAGGCTTACTTTGTTAAAACTTTGACATTAAATTTTTAAATGTCACATTTTACCCATAATGGCTGCCTAAAAAACCGAAAAAATTGTTTGCAGATATAGAAAGTTGATTTTTGATGGGTCAATATACAAAACTAGCAATTTAAGAAGTAAAAATACATATCTTTTTAGTTTCTATATATGGTAGGCTTCCTAATTTTCAGAAATTTGCTGATATGATACAATTCAGTAAGAAATTATGGACCCCTAAAAATGGCTCCGGTTAGAACTTACAAAATTGTGCCTTCCTTTAAATCCACTGGTAACCTATGATCAACACTGATTTTCATGATATACTTTTTTTCTACTCATTTAGTAGACTTTATTAAAGTGATTTCAGAAAAAAAAATAGTGGGTACTCATGGGGAAGTTACAAAGTCAGAACAATGAAGTTGGCACAAAATGCATTAAAAACGCAAAAAATAGAGATATTGATGTACTTTAGTATTCATTATTTACTGCAATGCAAAAAAATGTATATTTATATGAAAGTATATCAAAATCATTGCTATAAATTAGCTTTAAATTAGGACTGAATTAAACTCAGGTTTTAAACAACCTTAGTTGCCCCCCCCCCTGTCTTTTTATTTTTTAACATATATATCTGGAAGAAAATACATATGTATTTTCTCCCAGAACTTATCTTAAAAGAAATATGTTATTGTATGTTTTACTTTACAAAATGTGTCTGGTTTTTTTTCTAATGCATGAAGTGTTAATGCACAAAATAACAATTGAACATACACAGTTAAAAGCTGTGACATGGCAAACAAGCTATTGGGTGTACCTTTTATCTTTAATTTCGTATATAAAATTTATCATTCTATACTTATTTATTGTGTCAAAACTTATGGAAATTTTAGTTTACACTTCTAAAATTGAAAATAAATATATTTTTTTTAGATAATAATTAAAAATAAATGGCAAGTTCATCTTTAGATCTAACTCAATGTTGCATTGGAAAAAAATTAAATGAAAATTGTCATGAAGGAAAATTTACGAAAATCAAGAAAATTAAATTTTTTGAGGAATTAACAAAAAAAGATCAAGAGCTTGTGCACTTAAGATGTAAAGTAAATCCTATTAAAACTATTTGTAATCACCATGAAAAGATCTTCTTGGATAGATTTGAGTCATCGTATGTTGGAAGCTTTTGTTGCGATCCTTTTAACAAACACAAAATTAAAATTAAAAGTATTTAAAAATAGATTAACTTAATGATTATATTAAAGATAAAGTCTTCTTTATTTATTTATTTAGTGTTTTATCATAGATTTTTTTAGAATCTGTCAGAGTAATCAGTGCTGCTGTTGCAAAGGAATTTGATTTAATACCTGGTTATAAGCTTTGTACAGAATGTCGTAAAATATTGCACTTAAGAAAACAAGAACATGAAAGCGATTCATGTAAAAATCAAGATAACGATTTTAACGGGATTCATATTTCAAAAGAAAACTTTAATTTAAGCATTAACACCTTTGGTTGTTCACCTCTAAAACTAGTAGCTTATAAAGACAGAGTCAGCTATGCAAAAAGAAAGATTAACAAGATCCATACTGCAACCAAAAAGAAAATAGCAACTGTTTTAGATGTTTCTCCGGATTTAATAAATGATGAACCAAAAACAAAAGAACTTTGTTGCAAAAGTAAACAAGATTTGGGCTCACTAATGGAATTAATTAAAGCAAAGTTTGATATTTCTTCAAAACCAGAAAAACTTAAATTGCTAACTTTGGTTCCTGAGAGTAGGAACATTAACTATACAGAAAACTATTTTTCTGCTTCCCAAAGAATGATAAAAACTGCAAGGCATTTGAAACAAATGCATGGCATAATGGCGGAGCCATCTAAAAAAGAAGGAAGATCTATTAGTGAGAAAGTAAAAAATCTAGTCCATGAATTTTACCAATCAGATGAATACTCTAGAATGTGTCCAGGAAAAAAACAGTATGTCTCAATCCAAGTTGATGGTAAAAGACAACATTTTCAAAAAAGACTGCTATTACTTAATATAAAAGAACTTTATTTAGAGTTTGTTAAAATTTCCTTTGATGTCAAGATTGGATTTTCTAAGTTTTGTGAACTTAGACCAAAGTGGTGTATTCCTGTTGGAGGTGCTTCAGGTCTCCACTCAGTATGCGTTTGTGAGTACCACCAGAATGCCAAACTTTTAGCATTAAAAATACCAGATATTTCAGACTATAAAAATCTCTTGACATTAGTTGTATGTGACTTAACAAATCGAGACTGCATGCTGCATTGTTGTGATAACTGCCCAGATAATGACACACTTAAAGAGTATCTTACTACTTTGTTTGATAAACATAGCATTGAAGAAATCAACTTTAATCAGTGGCAAAAAGCTAACAAAAAACATGATATAGTTCCGGTAACTCTTCCAGTGGACAATTTTATTGAAAAAGCTTGTCAACAAATAGACCAATTAAGAGACCATCACTATATAGCTAAAAATCAAGCAGCATATTTGCAGCATCTAAAAATCACATTAGCAAGTAATCATATTTTAATATTATTAGACTTTGCTGAGAATTACAGTTTTTTAATTCAAGATGCAGTACAAGGTTTCCATTGGAACAATAGCCAAGCAACATTGCATCCTTTTGTTATTTACTTTATGGAAGAAAACAAGATAAAATGTAAAAGTATTTGCATTATCTCAGATAATTTGCAACACAATACAAACTCAGTACATTGTTTCATTCATGAAGTATTAAAACATATAAAAAACATGATACCCTACTTTAACCACTGCATTTATTTCAGTGATGGTGCAAGTTCACAATACAAAAATTATAAAAACCTATCTAACTTATGTCACCATAAACAAGATCATGACGTATCTGCGGAATGGCATTTTTTTGCTACATCACATGGAAAGAGTGCGTGTGATGGTGTTGGGGGAACTGTCAAAAGACTTGTAGCAAGGGCAAGTTTACAATCACTAGTTGATCCTATCAATTCATCTAAAAAAATGTATGATTGGTGTAGACAAAATATTGATGGAATACATTTTCAACACATTTCAAATGATGCAGTTACATTACATTGCATGAAATTTAAATTAGAAGAACGTTATGCTACTTGTTCAACAATTCCAGGAACAAGAAACCACCATTGTTTTATACCGCAATCATTAACTACTTTACAAATGAGACGGGTTTCATTCGACAATGTGTTTACTAGTGTAAATATTTCAACAATGCAACAGAACTATACAATTCCACTTGCATCTCTTTCACCCGGAATTTATATAGCATGTGTTTATGATGGAAAATGGTTTTTAGGTAATATTGTGGAAATATCTGAAAAAAATCAAGATATCCTTATAAAGTTCATGAAGCAGTCTATTTCCTCTAACACTTTTACTTGGCCACATAGAGAAGATATTTGCTGGGTTCCAATAATGCACGTTCTATGCAAAATTTCATCTTTAAAAGTGCAATCAGCAACTGGTAGATGCTATGAACTATCAGCTCAAGAAAAAATACATAATACATTTGTACAATAGTATGTTTAATAACGAAATTATATAATAACAAAGCAAAATTTTTATAAGCTTGATCAATCGAAAAAATGTATTAAAGTATACTTGAATGATTCCATCTTTATGTTGATGTTGTGTCTAATAAGCATTTACAAATAAATAACACAGCTATTATTTGAGTATGTTCAATACTTGGTGCATAAAGATACTTCATGCATCAGATATAATAACAGAAACACTGCATAAGGTAAAATGTTTAATAAACAGTAGTTTAAAATGTTATCAAGAAATAAGTTCTTCTTAAGATAAGAATGTTCTGGGCAAAAATACGCATTTAAAAAAAATAAAAAGACAGGGTGGGGGGGCAACTAAGGTTATTTAAAACCTGAGTTTAATTCAGTCCTAATTTAAAGCTAATTTGTAGCAATGATTTTGATATACTTTCATATAAATATACATTTTTTTGCATTGCAGTAAATAATGAATACTAAAGTACATCAATATCTCTATTTTTTGCGTTTTTAATGCATTTTGTGCCAACTTCATTGTTCTGACTTTGTAACTTCCCCATAAGTACCCACTATTTTTTTTTCTGAAATCACTTTAATAAAGTCTACTAAATGAGTAGAAAAAAAGTATATCATGAAAATCAGTGTTGATCATAGGTTACCAGTGGATTTAAAGGAAGGCACAATTTTGTAAGTTCTAACCGGAGCCATTTTTAGGGGTCCATAATTTCTTACTGAATTGTATCATATCAGCAAATTTCTGAAAATTAGGAAGCCTACCATATATAGAAACTAAAAAGATATGCATTTTTACTTCTTAAATTGCTAGTTTTGTATATTGACCCATCAAAAATCAACTTTCTATATCTATATTATAGCAAACAATTTTTTCGGTTTTTTAGGCAGCCATTATGGATAAAATGTGACATTTAAAAATTTAATGTCAAAGTTTTAACAAAGTAAGCCTAGCATTGTATATGATAAAAAAAACTAGAAGGTTTTCTGAAATTTAGTTTTTAAAATACAGAGCTTCAAAGTATGAACAAAACATGTTTTTGCTACTGAAGTTTTTATTTTTGGAAAAATCAGAAATTTCAAATGGCCATATCTCATGAACCACATAAGATTTGAAGCTGAAATTTTCAGGAATTGCTTTTCTCATTGATATAAACCAACCCACTAAGTTTCATCAAAATCTGAGGGGGTCCATGTTTGACCCTGGTTCACTTGGCATGGAATGACCCATCAGTCCACGTTTCCAGTCATTGATGGTCTATTTATTAGGCAGTTTTCTCCACTTCAGCCTTTATTATGATTTTTATCAAAACATTTTGATCAAAATACTTTTATATTTATTATATTAACTAATGCAGAAATAAACATTAAAAAAAATAATAGATAAAAGCTTCTTTCAATGACATTTTTGTGACTTCAACAATTAAGCTACATTTTAATGTTGTCCAAAAGTTAAAACAATTAAAATAATATGGAAGTACGTTAAGTATTTTATAGCCTGCTACTACAAGGAAGTACCGCTACATCGCTGAGGGTTTGGTTTGGGCAAGGAATCTATCATTAAAATAAAATAAAAATTACTCAAGTTTTTTAACTTTATCTGGTCTGGTTTATTAGCATTCTCTTTAAAACTAGAGTTTATCGAATAAACTTTTTGACTTCCATGCAAGACTATATATATATATATATATATATATATATATATATATATATATATATATATATATATATATATATATATATATATATATATATATATATATATATATATATATATATATATATATATATATATATATATATATATATATATATATATATATATATATATATATATATATATATATATATATATATATATATATATATATATATATATATATATATATATATATATATATATATATATATATATATATATATATATATATATATATATATATATATATATATATATATATATATATATATATATATATATATATATATATATATATATATATATATATATATATATATATATATATATATATATATATATATATATATATATATATATATATATATATATATATATATATATATATATATATATATATATATATATATATATATATATATATATATATATATATATATATATATATATATATATATATATATATATATATATATATATATATATATATATATATATATATATATATATATATATATATATATATATATATATATATATATATATATATATATATATATATATATATATATATATATATATATATATATATATATATATATATATATATATATATATATATATATATATATATATATATATATATATATATATATATATATATATATATATATATATATATATATATATATATATATATATATATATATATATATATATATATATATATATATATATATATATATATATATATATATATATATATATATATATATATATATATATATATATATATATATATATATATATATATATATATATATATATATATATATATATATATATATATATATATATATATATATATATATATATATATATATATATATATATATAGCAGCAGGCTATAAGATATTCAATGTAGCAGCACTCCTTTGTAGCAGCAGGCTATAAGATAGCCGATGTAGCATCACTCCATGCATGTTTTAAAAATATGTTCTAAAAAACAAAATCAAAAACACTATTAAATAAAACAACTTTCTAGTCATTATGTTCATTAATGTGCTTCTGGATTATTTTGATTGTTTAGAAAACATTAAAATTAAACTTTTAGACAACATTAAAATGTACCTTAAATGTTTAAATCGCTTAAATGTTGTTGAAAGAGACTTTTTTTACTATAAAAGTTGCTTTTGACTACAATATAAGGATATATATATATATATATATATATATATATATATATATATATATATATATATATATATATGATTTTATGGCTTTATATATGCATAAGTAACATGATAGTAAAATAAAAAATTATAATATTTAATATTAAATAAACAAGGTAAATAATAGTAATTTTTTATAAAACTCAATAAAGAATAATATATAATTATATAAATACAGCATTTTTAAAAACAGCATTTTTATATATAAGCTTACATTGTAAGTGTTAGTATATTCCGTCAATTTTCCAGATAAAGCAAAATTAGGTTCTTCTTTTTTTATATTAGGCTTCGATTTGGAACCAGAAAATAACCTTAGAAAAAAAGATAAAAATAAATAAATATAAAATTAAAATATTGAAAAGTATATTTACAAAATTATTTAAATAATATAGCATTAAAAATAATTTGATTTCTAGTGCTTAAAGTTCAATTAAACTCATAAATTTAAAATTTATTAAACTCATAAATGTAAATAAAGGTAAATTTATTTACACTGATTAAATTTATCATTATTAACAAAAAATTACAAGAAATTTAATATTTAATGTTAACTAATGATAATATTTAATGTTAACTAATGGTAGTTAAAAATTGCCCTCGTGATTTTCTTAGAGTATTAGCCTTAAGCTTTGTTAAGAGCTTTTGTAGCATAACACATATTCCATACTATTATTTTAATTTGGTAGTTTCAAAATCATAAAAATTTAAATAGTTTACAATAATTTCTATGCAATGTTTGTTGTGAGTTAATTGACTAGATTAAATTGATTGAATTTGTATTTTTATAAAATAATGATAGACTAACATCAAATTACCTTATGAATATAATTAGCTTTTATTTGAAAATTAGTACAAGCCTTTCTGGTAAAAAAATATTTGTAAAAAAAAAACTGAAACTTTAATTGAAAAGCTCCATTTATCTATTTACTGAAATCTAAATTTTTAAATAATATATTTAGCTTTCAGAACAAAAACTTTATATAAATTGTTATAAAATATAGTACCTAAATATAAAGCTTTCTTTATCTAAAATACTTTTATTGTAATTTTTTATATATATACATACATATATATATATATATATATATATATATATATATATATATATATATATATATATATATATATATATATATATATATATATATATATATATATATATATATATATATATATATATATATATATATATATATATATATATATATATATATATATATATATATATATATATATATATATATATATATATATATTAGAGTGCCACTAAAAACAAATATTTTTGAAATTGTTTGCTGCCACCCCTTAAATGTGTTCTATGTAATAAATAAACACTAAATTAAAAAAAATTTTAAATAAAAAAAATTTTAGGTGTCGCTTAAGACCCTTAAACATCAAATGAGTCCCTAATATTTTGAAAAAAAAAAATCTTTAAAAGTATATCATGTTGGGTCTCAAAAGAAGTGAAATTTCATAAAAATTTCAAAAATAATAATTATTTTATATAAATATTACTAATTTAAATTTTATTGTCTAAAAACTATAATTTTTTGACAAAAAAAATTAAAAGTACATATTTTCAAAGTTTTTTTTAAATAACTTTTTTAAATTTGTGTTTCCGTAAATTGTTTTTATTATTTTTGAAATTTTCATAAAATTTCACTTCTTTTGAGACCCAACATGATATACTTTTGAATGGGGCTGTCCATTAATCATGTTAACAATTTTTTTGCAATTTTCACCTCCCCCTCCCCCTTGTCAACAACTTGTCAAACTTTCAGTGACCCCCCTATAAAATTATGCCAACATTCGATAAATCTCCCTCCCCCCCCCAAAAAAAAAATTAAGATGGAAAAAAAAATGTTTTAAATTGATAGTTTTTAACTGAAACAAAAAAGTGGCTCAATGTAAAATGTTTAGAAAATAAAAATGTATTTAAATTTTAACTTTTAAACATTTTCAAATGAATATAATCATTTAAAATTACAAATGCTTGCTCTGAACAATAAGTGAATTAAAGTAAAAGGTATAGAAAAAAAATTTAAACTCTTGACTTATAAACATAATTTCAGTTTAAAAATACAAAGAATTACTCTTAAAAAAAAAGATTAGAGGATTCACAAAATTGTTTACACATTTAAATTATAATCATATACAAGTTAATAAAGTTCTCCTCACTTTAACATACAAATTTACAGTGAAAGCAAATCATTTTTAATAGTCTAGAATAACAAAAAAAAAAGCATATAACAAATTGTATAAACCAGGGGTTGGCAACCTTTTGAGACATAAGAGCCGAGAGTCACAATAAACAAAGTTTTTCAATTTAAAGAGCTACCATTATCTTTATTTTAAAATTATATATATTTTTTTGAATTTGTTATTTAGGTGCCCCAAGATGACCTAATGGTCTTATCACAGAGCACCGTGGAAGTGCATTTACCTTGAAAGTTCACGCTTCCTTCTTTACTGTGACACGAAATAGGTTCAAATCTTGTTTCGAACTTGGATCTCCTGCTTATAAAACAAGTGCTCTAACCACTGCGCCACGACCATACAAATATTTAAGGATGCAGAGTCCCAAAAAACCTCCGGATTTGAATGTCACAAAAAGATTACTTCTTCCTAGTTTTTGGTATCCAGGTGCTCTAATAATATAAAAACGGTTATGGACTACTATTGGTAAAAAATTAAGACTATTAGGTTAGAGGAACAATACCATTTTGACCCCAGAGTCCTTAGGTATAATGGCGGCTAGAACTCTGGGACTTTGGGCTTAAAAACAATATGTTTCAAGTCATTAAATTTCATGAGTTTTTTTATTTAGCAGATCATAAATCAACTAACAAGTTCAGAGCTTTTGGACACCAGAAACCAGTAAAAAGTAGAGATATAAAACCGGAGTCCTTTTGGGACTTCGCACCCCTGATTATACTAATATTTGTGCATGTCAAGATAATATTTCGATGTCAAGATGCAGCCAAAGAGCTTCATCTTGACATTGAAAGAATCACAAGAGGCTTGCGAGCTGCAGGTTGTACTCCTTGTATAAAAGTTTAAACAGTATAATGTAGATATGAAACTTTTTTGTTTGCACAGCAGACTGAGACAACAATAACTTTGAAAAAATAATAGCGCTACAAACATCTTGTGTGTAATTATTTAGTTCTGTATGTCGGGTCTTTTTAAAGCAGAAAAGGATTTTTAAAAAGTAGGAATATAAATTATAGGATAGGAATTAAATACTGAAGGTTCAATGACTATGTAACACAGGACTGCAAACGCTGCAATATTTTCCTTTTTTTAAATAGTTAAATTTATAAATAAAAAAATAACATGTTTAAAAAAAAATAAAGTGTTAACTTCAACTTTTCTTGACCTCCCCCCTCCCCTTGTCAACAATTGTCAAAAAAAATTAGACCCCCTCCCCCCTATTTTGTTGACGTAATTAATAGACAGCCCCAAGACCTTTTTTTTTCAAAATATTAGGGACCCTTTTGATGTTTAAGGGTGTTGAGAGACCCCTAAAATAATTTTTTATGCAAAAATTTTTTTAATTTAGTGTTAATTTTAGTCTTAATTTATTACATAGAACACATTTAGGGGGGTGGCAGCAGACAATTTCAAAAAAAGTTGTTTATAGTGGCACTCTAATACATATATATATATATATATATATATATATATATATATATATATATATATATATATATATATATATATATATATATATATATACATATATATATATATATATATATATATATATATATATATATATATATATATATATATATATATATATATATATATATATATATATATATATATATATATATGTTATAATATATATACAAAATATTAGAGATGTATATTAGAGATGTCACAAATATTCTGTGACTTTTCGGTATTCTATTCGACATTTCAGTATAACTTCGACATTCTGTCAAATATTGCAAACTATTCTGAAGAATACCCAATACCAGATTGTAACAAAAACCTGCATAAAAAGATTACATAGCTATTTTTTTTAATTTTTAATTTTAAAAAATAATTGGCATATTTAATACTTAACAAATAATTGGCATATTTAATACTTAAAAGCTAAGGTGGTAGGTTTGGATAAAAATATTTTTATTGTTTGATGATAGCAAATTATTGAGAATTCTTCTAAAATTAATAGCCATTCACTATGTACACTACCACCGGCAATTATAAGAAAATTTTAGCAAGTTCTGTTACGATAATCTTTTGCGATTGCTGACCATAACTTATAAGGGTTTGTTGCCCAATTTAAGTGAACAGTTTCATGTAAAAACTAATTTCATTTCCAATATGTGTGCAAATATATTTTGTAGAGAATGGTTTGATTGCTTTAATTTACTTTTTCTTAAAAGTGGAAATGAATAATGACCGGTGCTACTTGGCACAGGTTTTGGTTCATTGGTAACAAGCAATCTTTCACTTTTTTTTTTAATCCTTTTTAATCTTTATTTAGAATGAGAATTAATCCTTCACTGACTTAATATTTCTCAAAGCTAATTAATATTTGTTGTTGTTTTGCTCATTGAGTTTTAACTAATCCTTTGAAATTTGTTCTGAAACGCGCATCAATAATAAAGACCATATAATTGACTTTTCCATTTAAGTTAAACCATAAGTTAATCCCATTAAAGTTTATGTTGGAGTGAATCATTTTTAATAAGTATAGAGTTTTTTGTCCTATATTAAACAATAGCATGTTCTTAAATTACATCAGAAGTACATTATGGATTGCCAGGCAAAATTTGTTGGTCACCAAAAATGAAAAGAAATATAAAAAACAAATTAACTAACTACAATTAACCTAACTTTATTGCCAAAAATTACAAACTAATCAAGGTTTTTAAAACAACAATAAAAATTGATAAGTTTATACAAAATAATACAAAAACAAATTCATTTTGTCTTGCTTTTGTCAAAAAAATCTAAGCTTTGCTTTCTTTACTGCACATATACAAACATTTACTTAAATTACCCAAATAAATTGAAAAAATATCATTCCATACTCAATGTAAAATTGAGAACAAACTAATTGTTGACCTAGGACACTCATTTCATGCCTAACAATCCAGTTGCTCCCATAGTAACTTAATTGGGTTGAGGTCTGGGAACCACGGTAGCAATGTTAAAATTTTGAGTTCTCTACAAGCTTTTTTTTTATAAATAGTTTGTACAGTATTTAAATGTGTGCTTTGGGTCATTATTCTGTTGCATGATGAAACTGTGCCTGATTAGACACTTTCAGTTGTACCACATTTCTACATAATAT